GTTTAAAGGTGGATGCAGTCACCTTCCCAGCTAGGTTTAGGGATTCTTAGTCAGCCTAGGAAATGCAGCTAGTCCTGTCTCTCAGTTACCCCTCTCAACAGGAAAACCCAAGTGCTGTTGGGGAGGCTGGCCGACGACCACTCTAACGCCTTCCTGCTGAACTGGGACATAGTAGGGATTGTGCAGTTCAGATTTCCTCAGGAGGGGTGCCTTCGATGTCATTAACATTGAAGCCTGGGCTAGCAGGCTGGTCCAGGGATCCACAGTAGATCTTAGTCATGGACTGCATCTGGGGTTCCATTTGAAGAACAACATATAGCTTTACAGCTTCAATTCTGGAAGAGGCAAACTTAGCAAGGAGGTTAAAGATACAGGGTCCAAAGAGGAGTAACAATATTACAGCTGCAAGAGGTCCTAATGGGAGAATCCAGGGCATCCATTGACTGAGGAGGCCCCAGCGTTCAGTGTTTTGAAGCTCCTCTGCTCTACGTTGTATTCGATCTCGAATTTCTTTAACTTTCTTGGTGATGATTCCAGATTGATTAACATAATAACAGCATTCTTCCCCTAAAAATAAACAGGTTCCCCCTCTTTCAGCAGTTAGCAAGTCTAAAGCTCTTTGATTTTGAAGGCCTACTGCTGCTAGGGAGTTAAGTTGATCTTGCAAGGTGACCAGGGAGTTGGTGACCCGTTCCATGTTACCATTTAGTTCTTGAGAGAGTTTGTAGTAGAACTGAGTAGAGGTTGTGGTACCGTCAACGCCAATACCTAGTCTGCCTAGCACTCCTGCTCTGATAACAAAAGGAAGAATGGGTACTCTTTTGTTGCAGGGCTTAGTTACGACATATTTGTATAAATCTTGTTCAGTGTAAATGGTCATAGGGGGCACTAAGAACGAAAGGAAGCACATAGATTCTGAAGAGCCATTCAAACAATGATAGGCTGAGGTACCACAGAAAAAAAATATTCCTGAGGGTAGGCTGACTATTTGTGTGGGAGGAGTTACCCACCTGATGCATTGGGAGTTGGTTGTGTCTATAGTATCGCTAAATTTTACGTAGGTGAGGTTTGAGGTATGAGTTATTTCCAGATTGGAAACAAGAGGTCCTACTAAAACAGAAGTGGTGTTTATTTCTGTGCTGAAGTTGTTCCATTGTTCAGGTGCAGGGATTGAAATGTGTGGCCTAAAGTGCAGGGGGAGGCACATCCAACAGTTAGTAAGGTTTTGGGCCTAGACCTCATGGAGCCCAGTGACGGTGGTATTAAATAGGCTTACCAGGTGAGTATGGGTACAGAGGGTTTCATGTAGTTTTGAAAGATCTAGTCCTTTATAGGGTCTAGGGGTACTATGTACCAGGGTCAGTTGAGAGATTACTTCCTTTACGTGTTTTTCTCTTGCCTGATCTTGAACTCCACCCCCATCAGACATACTGGTATGAGTGAAGTAAGTCCAACAGACAGTGGCTCCAAGTCCTCCAGGACAACTAGGATTAATCATTTTCCCTGTCCAATAATAAGTATTTGCATGCATGCAAAGAGTGGCAGAGTTATAGCAGTTACGGGGCATATGGGTGTGGGTGGTGAAGGTGGGGTTTCCCTTAAACTCCTATGCAATGGGGCATCAATATTTCCAAGAAGCTGGCCGGGCGCGGTGGCTCAAGCCTGTAATCCCAGCACTTTGGGAGGCCGAGACGGGCGGATCACAAGGTCAGGAGATCGAGACCATCCTGGCTAACACGGCGAAACCCCGTCTCTACTAAAAACACAAAAAATTAGCCGGGCGAGGTGGCGGCGCCTGTGGTCCCAGCTACTCGGGAGGCTGAGGCAGGAGAATGGCGGGAACCCGGGAGGCGGAGCTTGCAGTGAGCTGAGATCTGGCCACTGCACTCCAGCCTGGGCGACAGAGCGAGACTCCGTCTCAAAAAAAAAAAAAAAAAAAAAAAAAAATATTTCCAAGAAGCCACATTCTCCATAGAAACTCTTGGTAAGGGGAGCTACTGCTCGTACAGTGGCATGGAGGGGGTGCAGTGAGAGTGAAAGGCGGTAAGAGAACAGTAAAGAGAAAAATATGACAAGGGAGGGCCATGGGGATTTATGATTTTTGTTACTTTCCTCATGGTTGTCTGACAACCACAGGTCTCCTTTAGCATTGAGTATGCCGTTCACGTCATGAGATTCCACACAGTAAGATGTCTTCCCTGTATTATTTTAACTGCTTCAGATACTAAGACTGCTACTGCTGCCACTACCCATAAACAATGAGGCCAACCCTTTGCCACTACATCAATTTCCTTACTCAGGTATGCCACAGGTTGCAAGCTCATCCCTCGGACCTGTGTAAGGACTCCTAGGGCTATTCCTGTCTTTTTCTGTGACATATAGAGAAAAGTCTTGCCCCATTGGCAAGTTTAACACTGGGGCTTGGGTTAGGGCCTTCTTTAGGGCCTGGAAAGCCACTTCTGCTTCAGGTGTCCATCTTACTAAATGGGTATTGGCTTTCTGAGTTTCCTTAATTAGTGTATATAATGGTCTGGCTATTTTTGCGTACATGGGAATCCATATTCAGCAGAAACCTGTTACGCCAAGGAACCCTCTTACTTGCTTTAGGGCTTTGGGGTGAGGATGAGCCAGTATAGGCTGGACACGTTCCTCACTGAGGGCCCTGGTGCCTTCGGATAATTTTAGCCCTAAGTATTTAACCTGCTGTGAGCAGAGCTGAGCCTTTGGTTTGGAAACCTTGTAGCCACAGGTAATGAGGAAATTTAAGAGCACTCGGGTGGCTTGATGGCACAAGGTTTCTGACTGGGCAGCTAGAATTAAATCATCCACTTACCGAAGGACAAGAGTGTCCAGGTATGAGAACTGGCTCAAGTCTTGGCTAATGCCTGGCCAAACAGATGGGGGCTATCCCTGAACCCTTGGGGTAAAACAGTCCAGGTGAGTTGAGACGTTGGGTTCAAAGGATCTTCAAAGGCAAACAAGAATTGAGAGTCAGGATGTACACAGATGCAGAAAAAGACATCCTTAAGGTTCAGGACTGTAAACCACTCTGCTTCCTCTGGTATTTGGGAAAGCAGAGTATAGGGGTTAGGTACCGCTGGATATAGAGGGACAACAGCCTCATTGATAATCCCAATATCTTGCTCTAACCTCCACTGTCCGTTGGGTTTCTGTACTCCTAAAACTGGAGTATTGAAGGGGCTATTGCGTGGTTTTACTAGGCCTTGGGCTTTTAGGTCCTTAACAATCTTTTGGATTCCTTGTTGGGCCTCGGGTCTAAGGGGGTACTGCCTTTGGTAGGAAAAGGAGGTGGAATCCTTGAGTTTAACTTGAACAGGACAGGCATTCTTTGCTCATCCATATTGTTCTTCTGTTGCCCGGACTTCAGGATTAATTCCTTCCTCAAGCCGGGGACAACAAACGGGTGTTCCTTCTCCTCTGTTCAGGTGTATAATGGCCCCTGCTTTCGCTAGAATGTCTCTCCCTAACAAAGGAGTGGGGCTTTCAGGCATAATTAGAAAAGCATGTGATAAGAGTAAAGTTCCCCAGTCACAGCTCAGTGTCTGGGAGAAGTATCTAGTGACTGGCTGTCCTAGGACCCCTCGGATAGTGACAGATCTGGAGGACAGTTGTCCGGGACCAGAGAGGAAGACTGAGAAGGCCGTGCCAGTGTTCAGGAGACAGTTAACTTCCTGGCCCTCAATGGTCAAGCATACCCGGGGCTCTGTGAGGGTGATGGCATGGGCTGGCACTTGCCTTGGGCACCCTCAGTCCTGCTGCTGGATCATCTGGTTAGTGGCTTCTGACTCAGAGGACCTTTGTCCCCTGGGGCAGTGGGCCTTCCAGTGATTCCCTTGACATAAGGGGCATGGACCAGGGGGCGGCTTATTTCTATTTGGACAATCATTTTAAAGTGTCCTTGTAGACTGCACAGGATGCAAGCCCTATTAGGCATTCGATTTGCCCAGCTTTTCCCTTTTCCAGAGCCTCCAAAGTCTGCTTGCCTGAGGGTCATGACTAAAGCGGTAGCCTTTTTTTATCCTGTTTGTCCCGTTCCACCTGCTCCTCCTTATCTCTATTACAAAAAGCCAAGGTTGCCAAGTTTAATAGGGTTTCTAAGTTTTGCTCCGGGCCTAAGGCGGACTTTTTAAGTTTTTTTTCTAATGTCTGCAGCTGACTGAGTGATACATTTATCCTTTAAGATTAGTTGACCTTCAGTAGAGTCAAGTGACAGAGAGGTATGCTTCCTCAATGCCTCCCTTAGTCTCTCCAGAAAGGCAGTAGGATTTTCTTCCTTTCCCTGTGTTACAGTGGACATCAATGAATAATTCATAGACTTATTCCTAGTTTTCCTTAGTCCTTCTAGCACACAAGTTAGCAAATGTCTGTGGCACCAATCTCCATGTCCTGATTCTGTGTCCCAATGAGGGTCTACACTGGGAACTGCCTGCTGGCCTGTGGGGAATTGTTCTTTCCTCTGTTATCATCGTATCATTGACCTGACTTAGATACCAGAGATCGCCAAACTCTTGGGCTGCTGTTACGGTAGCACTTCTCTGATTTGGGGCTAGTGTCTGATTTAGCAGTAACATTATATGTCTCCATGTCAGATCAAAGGATTGTCCTAACCCTTGTAAAACACCAATATAGCCATCAGGGTTATCTGAGAATTTACCTAGGTCTATTTTTAATTTGCTTCAAGTCTGAGAGAGAAAAAGGTACATGCTCTCTGGCTGGGCCAAATTTTCCTCCTCCCACTGCTTGGAGGGGGCATAATCGGGGAATATTGGCACTCTTTGGTTCATTGTTTACCCCTTTGTCTATCTCCTTTTGGACCGTTTGGGTTGAAGCAGGGTTCTTATTAGTTGGGGAAGGAGTTGGGGGGATGCTGGGTTAGGGAGGTAGACTCTGAAGGCTTTCTGTAGGGCATAAATCACACTTTTTGCATAATTGCGAGTTGTCGCTTAATGAAAAGGAAGTTTGTACCTATGGCACTTCACTCCATTTGCCTTCTTTTTTACAAAAGAGGTCTAGCTGTAAGATGGTGTTATAATTTATCCTCCCCTCAGGAGGCCAGGTTTCTCCCCCTTGAAGAGGATATGGTGGCCGGGTGGTACTGCAGAAGAATATAAGTCATTTCTTTCTTAGTGTCTGAGGGTTAAATTGGTCCCACTTCTCCAGAATACATCTTAGGAGCATTTTTGCCTTGGGGGGAACATTTCCCATCTGAAAAAAGAACACAGGGATGCCAGAACCCCTAGTCATTTTCCGATGAGCATTAGTCCTAGAGCGTCCTCTATGGTCCTAACGCTTATTCCTTTCCAGGGTGCGTCACCACCCATGGACCTCTGCTTATCCGATTAGTTACACTCACGGATGTAGCAGTCCTGCACCCCTTTTCCCGCCTCTCTTGACCACAAAGAAAGGGGTCCGGACTGCTGGATCCTAATGGTCCCTTACCAGCGTGTCCAACATTGCCTTTGTGCTCAGGGGTGAGTCCTAGAGCTGGGCTGGATTCCTGAGTATCTCATAACAACCCAGCTGCCCCATCAAGATGCATTCCCATAAACAGTTCTTATGCAAATTTATTTCAGAGAGCGTGTAGGTAACCTTTTGAGTCAGGATTGAGATAGTCTTTTTGATTCTGTAGGTACTTTAAGGCTTCGCTGAGTGCAAACAGCTCCCATGTTTTAAGAGACCAATTATTAGGCAATTTTTCTAACTCTGCTTCCACAAGAGTCTCCTGTCAATTACTGAATACCCATTGTGGTTTTTTTCTCAATCACCTGGGAGGAACTGTCTATCTATCATCCTGTCCTGAAGGGTGTTCCTCCTAGGTCTGGTCGGACATTTGTATGGTAATTAAGATTTAAATCCCCTGTAAGGAAACCTGCTGGGTTAAGGGAATTATCAGTGGTGAGTGTTAAATTACTTTTTTCTAACAGACTAGCCCCATACTTTAAGATTTTTGAGTTAGTAAGCTACCTTTTGCTTTTTTTGACTTAGAATAATTCTGAACTGGTGAAGTGTGCTCACAATGAGGTTTCCTCTAAAGGTTATTTTTCTACTTTTCGCAAAGCAGTTACCGCTACCGACTGAATGCATTTGGCCCATCCGTGGGTTACTGGGTTGTCGAGAGCTGTATACCTAAATCGGGAGGGACACCAGGGACAAGACTCTCTGGGTTTATAGCCTAGATGCCTAAGGATGCACCGTAGAGCTTCCTTAGATCCCTTTGGAGATACAACTTGCTAGAGGAAATTAAAGTCTAAACCGTTAGTACCTAGGAGGCAGGGATCAGAGGAAGTAGATTCAGAGGTAAGGAGAATTTTGGGGCTATACTTTCAAGAAAGTCGTGGTCAGGACCCAGGAGGTATAAATGAGAAGGAAAGGTAGGGGAGCACACATGGGCGACTGTTGAGTAGAGACTTCTGGCTGCGCCATGATCTCAACCAGCTAATGCCAGGAGTTTGGGATGACAGCTTTCTGCCTCTAGTCGGCCCTCGGCTTCCCCAGGAAAATTGAAAACGAAAGCTGGTTCTAGGCAGATGAAGGCTCCCACCCCAGAAGGGTTGGGGGTTGTTAGAAAGCCCTTCCCCAGACAGCCTCACACCTGAGTCTTAAGTCCAGCGGCCGCGCTAATCGTTTTTAACTGGCCGATAGGTGCCCAGTATTTTCCTCCAATTCTAAGGAAAGATAGGGCAGAATAGCAAGCGAAAGTGGTCCAATATTACCGCTTTTGGAGGTCCCTTCGTGGTCGCCAAATGTTACTGGGGATCCCTGCTCCCAGAGGTCACAAGATGGTGGTGGGGCCACTTCCAAGATGGTGGCAAGCCATGTGTTCTCTGACCTGGGGTTCTTGGCCTCACAGATTCCAAGGAATGGAATCTTGGGCCATGCGGTGGGTCACAGAAGAGAACCGTGGAACCCAGTGACTAGTGTTCAGCTCCATTAGGACGAACCCGGGCACTTAGCCATGCAGGAACAATGGCAAGCTTCTAGCCCAATCAGGAGAGGCAATGGGCGCCTCCATGGATCAGGAGCACGGCGGACACCCTGCCAGATCTGGAGGGATGGAAGTCAGCAGCGGATCTGTGAGGGCGGCAAACCGCAGTGGTGGCAGCAAACCGCAGTGGTGGACGGCGAGCGAAAACTCAGCTCAACCCAGAACAAACACGGACCAGAGGAGAGTGCAGTTGCAAGATTTCATAGAGTGAAAACAGAGGTCCCATACAATGGGAGGGGACCCAAAGAGGGTAGCCCGTAAACTTTCATTTGTAATGAGCACCAAGATTTCTTAAAATCCCATTTCTCAGCTGCCTCCAGGTTTTTCCCTTTCCGAATTTTTTTTTTTTTTTTTTTTTTTTTTTTTTTTTTTTTGAGATGGAGTCTCACTCTGTCTCAAAAAAAAAAGGCTGGAGTGCAGTAGTGCAATCTCGACTCACTGCAAGCTCCGCCTCCTGTGTTCACGCCATTCTCCTGCCTCAGCCTCCCAAGTAGCTGGGACTACAGGCGCCCGCCACAACGCCCAGCTAATTTTTTGTATTTTTAGCAGAGACAGGGTTTCACCGTGTTAGCCAGGATGGTCTCCATCTCCATCTCTTGACCTCATGATCCAACCGCCTCGGCCTCCCAAAGTGCAGGGATTACAGGCATGAGTCACTGCATCCAGGCTTCCCTTTCCAATTTTTATAGAATCTTCAGAAAAAAAAAAAAAAAAAGCCCCCCAGGGGGAGACCCTGAACTCAGCGTCTGCCCCAGGGTGGAGGCTCCCTGGCCAGGCAGAGACTCCATCCTGAGGACCCCTAGCCTGGCTTGCTCCTCCATGCTTGAGGTGAAATCTGGATCCAGCCCAAAGTAGGTGGTGTGGAGGAGCTTCAGAAAGACAGAGTGACTGGGAGGGATAAGGGGTGTGGATGGGCAGACACTAATATTTTCCCCCATAACCTTATTCCTCATTGGCTTATTCAAGTGAGCAAATATGCTTTTTATATATGTATCAGCTACTATTTACATTTAAAATTCTTTGTTATGGAAATTTTAAAGCATAAATAAAAGTAGAAAGAATAGTGCAACAAACCCATCACTTTCAAAGACTAGTAGGGTCATATCAGAAGGTTGCCAGAGCCAGGCCACGGAGAGTGCCCTAGGTCCCAGATGGGCTACTTGGAGCATCTAAAAGAGAACATCTACAATTGAATGAATAATGCTAATATTTTAAAAATAATTATGCTGAAAGAGAAGCTTCTCCTGTTCCCACCAAGCAGGCAGACACAAGTAACATATTGGTCACCTTTGAAAGTAACTACTGCCCCAACTTCTTACTCTGAATGTGGGTAATTAAGGGAAAGAATTAAGCATTTATGCTTATTTTCCTGACCAAACTATAGTTTAGGAAACCTCATAGTTCTAGTTGATAAGAAAACTTTTTTCTCCTCTCTCCTTTTTTTTTTTTTTTTTTTACAAAGGATCTTTTGTGCATCTCAAATCAAACAATTGCACAAAGGTATGTTTTAGAAACAATAAGGGAAATTTGATTATAAACTAGGCTTAGATTATATTAAGAAATTGTTATTAATTTTAAGGTGAGATAGTAGTATTGTGTTTATGTAGGAAAATTCCCTTAGTTTTTAGAGATTATATTTAGTATTTAAGGGTTAAATGTCATGATTTCTGAGAATGACTTAAGAATATTTCAGTGAAGAAAAAAATAGGGAAAGCAAACATCTGTTGTGTATACTGCAAATGATTTTCTTATTATATTGATTTAAAAAATGTATATACACACATATATATACATAGGTACCAAAACCCAGGAGCATAACATTTATATTTTTGACATTTGGAAGCTTAAATTTTTTATGTAATCAAATATCAGATATCTTTGCTATTTTTCCATTAATTTTCTGCATAGGAAGTTTTTTCTCATGAGTACATAAATATTTACTTATTATTTTAGTGTTTTTTTTTTTTTTTTTTTACCTTTTATTTTTGTCTGTAAAATAGATGTAATATTTATTCTGGTGTTTTCTAAAGCCCAGCCCTAAGAATACCATTTTGTGATTATGCAAACAAATAATTGGAGATCTACAGTTAAAACTAAGTTTCAGGTAAGTTACCAGTACATTAGATGTGGTGGACATTTTAATGAGACACCTTCTCTTCTCGATACTTAGATATGGAGGTCTCAGCCTGTGAGGCTGGGGGTGACGTTTGAAGCTGCAGTCTTCTGTGATATTGCCCATGGTCTGTCTTACACCTGGAACTTGATGGACTCTGAAGGGCTCCCTGTCTCCCTCCCTGCTGCTGTGGACACTCGCAGACAGACCCTCATCCTCCCGAGCCACACCCTGGAGTATGGGAACTACACTGTCCTTGCCAAGGTCAGCTCGCTGACTTAGGGCTCTACCGGCCCAGTGAAACCCATGCTTCCCATCGCCCTGCAGCAAGAGCTCAGCATTTGTGATTCAACACCTGTTCTAGCCAGGAAAAGGGAGGCTGTTTAAAAAAATCGGCTGGGCGCGATGGCTCACGCCTGTAATCCCAGCACTTTGGGAGGCCGAGGCGGGCGGATCACAAGGTCAGGAGATCGAGACCACGGTGAAACCCCGTCTCTACTAAAAATACAAAAAAAAATTAGCCGGGCGCGGTTGTGGGCGCCTGTAGTCCCAGCTGCTCGGGAGGCTGAGGCAGGAGAATGGCGTGAACCCGGGAGGCGGAGCTTGCAGTGAGCCGAGATCGCGCCACTGCACTCCAGCCTGGGCGACAGAGCGAGACTCCGTCTCAAAAAAAAAAAAAAAAAAAAAAAAAAAAAAAAAAATCTGGGTAGGATTTTAAGAGAAACGTGTTATTCTCCCAAAGAGAACAAATGATGTTCAAATGCTGGCAAAGCAATTGATGAAAAACTCCTTCCAATGTGTATAAGAAAACCTTCCTGAGTACCTAATTTGAATAAACCCTGTGCTGGTGCTGGGATGTAAGGAGAATACGTGGCCTACCATTTAGGGGCCAATCACCCAGAAAGGAAAGGGGATGACAGTCAGAGGGCAGGGCATCCAAGAGGCATTCACAGTGACTGCCTGGCACTTTGATTCTCAGCATGTGCTTGGTGCATTTTGGCTGGAAAAAAATGGTGAAAATATGCGCGTTAAAAGAGGCAGAGGCCATTTTTTAAAAAGTAGACTTCAAGAAAGAGGGTCCTGAAAAGAGAATCTGTTCACAGACATAGAAAGGGATTGGGAGGGGCAGCAGCTTGGCAAAGGCTAGAAGAAGACCAGGGATAGTGAGCAGACCCTGGTGGGAGAGTCTGGGATGAAATGACATAGTGGGCAGGCCAGACTGCGGGGACCGGATCAGGGACCATCAGGATACCTGCAGCGAAAGAACTTTGTTCTTTTAAGCTGTGGGGCACGCAGTCCTACTGAGCACAGTTCCAGCTGGTGCCTTGTGTGGCTGGCCACAGAGCTCCTTGGCACCCAAACTGCCCTGACCTTGCCTGAGGAAGCAAATCCTCCCAATCTGTGCTGGGATGTCACAGCAATGACAAACGCTGGAGTTGCCAGAAGCTTCCTCTCAGTGTCTGTACTTATCTCATTGTGAAATAGGCAGGTAATGATGGGCCAAGTGACAGCAGGCTGCAGACCAGGCTTAGCATAGCATTACTTCAGATGGAGGTTGTAGGAAAATCCAGAGCTTTCCCAGCAGGCTGTATACTCTTCTTTGGAAATGTTGATTGGGAACAAGTAGGAAACAGACTGAAGGATGGGATGTTGGGAGAGTGCTAGTGAAGGTGAGAAGTCACTAGAGGCTGAAGCAGGGGGCAGCCGGGGAATAGAGAGCAGAGTAGGGTCAGTGTCGGGGGACCTCGGGGTGATGGGTAGCATCTGACCTGACAGGTAGTTAATTGTAAGAAGCCAAGGTGAAATGCAAAGGAAAATCTGTAATACTGAACGAGTGAAGGAGGGTGAGTCTGCTCTTCATTTCCCTAATGAAAACAGCACTATTTGTACCTGGCTGTGTGCTGGGGGAGGGATTTGGAGATAAATAAGGTATTTGCACACTTTCGTGAACAACCTAGTAGGTGAGGTAGATAGAACCTGTAAACTAAAAATAAAATCCTAAGACGCCCCCAACCAACTAAACAAATCCCCTCTTGGCCAAGGGGACCCAGAAAAACCTTTAAAAATTAGAGTTCCCGGCCATAATGGGACTCAAGGTCAGATATGCCTCATTACACCCCCTCCCTTTCACAGTTTAGGCACGAGTAACCAGCATTAATGTTAAAATAGAGATTATAAGACTGACCGAACAGACTCTTTTTTTTTTTTTTTTTTGAGACAGGATCTCACTCTGTTGCCCAGGCTGGAGTGCAATGGCTGCAATCTCAGCTCACTGTAACCTCTCCCTCCTGGGCTCAAGTGATCCTTCTGCCTCAGCCTCCTGAGTAGCTGGGACTACATGGGCATACCACCATGCCTGGCTAATTTTTTGTAGAGACGGGGTTTCACCCTGTTGCAAAGGCTGCTCTTGAACTCCCGGCTCAAGCAATTTGCCTGCCTCAGCCTCCCAAAGTGCTGGGATTATAGGCGTGAGCCATCACGTCTGGCCAGGACATACTCTTTATGACAATAAGATACCAAATTATAAACAAGACCTAAGGTGATGCCAGGCAAGAGTGAAATCATGCAGTCCTACAATTAAAAAACAAACTAGGTTCTCATTGCCACGGGATTTTTCTCCCTTTTTCTCTATCAACTAAACAAACACTAGCCTTAAAATAAGCAATATTAAAACCATTACAACTCTACAACCACCAAACATCAACTAACTAAACCCTCCTATTCCTCAAGCCATAACTATAACTTTAATTAAACAAAAAACTAATTTCTATAACTTTTTCCTAATAAAAAACACCAACCATAAACTAATTCTGCCCAGTTTTATAGAGACTACACATTTAAGTGCCTTCATGTCCGTACTTTACCTTGTAACATAAACAACCTAATTATAATATATTCCAATATTATCTCCACCCAAAAGTAAACATAAAACACATACATATGTTTACTTATTACACAAAAACACAATCCTCTTCCATAGATATCCGTAACTCCTATATCCTGTGAATATGGGATAACCCATTCAACTTAAATTCCTGTCTTACCCCTCCCTCCCTCCTCAAAACACTTACTTTCAATTTTTTAGCCAGAGACTACACTTCCTGCTTACAGATTACCATCCCTTTCTTAAAAAATAAAACTCTGCTTTCTAAATTTATAAACTACGTAATTTTTAAATTAAGCCCAACAAGCCATAGAAGATGTGTCCAGCCTGTGGGACAGGCCAGGCAATGGGAGCTCCAAGGGAGATTTGGCTGTGAGCCGGGAGCCAGCTCTGTGGTCTTCAGTGTCTTTACAGGGGATCCCTGTCTCTCTAAGTCTTGGAGACCTTCTGACAGATAAGGTAACTTCTGCTGTTTCTGACCTCACAGTCAGAGCCTCAGGTTTCCTTTGCTCCTGACCATCCCTGCATCTTCCCCAAGCAACTTGGCGCTTGGTGCCTCCTCCAGCCTTTGTATATACTTGGAACATTCTCAGCAGCTCCTTGGAGCTGGACAGGCTGAGCAAGCAGAGATTGAAGGCGGAAATGGAAGTTCTGATCCTACAACTGTTCCGTAGTCTTTGGTCCTACTCAGGAGACTGATCAGCAGGGAGCTGTGTGCATCTGAAGAAAATCTAGAGTGAACAAGGCTGAGACCCAGTGAAAGAACAGCAAGTATTAGACTGTATTTTTTCAAATTGCATCAAATTTTTAATTTTTTGACAGTGTCTCATTCTGTTGCCCAGGCTGGAGCATAGTGGTGTGATCTTAGCTCACTGCAACCTCCCACTCTGGGCCTCCTGGGTTCAAGAGATTCTCGTGCCTCTGCCTCCCAAGTAGCTGGGATTACAGGCGCACGCCACCACACTCAGCTAATGTTTGTATTTTTAGTAGTGATGAGGTTTCACCATGTTGCGCAGGCTGGTCTCAAACTCCTGAGTGCAAGCAATCCACCCACCTCAGCCTCCCAAAGTGCTGAGATTACAAGCATGAGCCACCGCGCCTGGCCACATCAAACTTGTAAAAGAACAATGTGAATGCTTTATTTATAACATGTTCCGCTATTCCTCGGTTTAAAAGTATTTGTCTTAAATTTCATTTACACTTCCTAAAGTCCATGATATGTTTGCGGGTTAGAAAGAAGCAGCTCTAAGATAGGTGAAGGAAGTTGCACAAAAGCCAGGAGGCTGAACAATTCACTGTGGAAGAAGGAGGTTTAAAAACTATAAAATGTGCACACATGGAGAGTCTCTATTGTGTTCACAAGCTAGGAAATGCCCAACGTTGTACATTAACACAAGCTTGGACAGGAAGATGTTCGTGCTCTTGTGGACTCCAGTCACAGCTCTCATGTCGCACAGTAGAGTGGTTATTTTGACTAGCATGACTGTTTTAGTTGGAGCCGGGGATGCATTGAGTTTCCTTTCTAATTTTCAGATGAATGTGTTTCTCCAGCGAGTCCCTGGCTTGTCCCTGCATGACATCCCCTGTCCTTCCTTGCCCCTGCAGGTTCAGATTGAAGGCAGTGTGGTGTACAGTAACTACTGTGTGGACCTGGAGGTGCGAGCCCAGGCCCCTGTCAGTGTGATCTCCGAGGGCACACACCTGTTCTTCTCCAGGACCACCTCATCCCCCATTGTCCTCAGAGGGACCGAGTCCTTCGACCCTGACAACCCTGGGGCAACTCTCAGGTGAGCACCACGCACACACACAGCTGTGCGGCTACTCAGACCGCGCATTCTGCAAATGCAGGCTCGGGGATGTTGGAGGTTATTAATAGTTTTAAATTTTAAGCGCATCCACTTTCATAAGTTTAACTGCTTTATTTAGAATCAAAATATAAGGGAATTGAGGAAAAGAGTGGAAGTAAAATGTGTGTCGCTTTTTAAGGTGGTGTTTAAAGAATGATCTGGGCCGGGCACGGTGGCTCAAGCCTGTAATCTCAGCACTTTGGGAGGCCGAGGCGGGTGGATCACGAGGTCAGGAGATCGAGACTATCCTGGCTAACATGGTGAAACCCTGTCTCTACTAAAAATACAAAAAACTAGCCGGGAGTGGTGGCGGGCGCCTGTAGTCCCAGCTGCTTGGGAGGCTGAGGCGGGAGAATGGCGTGAACCCGGGAGGCGGAGCTTGCAGTGAGCCAAGATCACGCCACTGCACTCCAGCCTGGGAGACACAGAGAGACTCCGTCTCCAAAAAAAAAAAAAAAAAAAAAAAAAAAAAAGAATGATCTGTTTTGGAACGTGAGGTTTGAGTGTCACCATTATTAAATTTTTGGTTGGTGAGATGCCGTGGTGTGTGGAAGGCTTGGTTTCCACAGGTTTCTCATCTCCAGGTGGATGGGTCTCTTGTTGCTGGAGGCTGCCCCCAGTTCAGGCCTTGTTCCTCTTCTCCATCCACACCCCTTCCCACCTATGGCCTCAGCCAGGGTCCTGATGTGGATCTATCCATGATCCATGTGCAATAGCCTCAAACAGGGATTCTCTGTTTAGACCACTCCCCGGACTCTGGACTGTGAATCCCAGCCTCCCTACAGCGCCCCCTCTGGACAGCCTCGAGACATCTCAGCCACACGCCTGCCTTCTGCACCCATAGAAGGACCTTTCCCATTGCTCAGGCCAAAATCTTCTTTCTTTTTTTTTTTTTTTTTTTTTTTTGAGGTAGGGTCTCACTCTGTCTCCCAGACTGGAGTGCAGTAGCTTGATCTCAGCTCACTGGAAACTCCGCCTCCTGGATTCAAGTGATTCTCCTGCCTCAGCCTCCTGAGTAGCTGGGACTACAGATGCACACCACCATGCCTGGCTAATTTTTGTATTTTTAGTAGAGATGGGTTTCCCCATGTTGGCCAGGCTAGTTTTAAACTCCTGACCTGAAGTGATCTGCCCACTTTGGCCTCCCAGAGTGCTGGGATTACAGGCCTAAGCCATCACGCCCGGCCACAGGCCAAAATCTTTAGCAGCATCTTTTACTTTTACTTTTCTTTTTTTGGCCCTCCCTTAAACATCAGTTCCACAGCACCTCCCCTACCCCCATTCATTCTGGTTTGAGCTGCCAGGGTCTTGGGCTTATCTCTGTAAGATCTCCTGGCCAGTTTCCACACCTCCATCCTCCCCTGCAGCCCTGTCTCCATGGCAGGGATGGGTTCTTTTGCTAGTATTATTGGTTTTTATTCTTTCTGATTTAGGGGATATGAGGCAGTTTTTTTCCATGGATATATTGGTGGTGTTAAAGCCTGGACTTTTAATGTAACCATTCCCTGAATGCTGTACAATTCACCCAATAGGTAATTTCTTATCCCTCACCTGCCTCCCACCCTCCCTCCTTTTGGAGACAGATTCTTTTAAAACAGTCAGAAGACTTTACTTCACAGTTCGACCCTCCAGCACCCCCTTTTTACTCAAGAGTAAAAGCTAACGTCCTCACACTGCCAATGAGGCCGACGTGATCTCTCCCAACCCGCTGCGGCTTCAGCTGTCCCTTCCTGCCTCCACAGCTCACTGCGCAGCCCGCTTGGCCTTCCTGCCCCTCCTTGGATTTACCCAGCTTGCATCTCTCTCAGCTCTTTACAGCAAGGATTCCCTCTGAAGCTCATCACTCAGTTCACCAAACGTCTGCCATCACCCCCTTCCTTTCACTCATTGCTCAAATGTCACCTTCCCAGTGGGGCCCCCGCTGAGACTCCAAAATGACAGATCCCCTGCCCTGGTTTGATGGCATCTTTCTTCGCAGTAGTCACCCCTGACATGGAGCCTTTGCTCACTTACTATGGTCACTGCTCCGGAGGGCAGGGCTCTTATTTGACATATCCCCCATGCCTGGAACATAGTAGCTAGTCAGGGAATATTTATTTATAAAGCAATAGATGAGTTGTGTTGTTTTCCCAACCCCTGTGATCACATATATTTGCTGTATTGTAGGTGTGGGATTTGGTGTTTCTTGAGTTGAGAGGAGGCAAAAGGCTGCTTGGACTCAATGATTCGATTCATGCACATGCTCTGGGGAAAGCCCTCAGCCATCTGCCGACTTCCCTGCACCCAACCTAAGGAGACAGACACTGTGTCTTACTCATCTTCACATCCCCATGCCCTAGCACCAGCACAGTGCCCCCAAAACAAGAGCTCCATGTGTGGCTGCTGAAATGAGCTGAATTTGTTCCCTGGGAATATAGAATATTCCAGCTAAGTCCCAGGGGCAGTTGCTCTGCACAGCCTGTGAGCTGGAGGCAGTGTTCCTGCTGAGTGGGGTAGTTCCTGAGCCATCACAGTGGCTCTTTATGCAGGCTCTGGAAACAGAAAGGTCTAGAATGAGGTGCCTGCACACCAGACAGGGAAATGCTCTTTAAAAGATCAATATCAGTTCACATTTAAGTGACACCTCTAGAAAGGGCTTATGGCTGCGGGATGGAGCCAGGCCTTCCTAGCCACGAACATTTCCGTGGCAGCGTTTCCTCCCTGCTGGAACTGCATGTTTGAGTGTGCATCCCTGCTAGAGTAAGGCTGGCTCAAGGTTGGGGGTGACATCTTCTTGCTTGACCCGGACGGAGCAGCCACGTTTATCTCGTTGGGTGTGGCAATTGTCATATTGCAGAAAGACGGTGAGACTGGGAGGAGAGATGCCTGAAGTCCATCTCACAGACCCCTCACTAGCTGTGCTACAGGGAAACACTCTGAGGCCTCCCAAATGCATTTTCTTCCTAAAATTGGGCTCACATGGCATTCTTGTCTGTCACGTGGAGCTGTCATGAGGGTGGGGTGCAGTGTTTGGGAAATACTTGAGGGCAGCACAGCTGTGTGACTTGGGAAGTGGCAGTGATGTGAGCAGAGGAGGTTGCTGTGCGCAGAGAAGGGGTAGGAAGCCTGGGGCGGCCGGAAACAAGGCTGTCTGGAGTCAGGCCTCAGTGAGTCGGGAGGGGTGGCCTGAGCCCACCCCGGTTGTTGGTGGTGCTGCTGCACTTTTGCAACCTCCCACCTCACTTACAGGAGAAAATGTGGGAAGCAATATCTCTTTCCCAACACCTGTTCCCTGTGGTCCCCCCTTCACCCGGAGAAAACCCATGCAGTGACACAGGGCAGTCCCTGGCTCTGCCTGATGCTCCCCTCAGCCACTCCGATGACTTCTCCAACAGGTATCACTGGGAATGCGCCACGGCCAGCTCCCCAGCACGTCCCTGCTTCGACTCCTCCACTGCACACCAACTGGACGCCGCTGCTCCCACTGTTTCCTTTGAGGCACAATGGCTCAGTGACAGCTATGATCAGTTCCTTGTGATGCTGAGGGTCTCCAGTGGTGGCCGGAACTCTTCTGAGGCCCGGGTGTTCCTGTCCCCCTACCCTGACTCGGCACTCAGGTACCACCTGCCCTGCGTTCAGCACAGCTCAGCTCACAGGTGTTTGCTCCCACCTGGTGCTAGCATCCGTGAAAGGAATCTGCTGTGCACAGCAAGCAGTTTGGAGTTTGGCCATGCGGGATTCTCACTGCAAAGGAGGAGGAGAAGACTGTTCAGAAAGGGGCTGGGGAAGCAGTCTGCGCTCTCGGGCTGACGTCTAGGCAGCATCTGACAGCCAAGCAAGCTAGCTAAAGCTGGCACAGCCGGGGGTTCCGAGTGGAGCCTCAGTGGGAACCCTCCCATCACAGCACCTGCCCGAAAGATTGGGGACTGTCCTGGGGCTTGGGGCTGAAGCCAGGAGGCAAAGCCATCAAGTTCCCAGCCAGGGGTTTCAGGGCCACTGCCCAGGCCTTCCAAGCATCACAGGGTGGAAGGGACAGCATTGTGGGCCAAGTTATGATGTCTGAGACTGTGAAAGGTGCAGAGGCAAAGAAGTGCTGTGCCCCAAACCCAGAACCCCTGTAGCACTGAGGCCAGAATAGCACCAGTGGGTGAAGTGCAGCCCCCAGACACCAAACACAGGGTACCAGGACCGAGCCAAGTGCAGGGGTGTGCGTGGGTTGCAGCTGTTTCACAGCCTCCTCCTCTGAGGGGGTTGGGTCATTATGTAAGTGAGCATCAAGGATGGAGCAGGAGCCCAGGCCCACCTGCTTTGGACACTCTCCTGAGGGGGCTGCAAGCTGGCACCCACCCAGGAAGCAGTGCTGGGACTGACCGTCTGCCTGTAGCCCTGTATGTCACCTGGAAGGCCCCAGGTAGATCGAGCTGCTTCCATCATGGATGGTAGGGGCAAGGGGCCTGGGCAGCTACTATGGTCCTATTTGTGGGCTGGGTGGTTTGGGAAGGCTTCCTGGAGGAGGAAGCAAATCTGCTGTCCTCAGAGATCAGAAAGACTGCTTTGAAGGTCATGCCCTGGACTGGAATTCAGGGTTTCAAGATTAGAGCCATGAAAGTAAGGCTCAGTAGATAAGAGTGGGCCATGCCATGGTGGGCTCCAACGTCACACAGCCCTGCCCAGGGGTCCCCACAGGCCCAGACTACTGACTGTTATTTGAGGCTCCGGATGTGTATTAAAAGTGAAGAAATGCCAGGTACAAGGCTACAACAATTGGGGCACATTTAAATCATTAAATTTAACAGATTAAATACTTTTTTTCCAAAAATGTAATGTACTATATACCTCTGCTACTCATGAGATAATTACAGAATTTATTTTAAAATATTCTTTCAATACGTGCCAAAGCTATCGAGTGAACATCTTTTGATCCTGTCAGGAAGGTCCAGGCCTGTGTGGATGATGTCCCCAGGAGGTCCGTGGGCTGGAGGGACCTCTCTTTGCCCATGTCTGTCCGCACCCCTGCCACCCCACTGTGCACCCACACGGATGCACCCTTTCACACATACACACAGCCTGGACCCAGTGCTGGGTGAGGATGCAGTGTGGCCCCCTCCCACCATGGCCCCTCAGCCCTGTGCTGGGAGCCGAGTGCTGAGGCCATAGTCTGAGACGTGGGCCGTCAGGTGCAGGGTATAGGATGTTTGCATGGGAGACACCAGGTACCACACACACCCCAGAGTGTCTACCGACCTGGCCGTTTAAAAACCTTCCTAAGTCCCACAGGAAATAAATCTGTTAAATCCCAAACCACCCCCTTGATATCATGAAAAACCATAAAAGTGCACTCTGGAAGGTACTGGGTCAGCAAAGAGACTAGAGGGCTTGACAGAAGGCAGCCGTGGAATGCAGGCCCGAGGGAGGTGGGCGCCGGGCTGTGGGCGTGGTATGTGTGAGCTGCCCACGACCCAAACCCTGCGCAGGGAAGAGGCGGGGCTGAGGCAGTGGAGACTTCTTTCTCTGTGAGCATCTGAGGCTGTATGGGAATCGCAAAGGTGGACGGCCATGGGGAGGGTTTGGATGGGATGGGTTTGCAGCTGGTAGAAGCAAGCCCTGAGGCGAGGCAGTGAGGAGGGGCCATGTGGTGGCAACCGCTCTAGTATGGAGAGCTGGGCCAGAGCCCAGGCTCTGGAAACAGAGGGACATTGGCCAGGCCCAGCTTTGCCCTCACTGCTGTGTGACTCGGACAAGCTGCACAGCCTCTCTGAACTCTGTAGGGTGGCAGCGTCCTTGCCTCACTGGATCTCGCAGTGTTAGAGCAGATCACGTGAGTGTCGAGCATGGCGCAGTGTTGGCCACTCCATATGTGCCATCATACGTGCTGTGACATTGCTATTGAATTCCCTTAATTAAGATCCAAAGTAGGGTGATTTAAACATGCTTAACATGAATTAATGTGACCAAAGAACCCTCACATTATTTTCCTAAGATCTCAAGCCAATTTATGTATTTCAGATTCATCCACATCTCCTGGGTCAGCTTTAAAGACACCTTCGTCAACTGGAATGACGAACTCTCCCTTCAAGCTACGTGTGAGGACTGCGGTGAAATACTGAATCTGTCTTATTCCTGGGATCTCTTTTTAGTCAATGCCACAGAAAAGAATAGGATAGAAGGTAAAAAGGATTGATGGCTTTATTTTGTTGTGGGAGGTAAAAACTCAGGGTTATGTGAGAATGCTAAAATGTTGCAAAATACAATTGGTATGACCCAGTGTGTCTGATCTGTCTGGTGAACAGTCCATTGTGCTTCTCCAGCCCCTCTTGCCTCTACAGTCCTTATGAACACGTGTGAGGCACCAGCAGAAGAGGTGACACACTCGAGGGCTGCTTCTGACCTCAGTGTGATATGGAAGGCTGCGCTCAACATCCATGTAGGCAGTTTTATTGAGCTAAAGCCACAGTTCAGAAGGATCTGCGATGTGACACACCGCCCAGAGGGCTGTGTCCCTCACAACCTCGCCTGTCTTTTGCGCCAGCTGCACAGTGAGGAAGGAGCAGAGGAACCAGGGCAGAAACTTCCAGTCCTTGCTCCCACACTACCAGCTGGTGGCTTTAAGCAATTCTGAGGTTTAGTTTTCTTAGGTGAAAGATGAGGATCCTACTATTTCGCAGAGTGGTATCAGGGCTATATGCAATGTGTTGGAGTGTGCCAGGCACTGGTGTCAGGACACTGGGTGCTACAGGACATGAAGGTCTGAACCAGGAGCGAGATGAGTTCTCACTCGGCAATATTTGTGATCAGAGAGGTGGCTCTGAATGGAAAACAGAGGAGCTTTATTTCTGAGCTGGAGAGCCAGCTCCTACAACAGAGCTGGTGCCAAGCCCCCACTGACCTTCATGTTTCTTGAAGATCCCCTCCGTGAGGCCATACAAAGCTTCCACAAGTAGAGCTTTGGGTACAGCTGGCCTCAGCGGCCACAGGGAAATGAAGACATAGAGGGGGATTGTGCCCTTCTTGGCAAGAGAGGCATTCCAAATTCTTTTAGGTAAATTAAACTTTTCTGAATCAGAGCCCATGCTGAATAGATCAGAGGAACTTGCAGTAGAAACACATCCAGTAGTTAGACTTTCAGCAAAGTGAATCATGGCCCCTAGATATGTCTCAAAGAATTGGGTTCTCCCATGGTTGCAAGTAAAAGCTTGCTTTATTGAGAGGTCATTTATATGCTCATGGCATTTTTTTCTTTGCTATTGATCGTTTATCATAAATTCTAACAGCAGTTTTGAAAACTGTTATACTAGATACTTGCTGTATTATTCCCTTCTTACACTGCTATAAAGGAATACCTGAGGCTGGGTAATTTATAAAGAAAAGTGGTTTATTTTGGCTTATGGTTCTGCAGACTGTACAGGAAACCTGGTGCTAGCATCTGCTCGCATGAGGCCTCAGGAAACTTTTACTTATGGTGGAGGGCAAAAGGGAGCTGCCACATTACATGGTGAGAGAGGGAGCGAGGCGGTAGGGCAGCTGCCATGCTCCTTTAAATAACCAGACCTCCCATGAACTCAGAGCAAGATCTCCCTCATTACAGCGAGGAGGGCACTAAGTGACTGGTGAGGGATCCGCCCCATGATCTAAACACCTCCCACCAGGCTCGTCCTCCAACACTGCGGATTACATTTCAACATGAGACTTGGAGGGGCACAACATCCAAACCAAATCACTTACTGGCAGGTAGGGGAGTGAGGATTAAGAGAAACCCCATGCACCCCAAGTTGTTTCTAGAATACCCATGAATAGGTCATGCCTGGGAGTGCATATGATTCAGCAGACCCCTCCCCCCTGACTTGGGAGAGCAAACGCAGGTGCAATCACTGTGAATCCTGCCTTCTACTTCCATACATGTGCTTCCTGCTGTTGGCCAACACGCCAACACAGAACACGCCAACACCACGCTCTGTGCCCTGTATCTCTTAGTGTAGGATTTCAAATTCACAACAGATTTGTTTAAAACAGAGCATCCTTATATAGTCTGTAGACTTTTTAAGCAAATGTTTTATATTTTTGCTGCAAAATTCTAACACTGCCAAATGTTTGCTTAAGTTCCCTTCTGCAGAGTAGTGGGGCTGCTGGGCTCGCTGGGACTCGGTGCCATTTCAAAGTCATCACAGTCAAACCTGCTTCCCACTAAGCCTGGCACTGCAGATCCTGATGCAACGACCACACCATTCTCATGGGAACCTTCACTCGTGACCCTTGGCCAGCCTGCTCCTTCAGCTCCAAGGGGAACCCCCACAGAGCCCATGACTGGAGTCTACTGGATTCCTGCTGCGGAGGACTCTGCAGTCCTGGGGGAGGCTCCAGAGGAAGGTTCACTAGACCTAGAACCAGGACCACAGAGCAAGGGATCCCTGATGACTGGCCCCTCTGAGAGAAGTCAGCCCACCCACAGCCCTAGCCCTCACCTCTCTGGTAAGTGCCACTGTTCCTGCATGTCATCCCTCTCGTCTGGGCACCAAAGTTACCTCTGGAAGTAGTGAATCTGGTGGGTAAGGTATGAGATCACATCAACACAGGCCTTTAAATCAGAGAGCACCAGGTTCACACCCACCACTTGCTGATTGTGCAGTAGTCATCGAGTTTCGGATTCCTCATCTCTGAACTGGGAAAATGACAAACCCACGGCAGGTTCTGAGGCTGCAGTGAGGTCCCGTGTGTGCAGTGTCTATGATACAGTAGTCATTTGCTTCACACTGGCTTCCTCATCCTTCTCCCCTGCTCTGGGATCAATTGTTTCACTTTATCATTGGGTTTCAGGGGGACGGAAACCATTCTGGTACTTAAAAAATGAAGAGAAAAGGTAATAGTAAGAAAAGCTCTGACCTGGCACCTGTCTTTCCATCACTGTCCCCAGCTGGTGACCCCGTATGATTTTGCTGCTTACTCTTGGGTGATGGTGGTCTCATGCTCTGCACGCTCTTGTCAATTCAGCTGTGCTTCAGGCCTCCCAGTCTTGGCTTGGCTGGCTGGAGGGACAGCTGTGAGCGCCTCTGCCGCTGGGAAAGGAGGGCTGAGGGGACAGGAAGCGACATTTGCAGCAGGGCATTCTTATGTCCATTTCTCTCCTTCTAAAAGAAAAGAGCGAGACGTTTTCTCTAAAAGAAGAGTAAAAGACTCGCTTGAAGAGAGGATGGGATGCTGGGTGTGGAGGCAGAGAGCCACATGTGAGCCTTGGTCTCAACTTACTCGCTGGGTTATTCTTAGAAACCACACACCGACTGGAGCTCCATCTCCTCCTCCTGGGGCCCTGGGGCAATGGCACCTGCCTTGCCCAGCTGTCGTGAGGGAGGAAAGACACCACCACTGAGGGTATTTTGTAATCCACAGAGCAATGTATGGAGTCTAGAAATACACTAAGGACAATGTGACCCATCAGGGGAGCTGCTATTAATTTCAGGGGATTCTGTGATTTTTAAAGGAAACATTATGATTTTGTCCTTTCATATAGATTTTGAAGCCTATTACAGTGATATTCAAGAAGCAATACCATCGGGAGGAAGACAGCCAGGTGACTGTGCTTCTGTGCCTGCTGCCTCTCTCCACTCAGCTCTCCTCCACAGCCTTTCTGCAATCTGGATTTCCCACCTGCTCCATTACACAGCCACTGAGAGCTCCACGGAATCAAGGGAAAAGTTGAAACTCTTACATGGCACAGTCTGAACCAAACCTTTATTTCTAGCTCCCTTCTTTCTGCCCTTCTCTGACCCTATGCTCCAAAATCCTGAGAGTAGCCCCAGACCCAAGGGTGGACATCCCAGCTCTTCCATGCCTTGGTCATGGGGTGTCGTCTGCCAAAAATGTCTTCCTCCACGTCCTTCCTAAGTTATCTGTTCAGCGAGCCTCCTCCTTCAGGTCTGGCTCCATTTCTCTCTAGGAAGTCTTCCTCAGGCTTGTCTTGTAAGGACCACCACCCCCACCACCACCCCCCCCTCCACACACACCAGCTCAGTATTTATTCCCTCCTCTGGGAAGTAGGTGGCACCTGGCACTTAGTGGCTCTCTCTGTGTCTGTGTCTTCTGCTCTGGGCTCTTCCAGGAAAGCTTCCATGGCCAGCTTATGCTATGTTCCCAGATGGATCACAGTCCCTGGCATATTGGCACTCAGCAAACACATTGTAGAATGAATTGATGATCAGTGAATGACTTATTCATCTATCGAATGAACAGATGGATGATCAGTGAGTGACTGATTTATCTGTCTAGTGAAGAGATGGATGTCTAGTGAATGATTTATCTGTCAAATGAGTAGGTAAATGATTTATTTGATGAATGAATGGATAAATGGCTGAGGAGTGAATGATTTATCTATCGAGGGAATAATGGATGATGAATGAACGATTTATTCCTCTGATTTGCGGCAGTGTTTCCTTCAACAGTCCTCCTCAGGTGCTTCCAACTCCACGGCTTCTCCAGCCCTTCCCACGTTCCTTCCTGTGTGTCACGCTGTTCTTGGATGAGGTGGTCAGTCAGGTGCAGCCATAGAGGAGAGAAAAACAAAGAAAATACTCCCAGGTCCTAGAGAAAAGAGGCATGGCAGGCCATGCAGGGCTACATGGGGAAGCTGCAGGGAGGTCTGGAGGCAGCAGACAGGAGCAAGGGGAGTGCTTAAGCCAAGGTCTTTTTTGGGGTTTCCACGGGAAAGAACGGCAAGGCCAAGGCAGGGCTGGGTGATTAGTTTAGAAACAGTTAGTTTAATTTCAGCAGATCCTAGGCCTAAGGGTGGTCTCTAGTTGCCCAGGATGATTTGTTGGGGGTGGTTCTGGATTGGTCAGTTTGCAAATCAAAGACACATTGCAGGCTGGGCCTTTTGTAAACTCTAAGAGTTGGCTAGCCCCAGCCCCAGGAGAAGCACTCTCTCCTTAACCAGAACACTTTTGTTTCATTTTGTTCTTCAGTATATCAAAACATCATCATACAGAACATTTAAAAGTCTTTACGATACACACGCAGGTCTGTTGTAGAGACTCACATTGATACTCACAGTAGGTGCTTAAACAGTACAACTGAATGAATGAAGAAAGATCTACCTTTGTATTGCATTTATAAAATTATTCCTCCTTACAAGAGTAATTCTGACCCCTCAACATTTGTGTTTTATTACTACATCTTGCTTCAGTGACCTTGGTTTCAAGTCTTTTTTTTTTTTTTTTTTTTTTGAGACGGAGTCTCGCTCTGTCGCCCAGGCTGGAGTGCAGTGGCGCGATCTCGGCTCACTGCAAGCTCCGCCTCCCGGGTTCACGCCATTCTCCTGCCTCAGCCTCCCGAGTAGCTGGGACTACAGGCGCCCACAACCCCACCTGGCTAATTTTTTTTTGTATTTTTAGTAGAGACGGGGTTTCACCGTGGTCTCGATCTCCTGACCTTGTGATCCGCCCGCCTCGGCCTCCCAAAGTGCTGGGATTACAGGCGTGAGCCACCGCGCCCGGCGGTTTCAAGTCTTAAAGGAGCCTCCTTAGCCTAAGTGAAGTGCAGCGACTCCTTCTTGCCTAGACCATGCAGGAACCCTTCCTCTGCTCTCGCTGCTTCTCTTCTTGCTGCCCTCTGTCATTTCATCACATGACAGCCAGAGGACTCTTTTCACCACAAACCAGGCTGTTGTCACTCTCCTGACAGGTCCCTCCAGTGGCTTCCCAGGGCACTCAGGACGAAAGCCCATGACCATACGCCCAGCATGATGTGACCTTGGCAATGCCTCCAGCCACGTTTTTCCTCCTCCTGCCCTCCTTCCCTCCCTCCCACCCTGCAACCCTAGGGAATATCATTCCCAAGGCATTTTGGTTTTACTCAATCTGGAAACTCCTTCCTTCAGATCTTCAAAGAGCTCCTTCTAGTCTTAGTCTTCAGAGATGACCTCCCTGAACTCCATCTCAAAAAGACTCCCTTTCCACACCCCTCTCTCTTCCTCTGCATACCCCACTTTGCTTTCCCTCATTAACTGACTTTACATTATTTATTTATGTGTTTTCTCATTTATTTTTCTGACTGCCTCACTATTAAACTCCAGATAGCAAGGACACCATTGATCTGGTTCACACTGTGTCTCCTGTTTCTAGACTAGTACCTGGACTTAGTAGACCATAATAAATCTTGTAGAAGGAAGGAAGGGAGGGAGGGAGGGAGGGAGGGAGGGAGGGAGGGAGGGAAGAGGCCATTGGTCCACTAATTACATGATAACAAAGTACATCTCTTGAATATGTTTAGCTGCTGAAGACGTTATATTAGATATGCAGTATCCAGCAATAGTACAAATAGTTATTAATATTAGCATTGAATCACTAATGCTTTAAGATCATCATGACTTTTTTTCTTTAATATCTATTGGCTTGGTTTATCTTCCTAGCGAAGGACACCAGCTTTCCAGAATCAGGACCTAGCTTAAGTGCCGAGGAGAGCCCTGGAGATGGGGATAACCTGGTGGACCCCTCCCTGTCTGCAGGCAGAGCCAAGCCTGTCCTCATGATTGACTGGCGCAAGGCCCTGCTGAGCCGAGCAGTATTCCAAGGCTATTCATCCTCAGGTATGAATGTCCTCTTTGTACCCTGCAATTTGCAATATTTCTAAAGCTTTTAGATATCAGTCCTCAATTTCTTCTGAACTTTTCATTTTATTAGATGAGTATTTAGAATTGTGGTACCTTTTCTACTTGTGCTTGTTCCTCTATGGACTATGGCCTGAGACTCTTCTAAGAAAAGTAAAGTTAGCATCTGTTGCTACCAGGAGCTCCCTGTGTGCAGACCAAAGGGGAAGAGGGGCGCTGCCAAGTGCTGCACATTCTGTGTGTGCAGACACCTTGGTGTGCACAGCCTTTTCTGTGACAGCCTTTTGTAGGGTGGTCAAGGATTTACATGAATTGATCAAAATGAAGTTGCTCCTGAAGAGCAATTGAATTTCTAATGTATTTTGCCAGCCCAGACATGCTGATTTTGCTCAATTTGTTGGATCGCCCCCTTTCGTGGTAATGCATGTGCTTGTGTCATCCCTACAGACCTCTTGAGGATCTGGATTTCACACTATTTTTAGATAATTTTTCCTTCACCCTTTCCTTGAACCATTTCGGGAAGTACTATTGTAAAATTTTGATTTTAGAAACTGTCCATGTTTAGATCATCAATCTTGTATTTCGGATCTCTCCTTTTTTCAGGGTAAGTAGTGTGGGGTCAGCCTCTCCCTGCTAAGGAAATAATCCAGTCACCACGGTCAGCAGTTACACCCAGGTTAAAAATTGTCCATAACCAGTATTCTGCAGACTTAAAAATAGCTTCAAAATTCCTTAATCATACTTTATAGTATGATTTATAAAATTGCCAAATTAAACATGAACATAATTATAAACATATAAAATAAGATCTTAACAGAATTCTCTTGTTGCTTGGGACATTAGTGTCCCTGAGCCAGGGATGGATGGACCATCCTCAGTAATGCTTCTGTTGAGCAGGAGAGGCTCTTTATAGCAGGCACTAACCAACCAACTTTCCAAGCAGGAGTGGCATGTTTCACTAGTATCTATGTTAATTTCACCCCTGGGGGAAGAGTGGAGCCCATTCCCAAGGACTCTGTGTGACTTCTGTCCCCGAGTCCATTGACTGTCGTTTCCATGTAGCCACGTCTTTTCTGCAGGTATTACAGAACAGACGGTGACAATCAAGCCATACTCTCTAAACAGTGGAGAGACATACGTCCTGCAAGCATCTGTGGGTATGTTACATTGTCAGTTGCATTTATGAGAGGATGGGAAGGAGTCCTGCTGAATCTCTGTGAGTTTACTCTTTCTGAGGAATGGGGTGCAGGTCTACATCAGGGTAAAGACTGAGCAGTTGCCTTTTTAAAAAATTACCTATATATAGGGCTGGGTGCAGTGACTTACGCCTGTAATCCCAGCACTTTGGGAGGCAGAGGCGGGCGGATCACGAGGTCAGGAGATCGAGACCAACCTGGCTAACACAGTGAAACCCCGTCTCTACTAAAAATACAAAAAATTGGCTGGGCGTGGTGGCGGGCCCCTATAGTCCCAGCTACTTGGGAGGCCGAGGCAGGAGAATGGCGTGAACCCGGGAGGTGGAGCTTGCAGTGAGCCGAGATTGTGCCACTGCATTCCTGCCTGGATGACAGGGCAAGACTGTCTCAAAAAAAAAAAAAATTACATATATCTCTTATTTATGCTAGACAGCTGGACAAGTTGATTGCTTTCCTGCATATCTGTCCGTAATCTCTCTCCCTTTCTCTATTTAAACCCTAGAAAGGTGTTATTGCTTGTTTTGTGCTGCTGATGTTCATTGAAATTCACCGCCTAGCCTCCTCTTACCCTTGCTCTGCATTCCTTCTTGCACTTCCATGCCTATCTCAATCTGAGATCATCGTTTAGGGGAACTGGTAGACATTTTCCCCCATTTCTAGAGGTTTTCATTCCATATGACAAGCACAGTGGACTTAACAATTTTTTTTTGTTTTGTTTTGTTTTTGAGACAGAGTCTCACTCCGTTGCCCAGGCTGGAGTGCAGAGGCACGGTCTCAGCTCACTGTGACCTCCGCCTCCCAGGTTTAAGCAATTCTCCTGCCTCAGCCTCCTGAGTAGCTGGGATTGGGATTGCAGCCGTCTGCCACCACGGCCGGCTAATTTTTTGTATTTTTAGTAGAGTTGGGGTTTCACCATGTTGGCCAGGCTGGTCTCGAACCCCTGACCTCAAGTGATCTATCCACCTGCCTCGGCCTCCCCAACCACTGGAATTGTAGCCATGAGCCACCGCGCCCAGCCAACAATTTTTATCTATGGATAGGTTTGGTTCAACATCCACAGTTTTGCATTAGTCAAAACCCACCAGGAATTTGCAAACTTGAATTCTATGTGAACTCTTGTGTCATGCAAGTGGGAAAATCGAGGTTCACTTTCTCCTGAGAACTGACTGGGCTGGACTCAATGACATTCCTTGAGGCTCATCTTGATTCTCACAGTTTCTATAAACACCTGCCCCTTCCACATTTAGCATTTAACAACTAGCCTTGGGTCCCTGCTTCGGGTACAAGACGGGCAGTGTTTGCTTTGGTTTCAACAAATACCTTTTGCCTTTTGGCTGGACCTCTTTCTTTTACCTCTGAAATTTGCCTAAGTGATAAGTTTAAAGACAGTTCTCTTAGCTGAGCCATATCCCTTACTGGCGCAGGAGACACCTGAGAGCCTCTCCATGGCCCACGGACCTGGTCAGTGTCCTTGGCTGGCTGCCAGGTGTGCACTGAGGCTCCAGGTCTCCCATCAGCCTCCTGTCCCTCAGCCTTGCACACCCTCACTGACTGCTGCCCTCCCTTCCCATGCTCTTTGGATAACACCAGACCCTCTAGTGACTCTAAGTCTTTCCCTCTGGTTATTTTGGCTGGAATGCCCATTCTTTTCCCCACATCTCTTCCTAAGCCCAGTATAAGACTGATATACCAAGACTGCTAGCTCAAATGTGTCTTCTTTTGTGGAGATTTCCCTGGTCAGCCAGGCAGGATTCATCATCCTTTTCTCTTGGGTTTTACTTTTGTTATGAGATCTGTCTTCCACGGTTGATGCGACTGTTAGATAGGATAATACAAGAACAGTGTCTAGTAGGGCATCTGGTATGTAGCAGAGGCTTGATAGATGGTACCTGCTGTTATGATGAGGATGATGATCATCAAGATTTTAAACCATTTGACATGTAAATTTCATTTCTATAATCCATCTCAAGAAAAATACATTAAACATTTAAAAACTATATGTATGAGAATAATCATTATGGGATGATCAATAATAACAGAAAATGGAAAAATAAGCAAAATGTTTAATTGTTGGGGATAATAGTTATGCATATTTGGGTATATCTGTTCCATGGAATCTTAGGCAGCTATTCACAATAGTGATTTTGAATGCTCTATGTCAACATGGAAAATAGTTATGATATTAATATAGTTAATAAAACAAAATAGGCCTGGCGCGGTGGCTCACACCTGTAATCCCAGCACTTTGGGAGGCTGAGGCGGGCAATTTACCTGAGGTTGGGAGTTCAAGACCAGCCTGACCAACATGGTGAAACCCCGTCTCTACTAAAAATACAGAATTAGCTGGGCGTGGTGGCGCATGCCTGTAATCCCAGCTACTCGGGAGGCTGAGGCAGGAGAATCGCTTGAAACTGGGAGGCAGAGGTTGCAGTGAGCCAAGATTGTGCCCTTGCACTCCAGCCTGGGCAACAAGAGCAAAACTCTGTCTCAAATAAATAAATAAATAAATATATAAAGTTGTATCAGTGCTATACATTCAACTAAGCTGTACTTATGTGTGTATGTGGCTACGGTTTTGAAAGAATCCAAGAGAATGGAGAGAGTCTGCTTTGCTGGGTGATGGGTCTGTCAGCGTCATCTCTCCCCTAGGCTTTGGTTTCTGTCTGGGTGGTTGCCATGTGACTCCCAGGTAGGGAGCCACTTCTGTCTCCCCAGGGCCTAGGATAGTACCTGTCCCACCCAGTGAATGTTTGTTAGATTAATGAATGCTATAGGCAGTGGTTCTCAAACCCCAGCACTTCAGAATCCCCTAACGTATGTGAAAACTATCACTGAGTCTCAGTTTCTGAGTCAGCAGGTCTGGGGTGGGGCTCAAGAATCTGCATTTCTGACAAATTCCCAGGTGAGTCCGATGCTGCTGGTCTCCCCAGACTTTCAGAATTTCCCCTACTTTCAGAATCCCTGCTATAAGGTTTATCTATAAAAACTTAATCCTATGCTGCTGTAATTCTCCATCATGGGTGAAACCCCTGCTTCATCTTTCTCTTTAGCTTCAAAGCACGGCTTACTGGGTAAAACTCAGCTATACTTGACAGTCAACCCGGCTCCGCGGGACATGGTCTGTCAGGTGCAACCCCACCACGGTCTGGAGGCACACACCGTCTTCAGTGTCTTCTGCATGTCTGGAAAACCGGTACGTGGACAACCCCATGTCTGTCCTGAGTGACCCCAGACAGTGGCACCTGGCAGTCACAGCAATCACGGGTGCTGTAGGAATGGACAGCGACGTCCTTCCTACCTGTGAAGGAATTCAGCCTGCAGTTGAATGTTGGAAAGTTGGTTAGGCATGAATGGACTTCCCCACCCACCAATGAGAGGAGTGCAAAGTGGCCCCCTGGTTGAGAAGGTTCAGAATTTCACAAAGAGACAAGGGCCTGCTCACCAGGAGACGTGGCAGTGCATCCACTGCCCTGAAGCCTGGTTAGAGCAGGGGCCTCCGTTAATGCTACCCTGAAGAAAAAGGCAGGCACGTGACCCAAAGTAAGGAGAGGAGCCTGGCCCTTTCCCTCCCAGGTCACATCTCTAACACGGACTTACCCTCACTCTTTCTCTGAGCCATGGAGAAGACCATTGTGATTTTGTTGCTCAGGGTCTTGAGAGGGTGAAATAAGAGGATGGATTTAAAAAGATGAATGCAAACCAGCCTGCCCGACATGGTGAAACGCTGTCTCTACTAAAAATACAAAAATTAGCTGGGCATGGTGGTGGGCGCCTGTAATCCCAGCTACTTGGGAGACTGAGGCAGGAGAATTGCTTGAACCCAGGAGACGGAGGTTGCAGTGAGCCGAGATCACGCCATTACACTCCAGCCTGGGAGACAGTGCGAGACTCTGTCTCAAAAAAATAAAAAAGATGGATTCCTCAGGTGGTGAGCAGGCAGGGCAGGAGCCTGTGATATTGTGACCCTGGCACTGCCCTCTCCATCCTCTCAGCCAGGACACTGACCTCCCTGCCCTTCTGCCTGACCCCTTCTGTAGGAAGCCCCACCCTTGTCCTCCAGACAGCCCAGACCATGGCCTTCCCTTGAGGCAGCCCCACCCCTCCCTCCTGCTCCTCCTGCTGTGTGATGCCCAGCAGTGGGGAAGCTGAAGGGCAACTGGGGCCCTTCACCCTGAGGGGGCTGTGACAGTGTGATCTGTGACTGTGGGGAGGTTCCAGGGCAAGGAGAGGACACAGACACTGGTGAAGAATCTCAGTGCTGTTTGAGGAGCCCTTTGGGCTCGGGGAACGGAGAGCCCTGCAGGGCCCAGGGCTCTGGGCAGCTGGGAGTGCTGCTTACCTGTCACCTTCTTCTTGGCTGTGAAGAACATCCTTGGTGCAATGAAGGCTCAGGCACGTGTGTGTGTATTGGGATGTCATTCACAGTGTGTTCATTTATACTATTTTTGCTCCCATGGACTGGATCGTAGGACTTCCATTATGAATTTAGTTACCAGATAGGAAACGCCTCCAAACACACTTTGTACCATGGGAGAGACAGCCAGTATTATTTTGTGTTGCCAGCTGGTGAGCACTTGGACAATTACAAAGGTAAGCCATGGTGCCAGCTGGGGTCACTAGCTGTGCCAACTTAGAGTTCTAAACCTTTTTTCCTGGTTTTCAAAAACTGAACTGTGTCTAGAAAATAAAATTATGTATTCACCTTGATCAGTTTAATGCTTTTCAGTTTAGGTTGACTACCTACCTTTTAGTGCAGAAAGAACATTAGTAATATCAATAAATTAAATCAGTTTTTTATATCTTAAATTTTAACTGAAATATACTGTATATGATAAAATGCCAGAGAATGTTTTTTCATATATAGATATTTAAAATCAGGGCATTTCTTATTTACTAAAGAAATATGTCATATCTGGCAAATCTTGCATTTATTATAGATAAAACCGAATCAAGGTATTCCGCTAAGGAACAAAATGTGGGGTAAATGAATGTTGAGTTAGTATGTTAGTAACATAACCTCTAAACAAAATGAATCCCCCAGTGTTGACAACTTTCTCCTCTGACCCTGTTCCTGAGGTTGTGGTCACTTCTAACCCAGTCCCTTGGAACTGGTTTCAACTGAGTATAAGAGACATGCAGCCATTTAGGAAGGTGTCTTGTCATGCACAACCCCAGGCAAGTTAAATAAAAATCTTAGGGGGTGGTGACTTTTTACATTTCTGTTTTATTTTTTAAACATCTGGAGGATTCTGACGTGCAGGAAAGGTTGAGAGTCGCTGATCTAGAAGTTTCTTTGATTTGGGCTGGTAAGATTATTAAGCCTGAAGTCTGAACTACTTCATTCACCTGATTTATTTAAGTTTCACCTCTCCTTTAAGCCAAGCTGAAGTGCCCCCTTCTTCGTGAGACCTTGCCTGTCACCTTCAGTTAGAAATACTTGCACCTTCTTGTAGATACGAGTCAATTATATTGAGAAAAACTTCTGAGCAGAGCATTTTGAGATCTTCGTAATCATGCTCTGCTTTGTATCACAGTGACTTTATACTCCATTTGATCTTGAGTTTTTTTGAAGTCAAGCTGCATACAGGGTTATGTGAGACCTAGGCTGGGCAAATGTCCCAGGAGAAGGACCTTGGGCCAGGGCCTCAGCTCTGTGTTGGAAGTAAGGGTTTTTTAACATAAATTTACAGACCAAATTTTAGGTCACAGTCCCGGAGCAGTGTCAGGGTTAGTGATGTTACTCAAATCATTCACAACCATAGTATTTGTTTATAATTGTCAGTGTCAGTACAGTCAATTCCTATGAATACCTGAACCCAAAATTTATAAGGGGGCAAACATAAGCAAAATAAATACAATATAGTAAATAATGCACACCTTTTCTTGTCCTGTCTTTTGCATGAGTGAGTATGGCACAGACTCAGCTTGTCAAAGTTAGTGGAGTCTTGCCTAAAAACTGCTCCTTCTCTTAGACTTTCTATGTCTGTGCATAGGACCAACCTTATCTGTTAAGGGTATTTGTTAAAATTACTGCCTCCAGGGCCTACCTAGTATCCACTGACTCAGAATCATGGGGGGAAAATGGAGTGCAGAATTTGCTTTTAGACAAGATTCCTGGCTATTGGGCTGCAAGTGTCCATAGACCACATCTTGAGAAGCACTGACTTCCAAAATTAAGTCCCCAATCCTTGGCACTGGGTTTCAGGTTGAGAATGTTGTTATGAAGATACGCAGGGCACACCTGGGCGTCAATCTTTCTGTGTGGTTCCCATGACGGTACCTGTGACCCTCACTATCTGGCCATCACCTGCACCCTGAGCCTGATCTGCAGGTCTCCTCACTACAGCCCTGCACCCCTGTTACATGAAGGAATTCCTGGGTCCCCCAAACAGATCTTAGGTCTTTTAAAAAGTCCCCTCTGTCAGAATTCTTCTTCGCCTTTTTTCTAGGCCTGTTAAATTTCTATATATCATTTAGAGACTAGTCATACTATAACCCCAAGCCTTTACGGTCCATTGCCGAGTTTGTATTTCACTCCCTGGGCTCCTTGTGGCCCGGAACCTGGCCCCTTTTCTAGCACTTGTCACAGTTTTAGTCATCCAGAAGATGCTGTCTGTGTGTGAAGAAGCATCTCTGTAACCCACATGTCCAAGATGACCCTCTTCTGACATGTTCCTTCACAGTCATGGTTTCCACTGAAATCACAGATGGAAAAGGCTCCAAGGTCCAGCCGTGCACTGTGGTGGTGACTGTGCTGCCCCGCTACCATGGAAATGACTGTCTGGCCGAGGACCTGTGAGTAACACAATGCCACACAGACATCCTAGCCATTGTTTGTATTTCCTCCAGAGTTGGCTGTCCCCCAAGTTGTTAACAAGTGTCAAAAACGTGTCAGGAACTCATCTTCTCAAGATGGAGCAAATAAAAAAGTCCGGGTGCTATCACTGCACTCCTGCTAACTCATATTTGCATGGCATTTGTGCAGGTGCTTCAGAGCCTGTAAAGCTGCTGCCGCCGCCTCCTCCTCCTCCTCCTCCTCCTCCTCCTCCTCCTCCTCTTTCTTCTTCTTCTTCTTCTTCTTCTTCTTCTTCTTCTTCTTCTTCTTCTTCCTTCTTCTTCTTTCTTCTTCTTTCTTCTTCTTCTTCCTTTTTTTTTTGAGACATAGTCTCACTCTGTCGCCCAGGTTGGAGTGCAATGGCACAATCTCGGCTCACTGCAAGCTCCGCCTCCCAGGTTCAAGTGACTCTCCTGCCTCAGCCTCCTGAGTAGCTAGGACACAAGCGCACAGGTGTGCGCCACCACACCCAACTAATTTTTGGATTTTTAGTAGAGATGGGATTTCACCATATTGGTCAGGCTGGTATTGAACTCCTGACCTCGTGATCTGCCTGCCTGGGCCTCCCAAAGTGCTGGGATTACAGGCCTGAGCCACCACGCCTGGCCTCAATTTCTTCTCTTTTAAAAACCGTTTTTAAAGATATCATTTACATTCCACATAGTTCATCCATTTAAAGTATGCAGTTCCTTGGTTTTAATAATTTATTGAATTATGCAGCCTTCACCATAAGCTAGTTTTAGACAATTTTCCTCATCCCGTGAAAACCTTGACTTATTGACAGTCACTCCCTTTACCCACCACCCAGCTTCCTCCCACCAGCCCCAGACAACCACAGATCTGTTTCATATCTACAGGTTTGTTGATTCTGAAAATTTCATGTAAGTGAGATAATACAACATATGATCTTAAGTAACTGTCTTTTTTCGCTTCGCATATGAATGAATGTTTTCAAGTTTCATCTGTGTAGTAGAATGTATCAGCACTTCATTCTTTTTTATTGCTGAATAATATTTTATTGTTTTTGAACATACCATATTTTATTTATTCATTCATTAGTTGATGAATGTGTGGGTTGTTTTCACTTTTTGGCTATCATGAATCACACTGCTATGAACATTTATGTGCAAGTTTTTGTGTGAGTATGTGATTTCATTTTCCTTGGGTAGGTAACTAGGAGTGGAAACACTGTGTCATACGGTAACTACCAAATTGTTTTCCATACTGGCTGCACCATTATATTCCCACTAGCAATGTGTGAGGGTTCCAGTTTCTTGATATCCTAACCAACAATGGTTATTGTCCTTTTGTTCACAGCTGTTCTAGTTAGTATGAAGTAGTATCTCATTAAGGTTTGGACTTGCATTTCTCCAGTAATTGATGAGGCTGAGCATCTTTTCGTGTGCTTTGTATACCTTCCTTGAAGAAATGTCTACTTAGTACTTTACCCATTTTTATATAGGTTATCTGTATTTTTATAATTGATAACCTAATTAAAAGGTTTGTTTCTTGATTCTCAATTCTATTCCATTAGTCTAAATGTCTCTCTTCATACCAGTACTATGCTGCCTTGATTGCTATAGTTTAGTAGTAAATTCTGAAACTGAAAAGGCTGAACCCACTAACTTTGTTCTTTTTACAAGGTTGGGTATTTCAGGTCTCTCATATTTCCATATGAGTTTTAGAATCAGCCTGCCAATCTCTGCAAAAACAAAGCAGCACAGGCATGGCACAATGGCTTTGGTGCCAGCCAGCCTCTTCAGCCTTGCTCTGGCTGGGGCAGACTGGGGCTCCAGACACCTGCTGAAGGGGATAGAAAAACAAAACAAAACAAAAGCCAGCTGGGATTTTCATAGGGATTTGTCAAGTCTATACATCTGTTTGGGGGGGAATATCTTGTATCCTATAACCCTGTTGAATGTGTTTGTTAGTGTTAATGGTTTTTCACTGAATTCCTTGAGATGTTCTGTATATAAGATCATGTCATCTGTCACTAGAGATAATTTTGCTTCTTTCTTTCTAATCTGGATGCCTTCCATTTCTTTTTCTTGCCTAATTCTCTTGACTAGAACCTCCAGTTCAGTGCTGAACAGAGTGACAAGCGTGGAAATCCTGGTCTTCTTCCCTGTTTTTAAGGAGGAAGCACTCAGTCTTTCATCACTTCATATAAATATTAGCTAGAGGCCTTTCATAGACAACCGTTATCGGGTTGAGGATGTTCTCTTCTATTCCTAGTTTGTTATGTGTGTACTTCTTTTTTTTTTTTTTTTTTTTTTTTTTTGTTGAGATGGAGTCTCGCTTTGTCACCCAGGCTGGAGTGCAGTGGCCGGATCTCAGCTCCCTGCAAGCTCCGCCTCCCGGGTTTATGCCATTCTCCTGCCTCAGCCTCCCGAGTAGCTGGGACTACAGGCGCTCGCCACCTCGCCCGGCTAGTTTTTTTTTATTTTTTAGTAGAGACGGGTTTCATCCGGTTAGCCAGGATGGTCTCGATCACCTGACCTCGTGATCCGCCTGTCTCGGCCTCCCAAAGTGCTGGGATTACAGGCGTGAGCCACCGCGCCTGGCCTGTGTGTGTATTTCATTATAAAAAAGTATTAGATTTTGTTAAATGCTTTTCCTAGGTCTATGGAGATGATTATATGTTTTTTGTACCTTAGTCTGTTAATTTGTTATGTTTTTGTCCTCTCTAAAACTTCTGTTGAAACTTTATCCCCAATGCAACAGTAGTAAGAGGTGGTGCCTGTAGGAGGTGATTAGGCCATAAGGGTTCTGCTCTCATAAATGAAATTAGTCACTTTATGAAATGGCTGGAGGGAACTAGCTAGGCCCCCTTTTGTTGTTCTGTCCCTTCTGTCATGTGAGGTCACAGCCTTCTTCCCCTCTGGAGGAGGCGGCAACAGGTGCCACCTTGGAAGCAGAGAGCAGCCTCACCAAACACTGAACCTACTGGTGTCTTGATCTCAGACTTCCCAGATTCCAAAACTGGGAAAATAAATTTCTGTTCTTTATACATTACCCAGTCTCAGGTATTTTATTATAATAACACAAACAAACTAAGACACAAGTTATATAAAATTGATTGATTTTCAGATGTTGAATCACTCTTACAGTCTGGGAACAAATTCCATTTGTTCATGATGTATACATCTTTTTCTGCATGCTAGGTTTGATTTCTAGTACTTTACTGAGAATTTTGTCTATGTTCATAAAAGGTATTGGCCTGTAGTTGTCTTTCTTTTCCTGTGTTGTCTTTGTCTGGTTTTGGTATCAAAATAATACTGGCCCCAATCAATTTGGAAGTATTCCTTTTTTTTTTTTTTTTTTTTTTTTTGAGACAAGATCTCCATCTGTTTTCTAGGTTGGAGTACAGTGGCACGATCATGGCTTACTGCAGCCTTGACCTCCTAGGCTCAAGCCATCCTTCCACCTCAGCCTCCCAAGTAGCTGGGATTATAGGCACATGCCACCATGCCCAGCTAATTTCATCATGTTGCCAAGGCTGGTCTCGAACTCCTGGGCTCAAGCAATCCTCCCACCTTGACGTCCCAAAGTGCTGGGATAACAAGTGTGTGCCGCCACACCTAGCTTCCTTTGCATTCAAATATTTGGAAGATTTTGTGAAGGATGGGTAGTGATTCTTCTATAAACATTTACCAGCAAAGTTATTTGGATCTGGCATTTTCTTTGTGGAAATTTTGAAATGACTAGTTCAGTATCTTAACTATTCAGATTTCTGTTTCTTCTTGAGTCAGTTTCAGTAATTTGTTTCTTTCTAGAAATTTTCCATTTCGTCTACATTCTCTAATTTTTTTGGCATACAGTTTTGTATGGTGTTCTCTTATAATCCTTTTTATTTCTATATGGTAGTAAAGATCAATTTTATTCCTGATTTTAGTAATTTAAGTGATCTCTTTTTCTCTCTCTTATTTTTTGTCTGTCAGTCTAGCTAAAAATTTGTCATTTTGTTGATGTTTTCAAAAAACCAGCTTTTGGCTTCATTGATTTTTGTTGTTGTTGTTGTTGTTTTTCTATTCTTTATTTCATTCATTTCTACACTAATTTTTATTATTATTTTTTCCCCTTGTGCTTGCTCTGGTTTACTTTGATCTTCTTTTTTTTTTTTTTTTTTTAATTTTGTTTCTTAAGGTGAAAAATTAGATTATTGATTTGGCATCTTCTTTATAGCCATTTATATCTTTAAATTCTCTTCCAGCACTGATTTAGCTGCACCCAATGTGTTTTAGAATGTTGGTGTTTTCATTTATTGATCTCAAAGCATTTTGTAATTCTTGTTGCAATTTCTTCTTTGAACCATTGATTATAATATTTAGGAGAATTTTTTACTTTTTCACATATTTGTAATTTTCCAAATTTCTTTTGTCATTGATTTCTAATTATTTAATTCCATCATGGTCAGAGGATATACTCTGTATAATAGCAGTAGTTTAAAATTTATTGAGTTTTGTTTGTGGCCTACTATACGGTGTATTCTAGAAAATGTCCCATGTGCACTTGAAAAGAATATGTATCTGATTTTGTTGGCTAAAATGTTCAATGGCTATCTGTTAGGTCTAATTGATTTATATTATTGTTTGAGTCTTATGTATCCTTGTTGATTTGCTGCCTAATGGTTCTATCCATTATTAACAGTATTATTGTTTTGAGTTTTCTGTCTGTCCCTTCAGTTCTGTCCATTATTGCTCATGTATATGGAACCTATTGTTAGGTCCCTGTATGTTTACAATTTTTTAATCTTCCTGATGAATTTACCTATATTATCATTAGAAAATATCCCTCTTTATTGCTACTATCTGTTTTTGTCTGATTTCTTTTTTGTCTGGTATAGATATAACCACTCTACATGCCTTGCTGTTACTGTTTGCATGTCTCTTTCCATCCTTTTACTTACAACCTAATTTTATCCTTGGACCTAAGCTAGACTCCAGTAGACAGCATATAGTTGAATCTTGGTTTTGTATATAGTCTTACAATCTCTGCCTTTTGATTGGCTCATGTAATCTACTCACATTTAATATTATTATTGATGTGGTTGGATGGATTTATGCACGCCATTTTGCTTATTTTTTACATGTCTCATTATTGCTTTGTTCCTCTGTTTCTTTACTGCCTCCTTTTATGTTAAGTATTTTCTAGTATACCATTTTCACTCCTTTAATGATTATTAAGTATGTATTTTAGATATTTTCTTAGTTGTTGCACTCAGGCTTACAATATACACTTTAACTTACTAGAAACTACTTCAAATTTATATTAATTTCAGCAAGATGTAGAAACTTTACTCCTCTATAGATTCATTTCCTCTTCCCTTTTTGTGTCATGATTATTATGTATGTTACATCTATCAGTGTTACAAACCCAACAGTCCAATGTTATAATTATGGTTTTATAAAATATTCTGTCTTTTTATTTTTTCTTGAGACAGAGTCTCATTCTGTCGCCCAGGCTGGAGTGCAGTGCCATAATCTTGGCTCGCTGCAACCTCCGCCTCCTGGGTTCAAGCGATTCTACTGCCTCAGCCTCTGAAGTAGCTGGTATTACAGGCATGCGTCACTATGCCTGGCTAATTTTGTATTTTTAGTAGAGATGGGATTTCTCCATGTTGGTCAGACTTGTCTCGAGCTCCTGACCTCAGGTGATCTGCCCACCCTGGCCTCCCAAAGTGCTGGGATTACAGGTGTGAGCCACTGCACCTGGCCAGTTTTCTGTCTTTTAAATAAACTGGAGAGGAGAGCACAAATATGTTTTTAGAAATTGCTTTTAATGTATATTAATCTTATTTAGTATTTTTGTTTGTCTTCATGTCTTCCTGTGGCTTTAAGTTACCATCTAGTGTCATTTCTTTATTCTTACATATAATAAAATATATAGTTTTATTCCCACCTCCTTTATTTGTGTTTTTTGTTGTTGTTGTTGTTTTGTTTTGTTTTATTTTGTTTTGTCTTGAGATGAGGTCTCGCCCTGTCACCCAGGCTGGAGTGCAAAGGCATGATCTTGGCTCACTGCAACCTCTGCCTCCCGGATTCAAGTGATTCTCCTCCCTCAGCCTCCCAAGTAGCTGGAATTACAGGTACACACCACCACACCCAGCTAATTTTTTGTATTTTTAGGAGAGATGGGGTTTCACCATGTTGGCCAGGCTGGTCTTGAACTCTTGACCTCAGGTGATCCACCTGCCTCAGCCTCCCAAAGTGCTGGGATTACAGGCATGAGCCATCGCGCCTGGCCTTTGTGTTCTTGTTATATTATATTTCTGTGTGTTATGGGCCCGACAGTACTGCTCTATAGAAATGTTTTTATGGAATGGCTTTTTAAATAAGAAGAGAGAGAAAAAGGTAATTCATGAACTTAATTGTTTAACATTTCTCTGAGTTGCTATTCATTTTCTTCCTACTTTTTTCTTCCCGTTATTTATAATCTCTATTGCTGTCTTGAAGTTTCTAGATTCTTTCTCAAATTTACTTTTAAACATCTCTTTTGTTATAATTATTATATATGTAACTTCAGAATTTCCATTTGGTTCTCTCTATAACTTATAAATTTATAGTTTCTATCTCTTTATTGATAGTCTGTATTTGACTAATCATTGTTCTAACTTCCTTTGATTTTTAAAAATATGTTTTTCTTTCATTCTTTGAATCATGTTTATAATAGCTGTTTCAAAGTCCTTGCTAAATCCAACATTTGAGTCTCCTCACAGGCAGTTTCTATTGCCCGCTTATTTTTCTCATGTTTGGGTCACACTTAATGTTTCTTTGGATGTCTCATAATTTTTCGTTGATAACTGGACATTTTAGATAATATGTTGCAGCCACTCTGGGGACTGGCCTGCCTCCTTTTCCTGGGCTTGTGGTCATTGTTTTTTGCTTGTTTGGTCATTGGTTTATATGTTTATTAGTTTGACAAGATGAATTCTGTGAAGTATACTTCCCCTCGTTGTGCAGCCAGTGATGTTTCTGCTCAGATTTATTTGTTCTTTTTATCTTTAGCTTGGGTTCGTAGGGTTTTAGTCTCCACGAATCACTTAGTGGTCAAGGGTGAGCTTAAACATATGTGTATAGAGCCCATGATGCATTTTCTAATCAATTAGAACATGATTTCTAATTAATTTACTTCTTGCAATGACCCACTGCGATGTGTCCAGATGAAAATTTCTATTTTATATATTTGGAAACTGAGGCTCATTTATTCTCTTAAACAATACTCTTGAGCTCATACAGCAGATAAATTGCAGAGCAAGGGCTGGAACTGGCCTTTGACCACATGCATAGGCCTCTTTTCACAATATTGTGTTATCTTTTCCAGTGCAAGTAAGTATGCTATTTGTAAATAAGTAAATAAATACCCAATTATTGAAACCCAGAGTCATAAACTCTGGCCAGCTGTAGCACGGTGGTATCTCTGTCTGGCTCTGGAATACGTTCTTTCACTTGCCATGATGCTTCTATATTAGTAGCTGGTTTCTTGTGCCTTTTTTACTTCTGATAAAAGGAGTTTTTGTAAAATTTTATATTATGGCTTACTGTGTCTTTTTAGAGTTTCCGTTACACAGACCAATTCTCCTTTGCATCATTCTCTTTCTACCCTGACCTGTCCAAGAGGTATTTTTGCAACAAATCCCATCCCACTGTTGGTAGGCAGGGTGAAAAGTTTCGCCATGTGTTGGAATGGTAATGATAACTCTTGTGTTTCCTTCAGGTATAATTCCAGCCTGAAAAACCTGTCTACCCTCCAGCTGATGGGGAGTTACACAGAAATCAGGAACTACATCACTGTGATCACCAGAATCCTGAGTCGTTTGTCTAAGGAGGACAAAACTGCCTCCTGCCACCAATGGTCACGAATACAGGATGCATTAATTTCTTCAGTATGCAAATTAGCTTTTGTAGATCAGGTATGGCCCAGAGGAGGGTGAGTTTGTGTCTGTAAACCTTTATCAAGTGGCAAGGCTCCTGATTGGCTGGCTGGCTCACTAGCAAGTGGTCATGCTTATGAAACACAGGCAAGAAATGAGACCAAGAGGGCCAGCCAGCTCAGTTCCCATACATGGCTGTGGTCTCTCTAGTCAGCTGATATATATCACAAATGAATGCTGCTGGTTTATAAAAGAGAGAATGACCAAGTCAATCATTGTTACACATAATTCTGCTAAAGTTTGTTTAAGTACAACTTATGTAAAACAGTCTGATTTTATCTTGGAGAGTTAAGTTCACGATTGTGTGCAACTTCTGAAGAAATCACCATGTATTCAAATGTGACTGTCCTTGCTCACAGAATTTCTGCAACTGCTATCTTATCATTGTCAATAGAGAATATTCACATCTACAAAGAATACATCCTATTTCATTACAATTACAATTACTTCACTTGATGTAATTTTTTTCTCATTCTTCCTGACCCTTTTTAAAAATGTTGCTTAGCTCTGGCCGGGCGTGGTGGCTCATGCCTATAATCCCAGCACTTTGGGAGACCGAGGCAGGCAAATCACAAAGTCGAGAGATCGAGACCATCCTGGCTAACACAGTGAAACCCCGTCTCCACTAAAAATACACACACAAAAAATTGAGCCGGGAGTGGTGGCAAGCACCTGTAGTCCCAGCTACTCGGGAGGCTGAGGCAGGAGAATGGCGTGAACCCGGGAGGCAGAGCCTGCAGTGAGCTGAGATCACGCCACTGCACTCCAGCCTGGGCGACAGAGCGGGACTCCATCTGAAAGAAAGAAAGAAATGTTGCTTAGCTCTGTGCCTTATTTCATCAGCCCTCGTGTCAGTTCCCTGGTGGGGTGTGCTGAGGATATCCGGGGGCACATTGAGGAGAGATGCTGGATTTCCAGGAAAACTGGACACCACAGTAATGGTCTCTCTACAGAAGGTCTGGCCTCCAACTGGTCTCTTGGCCAAAAAGCAGGGAATCTGTGCTATTTCTACATAGGCAAAATGTAACTTTAACCCAAACAACCTAATTTTCCTCTCCCTGCATTTTCTTTTTGTTTTGTTGTTGTTTCTCCCGGTCAGGAAGAAATGATTGGTTCTGTTCTTATGTTGAGGGACCTCGTGAGCTTCTCTAATAAGGTAAGTGCAATTTTTTCCCAAGAATATTTTACTGCTATTTTATATAGTTTTGAGGGACATAATCAGTTCTTGAAAAATATACTGTCCAGAATCATATTTTGACACTTAGATTAGAAATGTTATTTTTCCTTTAAGAATTCATCTGAATAGCAAAGCCCATCTCAGATATTTTGAATATAGAAATTTGGAATCCAGTCCAGGAGCGGTGGCTCACACCTGTAATCCCAGCACTTTGGGAGTCCAAGGCAGGCGGATCACGAAGTCAGGAGTTCAAGACCAGCCTGACCAACATGGTGAAACCCCGTCTCTACTAAAAATATAAAAATTAGCCAGGCATGGTGGTGTGCAACTGTGGTCTCAGCTACTCGGGAGAAATACTCTACTGAGACAGTAGAATCGCTTGAACCCAGGAGGTGGAGGTTGAAGTGAGCCGAGGTCGTGCCACTGCACTACAGCCTGGGCAACACAGGGAGACTCTGTCAAAAAAGGAAAGGAAAGGAAAGGAAGGGAAGGGAGGGGAGGGGAGGGGAGGGGAGGGGAGGGTAAGGAAAGGGAGAAAGGGAAAGAGAGAAAGAAAAGAAAGAAAGAAGGAAGGAAGGAAAGAAAGAAAGAAAGAGAGAGAAAAAGAAAGAAAGAAAGAAAGAAAGAAAGAAAGAAAGAAAGAAAGAAAGAAAGAAAGAAAGAAAGAAAGAAAGAAAAGAAAGAAAGAAAGAAGAAAGAAAGGGAAGGGAATGAGGGAGGGAGGAAAGAAGGAAGGAAGGAAGGAAGGAAGGAAGGAAGGAAGGAAGGAAGGAAGGAAGGAAGGAAGGAAGGAAAAGAAAGAAAGAAATTTGGAATCCCAAAGTAGAAATGGATGAGAACACATACTGTCCATACTATGAATACTTTTGGCGAGGGGCTTGTTCTTTATTGGTAACACATTGCATTGGGTTTTCCCTTCGTCACATCTTCTTTTCTTCTTGAGTCTCTGGCACACTTTCCTCCCCGTTGGCTGATGCCTGCATTGCTGCTTGAGAGATAAGAACACGCGTCATTCTCTCATCTACTTCCAGTCTGTGAATCTAACTGTGGCCATGCTCTGTTACCATAGAAGGAATCTTCAGTCCCTGCATGGGCTTCTCCCTTTATTTGTGTGGAGCTCTCCTCCAGGCTCCCCTCATTGTCCCTCATCCCAGTCTGAGTGAAGGGTGCCCCAGCATTAGACAATGTCCAACCTGCGTGGCTGCAGGTGGCACAGTCCTGCTCCTGCCCACCTTGCCTTCTCCAGAGCTCATCTCTTTTCATTTTTCACTCTTTGCTGCTGCTTCCACTTCTCTCTGCTGAATGATCCTGCACATGCTTAGAATCTCATTTATTTTTTTAAAAAAATCCCTCCAGTGAAATCAAACCTGCTTCCAGCTTGCACCTAACTTTCATGTTCCTCTTCACAGCAGAGCATTTAAAAAGTGAGTTCTGAGCCTGCTGTGGGCTATACTTGTTGCCTCTTGTGTGTGTGTCTTTTTAAGAGATGAGGTCTCACTGGGTTGCTCAGGCTGCCTCAAACTCCTGGACTCAAGCCATCCTCCTGCCTTGGCCTTCCAAGGACCTGGGACCACAGGTGCACATCACCACACCTGGTTTCTCATACATTTTAGATCATCGAACTCTGGCTTCCATCTCCATCTCCACACTGCCGCTGCTCCTGCCAAAGTCATAGTGGATCTCCATCTGGCCAAATCCACTGGATACCCTCTGCTCCCCATTCTCTCCCTCCCAGGGACTTTCTGTGGGGCTCACCCTGCTTTGGAGGACACACTCTTCTCTTGGCTTCATGACATGGTTTCTTGGTTGGCCTTCTTGGCTGACTCCTGTTGGCTCCTCCCATCTACAGTTACATGGTCAGTGCCTCAGGGCTTTGTCTTGGGCCACCTAGATTCTCTGTCCATACCTCCTCCCTATGTGATCTCATCCACTCCTTCCACTTTACATCCATCTGATAGGGACTCTACATCCTACAGCTCCAACCCAAACCTGACTCAAGCACCCCAGACACACACGTATAACTATACACTCTCATTTCCACATGGGCCAAAACTGCACAGACCCAGCATGGCAGAGTGGGCTCCTCCCCCGACCCCTTCCAACTCCATGTTCCTCCTACTTTCCTCAGCCCAGGACAGGGCGGCGCCATCCATGCAGAATCCCATGTTAAAGCCCAGGTGTCACCAGAGTCCTTTCTTCCCCTCATCCATTCACTTATAACGAAGTCTTGTCTGTTCTTCCTCAAACACATAGCTAGAATCTTTCTATCTCTCCTACCTCTATTGCCCCCCACCTGAATCCAAGCATATGTCATTTCTCATCCAGGCTGGCATGTTCTCTCACTGTCCTGTCCTCCCTGCCTCCTCTCAGGTCACCTTAGAATACCTGCTACACACAGCAGTCGAGTCATTGTAAAAGCCTGAGTCAGTGAGTGTCATTCTCCTGCTCAGCACTCCCCATGGCTACTCATTGTGTGCAGAATAGAAACCAAACATCTTATGCACCTGCAGTGTCTAGCTCCTTCTTTCCTTCTATCCTCCTCTCCTGGCTTTTCTCCCCCTTCCTAGCCATCCTCCAGGAGTACTGCCTTGATCCTTTTCCTGCAGTGCCCTCCCCTTGACTTCTCAAAGAGTTGACCTTTCATTGACTCTCAGCACAAATGCTGCTTTCTTAGAGACGTTGTCCTAGACCCACCATCTGAAGTCATCCTTCCTGTTACAGGCTATCTCCTTGAATATTTTCACAACAGCAACTATCTCATTTATTTATTTATTGCTGGTCTTCCCCCACTGGAATGTCAACTCCCTGATACCAGGGACCTTCCTATTTGGTGCAGAAATACCATATACGTGACACATGGCAGAAGCTCAGGAGAGAAGGGGAATGGATATAGGAAAGGTGGCTGGATGGCCCTGTCCTCCTTCCATCCCTCCTCCCTCCTCACTGAGGGCCGCTGAGCTCCAACAATCTCCAGTCTAGGTGGGACAGCATCATCATTCTCCTCTGTTCTGATTAGCTGTCTTCATAAACAACACAACGGGTCATGTCATCTGTTTGTTCAGAATACTTGATGGCTTTCTAGTAGTTTGAAGACAAAATCCGATTGTTCTTCTTTATTTATTTTTCAGACAGAGTCTTGCTCTGTCGCCCAGGCTGGAGTGCAGTGGTGCAATCTCAGCTCACTGCAACCTCCGCCTCCCGGGTTCAAGCGATTCTCCTCTCTCAGCCTCCCAAGTAGCTGGGATTACAGGTGCACGCCACCATACCTGGCCAATTTTTGTATTTTTAGTAGAGACAGTGTTTCACCTTGTTGGTCAGGCTGGTCTCGAACTCCTGACCTCAGGTGATCCACCCGACTTGGCCTCCCAAAGTGCTGGGATTACAGGCGTGAGCCACCACACCCGGCCCGATTGTGCTTTGTATCATACAAGGACTTCATACATTTTTACCTGACTCTCTGCACCTCATTGTGCACGCAACCCAACATAGGCAGCTTCACTGTGCAGGATTCAGGATGCCCCTTATGTCCTTGAAATGGTATGTTTTCCCGTAATTGGAGCAGGTTACTTCTTCCCCTGGAAAAAATATTACTTTCTCTTCAAGGGTAGATTCAAATGCCACTTTCTCCATGAAATCTTCACAAAGATCTGAAGGCAGAGTTCATTTTGTTTGAGACAAATTTGTATGTGACTTTGTTTTAGCACTTCAACACCTTTGATTTGTAATTTCTTTTTGTACATCTGTCTTCCAACTTTAGACTGCTTAGCCTCTTAAGACACAAACTTAATACAGTTAAGTTTTTAGTTGAAATAACGTTAGCTGCTATAACAGATAACCCTGAAATCCCAGAAGCTGAATACAACCGATGTTTTTTCTTCATCCGCACACATTCCACAGCAGGTGTTCAGTGGGTGGTCTCCCTCGTGGTGACTCAGGGACTCTGGCCCCATCCATCTTGTGCCCCCAACACCTCCACTCTGTGGTTTCCTAAGTCAGGGGAATGGTGCATGGAGAAGGTATGCTGCCTGTCAGCCATGTGGCCCTGCAGGTGCACACCTCGCTGCATTCACCTTCCCCTGGTGAGCACACATGGCCTCGCCTGGACTCGAGGGACCTGGAAAATGGAATTACTTCCCAGCGATGACCCTACATGAAGCTCCAGAGCACAAATCTGGTAGATAGCAAATCATTCCCGTCACTGTCCCTCTCTCGTGCATCTCTGAACCCCAGGCTCTGCCACAGTTCTTAGTTCAGAGTGGGAAATAAAACCGAACATGATTGTCCTCTTAAAGTGACCATTTCTGATATTTCTGGTCCAAAAAGTAGGCATTGTGAAAGTGGGCATAATATATTCTTTAAAGCATTTGTTTAATTTAAATACTGTTCTTTCATTTTAAGTCCTAATATCCATGATAAGCTACCTCATGTAAAGGGCCTTTAATAGTGGTTTAAATGCATTTCCAAACTAGTGTAACCTTATTGTTGGTGAAAGAACTAGATTTTAAAAGGTATATCTAAGCCATTAGATATCATTGTGGTTAAATAAGCATGGCCAATAAAAAACAGAATCTCAATTTCATTTCATGGACACACATTATCTAGCAATTGCTAGGAGCTTCTAGGGTACAAAGAAGAAAAATATTAGTCTGTGTTTTAAGCATCGATGAATGAAGTTGCAGATATACTTCAATAAATATGCTTAGTCCTATGATTAGGAGAATGACAAAATTCTGCACAAACACAAGCAGTGGTGCAGCTGACTTTGTCTCGTGGACATTTGAGGTTGGTTTTAAAAGATATGTAGTAGGGCCTGCTGCGGTGGCTCGCGTCTGTAATCCTAGCACTTTGGGAGGCTAAGCCAGGCGGATCACAAGGTCAGGAGTTCCAGACTAGCCTTGCCAGCATGGTGAAACCCCGTCTCTACTAAAAATACAAAAATTAGCTGGGCATGGTGGTGCACGCCTGTAATCCTAGCTACTCGGGAGGTTGAGGCAGGAGAATCGCTTGAACCTTGGAGGCGGAGGTTGCAGTGAACGGAGATCGCACCATTGCACTCAAGCCTGGGTGACACAGCGAGACTCTGTATCAGATTAAAAAAAAAAAAAAAAACATAGTAAAGAATCATAGTTTTGTTAGATGTGATAATGGCATTGTGGGCATGTTTTTAGAAAGAGTCCTCATCTATCAGTACTACACACTAAATTGTTCATGGATAAAAATAATACCTGAGATTTGCTTTTTGCTTTTAAATATTTTTTAAAAGTTGAGTAGAGAATAGAAGAAAGAATATTCAAGTGAATAATTGTTAAAGTTGGGTGATAGGCATATTATACTACTATACTATTCTCTCTACTTTTGTGTAGATTTGAAAGGGGACTATATTAAGAGTTCAGAAAAATCAAGATAAGTCCAGGCATGTCTGTAGTCCCAGCGCTTGGGAGGCTGAGGTGGGAGGATCTTGTGAACCCAGGAGTTCAAGTCTGCAGGGAGTGGCGCTTGTGCCACTGCACTCCAGCCTGGGGGACAGAGTGAGACCCCATCTCTAAACAGAGAGAGACAGAGAGAGAGAGAGAGAGGGAGAAGGAGGGAGAGAGAGAGAGAGGAGAAGGAAAAGAGAGAGAGAAAAGTAGGATGGATTTTGCTAATCCAAACGAAGGTAAAGGTACTGCAGGTAGGGGAATCTCTAGGCCATCAAGAAAAAGCCTCAATTCTTTGGGAACAATAAGAGATTCAGGTTGCTTGAGATTAGAATGCACATAGGTAATGGGGAGGGAGAAGGCTGTGGGAGGAGGTGGGGGCCAATTTGTGAAGGGATTTGCCAAGTGGTTGTTGGGGTTTAAACCAAGTAACATCATTAGAGGCCATTTACTTTCCTTTGGTCAAGAGACTGAATATCAGAAAGCAACCTGTTTCTTAGGAAGTTGGCCAATAATCACCTAAAGACAAACCTGGACTTAAATCCAGTTATCTTGGCCCGTAGTTCAATCATTTTAATTCCTTATAATAATCAAAGAGGCAAGAATATATGCATCATACTCCGTGAAGCATTTTATTGACATCTTTTTGGTTCGTGCAGCTAAGCTTTATGAGTGCAGTTCTCATCTTCAAATATACCCGGGCGCTCCTTGCTCAGGGCCAGTCCTCAGGGCCATTTGTGGTTGACAAAGGAGTGAGGCTTGAACTCATCGGTCTCATATGTAGAATCTGGGAAGTCTCTGAGCAAGGAAACTCGAAGGAGGAAGGCTATCTACATGAAGAAGGAATTACGGTTATCTCAGATTTATTGTTGGTAAGTCACACTTTTTCTCCATCCATAAAAATACTATTTCCCTCTCCCAGGATGTTAACCTGTATTTGTAATTGCTTCTCAAAACCAAAAACAGAATCAGTTTCTGAAGTACTGTGTTTATTTTTCTGGGTGGCAGTTTCGTATTTGGAGACTTTCATTTTGAATTTTAAATATTTCATGGTAATAGTATAAGGTTTCCAGTGAAACCTTGCTTCTATTTTATCCTTTTTTGTTTTGGTAGGTTTTCATCTGGGATACTTGGGATGTTTGACTCAGAAACATTATTTCTCAGGATACTTTCTGGGTTTTTTTTGAGGAATGATGTGAAGTAATGCAAATGATTTATTACACACAGTAATTCTTAAAGTAGCCCTGCTGATACATAACTGCTTAAAAAGGCCAAAGTTTATTTACTTATTTCTGCTCTGGTAACTTTGGAAATTGTCTCTGAGATTTTTTTATTTTTACTTTATGAAATGGCCAGTGCTTTCAAGAAGAAGTAAGTGAATAGGCTTCTGGCCTTCCTCTCCTGCCAATTTAGCATCCCTCTCCAGTCTTGCTGGTTTATTTAACTGACGGCTACTGTAACATTTGGGAAATTAGCAAGTAAATAGTCTATGTGAACCTACTAATAATCATCACCATTACTCACGAGTGTTTAAGAACATTCATTGCCTACGTACCCAGCACTGAGTCCTAAGGCCTGCGCTCTTGCTTCCTGCCATCCAGTCTAACTTGAGATGGGCTATCTTTTTAACTACTTTTCCCCTCTCCCCTGGTCTGGATTCAAGACAGTTCGCACATTTGTGTTATAAACACCCCACTCCCTGTACTCTGTGTTTCAGGGTTGTCTCCCTTTGAACCACGTTAGCACTGGGCAGATGGAGTTCCGGACGCTTTTTCATTACAACCTTCAGAGCTCTGTCCAGAGCCTGGGATCTGTCCAGGTGCATTTACCTGGTGACCTTGCTGGGCACAATCCTGCTGGGGCGGAGACACAGAGCCCATGCTACATTAGCCAGCTCATACTCTTCAAGAAGAACCCATATCCAGGGGGCCAAGCTCCTGGGCAGGTACAAGCTGACAGATGACCTGCTACTTCTAATGACCATTTCAAATTTGCAGTAATTGGGCTTTAATGACAAAAAAAGAGACTAGGTTGGCATATTTGCACCTGATTTTTGCGTGTTTGCACCCTCTGAGTGTCAAGAGGGGCCACTTAGAACATGTTGCTGACTCTACTCCTCTTAGAAGATTAGCTTCTTCAGAAAACTCCTGGCAAAACTAGATGTCACTTGTATCTGGGTCACTGGGCCCATTCGGTGTTTCCTTGAGGCCTTCTAATCCATTGTTAGAGAACAGAAGGCTCTGGGGGGTTGCAGCATGTGATGCAGTGATTATGCAAGCATTGTGGCCAATCATGTCTTTTTTTTTTTTTTTTTTTTGAGACGGAGTCTTGCTGTGTCACCCAGGCTGGGGTGCAGAGGCGCAATCTCAGCTCACTGCAGCCTCCGCCTCCTGGGTTCAAGCGATTCTCCTGCCTCAGTCTCCTGAGTAGCTGGGACTACAGGCGCCTGCCACCATGCCCGGCTAATTTTTTCTTGCATTTTTAGTAGAGACAGGTTTTCACCATGTTAGCCAGAATGGTATCGATCTCCTGACCTCGCGATCCGCCCACCTCAGCCTCCCAAAGTGCTGGGATTATAGGCATGAGCCACCGCGCCCAGCCAATCTTGTCTTTAGAGCAATGAAGATATGGTTCTAACATCAAATGTGGAGTATACCTGAATGACACTTAAGAAGGGGTTGCTGAGGACATGGCAGTGCTTACCCCCATCCTCCCTGCTCACCGGAGAGGCACAGCTGGGCTGAAACTGCAGGGTGGCCCCTGGCTCCCTGGGAGGTCAGGAGAAACAGGGGACCACAGTGAAAGGGGGATGTGAGGATGGGGAAGTCAGGGAGGATTGTCCCAGCTACTTGGCAATTTTGTAGACATCCACTCGGAAGCTTTGTGAATTACCCCAGGGTCACCGTAAGCGAGTTTGGAAGGGCAGAGAGCAAGGATTCTCTATATTTCTGTAGCCCCAGAGCCCAGTCTGGCTCAAGTACGTGGCTCATTTGGTGACCCAACAAATGTCTGATGGATGTATGGACAAATTAATGAGATACATCTTATTTTGGTCAAAAAATGCTCATCTTTTACAGCATTTGCTTTTTTAAATGGAAATGGCTAATCAGCATATGAAAATAATTCAAACTAACAAGCAATAAAAAACACAAATTAAAATGATTTTTTTTAACTTACAAAAGTGCAATTACTTAAAAACACTTACTGCTTGTGGAGGTGCAGTGAGTAAACCATGGCGTTCATCAGTGTGACCTTTTGGAAAGCACTTTGTCAACTAGGCATCCAGCAACAACCTGGCCTACACTGTTACATTTGTAAAAATCTATGCTGGGGAAATGAGAAAAGATTTGTTCAGAGCAAGATGTCTTGTCTTATTTATTTACTCAAAACAACATTATTTATGATAACTCAAATAGAAATGTACCTAAGTGTTCAACATGGGGATAGAGTTCATATACAGTTAATTGATATTATGTCAATTAGGGAATTTTAGTAATTTGGGAAGACTGCAAAAATATAGACAACTGAGGCTGGGTACGGTGACTCATGCCTGTAATCCCAGCACTTTGGGAGACCGAGGCGGGTGGATCACCTGAGGTCAGGAGTTCAAGACCAACCTGACCAACATGGTGAAACCCCCGTGTCTACTAAAAATACAAAAATTAGCTGAGCGTGGTGACACACGCCTGTAGTCCCAGTTATTTGGGAGGCTGGGGCAGGAGAATTGCTTGAACCCGGGAGGCAGAGGTTGCAGTGAGCCAAGATCACACGACTGCACTCCAGCCTGGGCGACAGAGCAAGACTCCGTGTTAAAAATATATATATATATGTGTGTGTGTGTGTATACATCTCTCTATATATAGATACAGACGACTAAATTGTCTGCCAAATATGTACTCTATTACATAGCAAAATTTGATACTCGACATCCTGAAATATGATTTGCTTGAACAATGGGACTATAGAAAAGCTGTTCTTCACTCTTCTATATACTTTTCTATACCTTCCTGATTATCTACAATGAGCAGATATTTCTTTTGTAATAGCTTTTAAAATAAAAAATACTTCAAAATACTTTAGAAATAATTGATTTTAATAAGAATGATGCAAATGAAGCATTGTATCCACTCCAATCCTGCCATCCTGACTAGTAAAACTGGTTTATTTTTGTATGCTAACCTCTAATATCAGACATACAATTTTATGTAAGTGTAATACAGCACCACGATACTTTAGTTTGCTGCTTTTCTCACTTAAGTCCACTGCTTGCTGTCATTTGCTCTGAGATGGTCTTTGTTCCCCAAGATTGGTGGAGTTGTGGGCCTCAACCTCTATACCTGCTCCAGCAGAAGACCCATCAACTGGCAGTGGCTAAGGAAACCCGTGATGGTCGAGTTTGGGGAGGAAGATGGCCTGGTAAGGAGAGCCTTTCTCGGTATCTCTGCTTCATTTAGGCTCTGCTGGCTGATTTTTAATGTTTGTTTTACCAAAGGCAAATTTTGCTTAACTTGTTTTCTTTTTGATGACAGGATAATAGGAGAAATAAAACAGCATTTGTATTGCTTCGGGATAAAGTGAATCTCCATCAGTTCACTGAGCTTTCTGAAAACCCACAGGAATCTCTACGGATAGAAATTGAATTTTCCAAACCTGGTACAAGGGCATTTCCGGTCATGTTGCTAGTAAGGTGTGTTGATGGTGACAGCTACAATGAGAATGAGATTGGAGTAAGACATATTGTCCTTAGGAATGTTTTGTGAAAAAAAATCAGTGAATTAAATTGTGTTTTTAAAGCAATAATAAGGCTTATTGTTTAAAGAAATTGTTATCTATTCTGCCGCTCAGACAGTAAGCTTCCTGACTTTGGTTTTTGAGTTTGGATTCCTGCTTGTTAACATTATTAGAGTGAGAAGCATTATAATTATTAGTGATAATGCATACAGTCTCATTTAGAAATCTAATTCTCTCAGCATAGGTCTGAGCTAGATTTTTTTTATTTTTCTGAAAGGAGAAAATGTGTTTAAATTTATATATCTAAGAAAACTTGATAAAATAATTATTTTTCTCAGGGATATTGAGTTCACGAGACTTGTATAGGCCCCAGTTAATAAATAAATTACCTGGGAAGGTAATTGACTATTGGGAAGGTAAGTGACTATTGAAAAGATTCTTTGAAATTCTACAGCAAAGGTGCTAATGGAAACCAACAGTCTGCAGAGTTGGCTGGAGGTCTGGATGGGCAGGGCCTTGATCACTTTCCTTCTCCGAGTCCCCGTGTGTTTAGTCTATGTGGCAAAGATGCTCACTGTTCTACTCCTCCTGGTTGGTTAGGTGGGCATCTCAACTAGATTAAAGGGTTCTCGTGAACAAGGCTGTATCTTATGCAGGCGCTGTCCACACCACCCTTAGCACACAGTTTAATCTCTGCTTATTGGCCTGACCCTCATTCTGCCAACTTAGCTAACCATTCAATGTCTAAAAGTGGCTATCTGCTTAGAGTTTGGATTTTAATTTATTTCTTTAAGTCACATGCAGAAAAACTAAATCAGTTCTGAGGAATTTCTGAGTCTAACTACTAAGACTACTATTTAGCTTTGTGTTGCTATCTTTTATCTACAAACAGTTTACGGTAAAAAGTTAATACAAACATGCAAACATATGTGTGTGTGCTACAGTGCCCCTCCCTAACCACGTGTAGCCAGTGCTGTTTGTCTTATTCCTACAGACTATGCTGGCCGTTCTTGTACTTGTTTGCTACTGAAGTGTTTGTTATTTGGTTTGGTTTTTTGTTTGTTTTTGAGATGGAGTTTCATTCTTGTTGCCCAGGCTGGAGTGCAATGGTGCAATCTCGGTTCACTGCAACCTCTGCCTCCCAAGCGATTCTCCAGCCTCAGCCTCCCGAGTAGTTGAGCTTACAAGTGTGAACCACCGCGCCCAGTTGATTTTGTATTTTTAAGTAGAGATGGGGTTTCACCATGTTGGTCAGGCTGGTCTTGAACTCCCAACCTCAGGTGATCCACCCACCTCGGCCTCCCGAAGTGCTGGGACTACAGGTATGAGCCACCGCACCCGGCCAAAGTGTTTGTTTTTAATGAGATGCAGGGTGAAAGTGTTATGTAGGAGTTTTTACTAAGAGACCTGGTGGCGTTGTGGAATTAAGCACATTGACCCTTTTTAGTCCCAGGCTACCTCCTTGCAGTGACAAGGGTATTTTGCACAAATTGAGCAAACTCTTGATAGAAATTTGACTAAAATCTTTGAGAGAGAAGAAAAAAATTGAGAAATCCCTATTTCGTTTTTATCTCCTAGGTTCTCTGAGAAACCTACTCCCTCTGATTTTCTTGTGAAGCAGATCTACTTCTGGGATGAGTCAATTGTGCAGATTTATATACCTGCTGCTTCTCAGAAAGGTCAGTGGACAAGGCGCCATCTTTTCCAATTCTGTTGGCATGATTAAAACATCCCCTATAACCTTTGTATGTATAGTGGTGTTTTTCTTTATTCATGACAAAAACATCAAAATCCTTTTTCTCTGCTTGCTTATAAACAAACTGCTCCACTGTGGATACCCCACATGGAAACTGCCCATGGTGAGCACCATCCTTGTGACGCAGTGGCTGCTGCTGCTCCCTGCCCTGCCCATCCCTCCCCAGCTGGTCTCTCCTGCTTCCTCCTGACCCTCAGGGCTCTGTGTGTGCTCAGGCTGAGTCTTCGCCTGCAGCACCCTCCTGCCTTGCTTCCCTCAAACTTACCTCTGCTGAGCTTCCCTGACTGCAGAGTTGACCCAGGACTTCTGAGACGTCTCTGTATCTCACGTTATCAACAGGGCACAGGACCCCCTCTGAAGCAGTGTGGGGGCAGAGTGTGAAGTTTGGAGCTCACCCCTTCTCCATGTTCTGCCCCTGGTGGCTTAGGATTCTGAGCCTCCCCAAAAAAGCAAGAAACTGAAGCTCAGTGGGCTGAAGTGGCACCCACAGGCAACTCACCATACACGCGCTTTACATTGACTTCCACAGGCCCTGGCCCTGGAGAGGAGCTGGCTTCTGACTGTCAGTGAGTGGGCCAGACCCACTGTCTCTACATTTTTATTGGGATATAGTTACTTTCCTCTGAGAACCAGTATTTGTTTCTTTTAAAAATGAATCAAACTGTATTGCTCACCAAATTCAAAATCTCAATGGTATTTTTTAATGTTGCATTTCGTGTGTTCTTTTTCAGTTTTTATTGTAATTTCAAGTTGATGGAAAATTAGAAAAATATGTACAACATATACCTGTATACTTTTCCTTGAGATTCACCATTTGTTGATTTCTGCCTCATTTGCCTTATCTGCATGTGTACAGGTGTGCACACGTGGGTGGGGGATGTTTTTGAGGGGGAGGACAAGCCATTGGAGAGAAAGTTAGTTGCAGGCCCTGTGACATACCACCCCTAAATACTTAAACATCTCATGAGAACAAGGGCATTCTCTACAAAACTCAGTACACTATCATAAGGAAAAGAAATCAATGTTAATTCAAGAATATCTATTCTGTAATCCACAGTTAAATTTTTAAAATCTCCCCAAATGCCTTCTATAGCTCTTTATATTTTTAAATCAGAAGTAGGTCAAAGTTCATGAATGCATTTTGTTGCTGTGTTTTTATATAGTCCCTTTAAAAATCTACAACACACTCCCAATTTTTGCCTTTTTTTTTTTTTCCAGACTTTTTTTTATGAGCTTAGGTTAGTTATTTTCTGAATGTTGTACATTCAGGAAATTGCCTGACTGTTTCCTCATGATTAAATTCAGCTCACAGATGATTGGCAGCATATTCCATAGGCGATGGTGCTAAGCTTGGTAATTTGCTTGGGGAAAGAACCTCCAATCTCTCCATTTTCCCCTTTGAGAGATGATACTTGTGAGACCATCTTAGTATCTTCTTCCCCTACAAACTGTCACCCCGTGATTTTAAGGACCTGTGGGTGATATAGGTACACAGAAGGCTACAAAATGGTGATTTGCTAATTCCACCATGAATTAACTGGCATTCTTCAGTAAAGAAGAGCTTCTGTCTCTCTCTATCTTACTCTTGCTCTCTTGTCTCTATGGTGCATAGCGTTTCTTAAAAATTCAATGTGTTTAGTTCACCTCCACTATTTTTCTTTTTGATGCACAAATTATTCCAGTGGGAGCTCCTCCAAGATGCTACCTGAGGTTTTTTTGACATGACATCATGATCCTCAAGTGCTTCTCTACTTTCTGGGACACCAGGGTGTCCTGGCTTATCCTGTGTTTGGCCAGCCCTTCCTTGGAACTGGCCATGTCCTCTGTGAGGCTTGGTTCATTGATGGGAAATGAAATTAGAACACAAGCACTGCACATCACATTTGCTCATTGCTATTGGAGCATCATTGATTTAACGTGTGTGTGTGTGTGTGTGTGTGTGTGTGTGTGTGTAAAATGCATTCATGACAATGCCTTAATTCGAATCCAACACCCAGGGTTCCTTCTTACTTTCTCCCATTGTGTGTTCAGATCCCCATTCTCCTACAGTGAGAATTCCACTTGCCAAAACATGAGAACTTGAGAGCCAGTTTCCAATGACCTAAATTCACTTTGCTGTATCCTACAGTATATATAAAATCGTTTTAGAATTACAGCACCTGTACCCTTAACAATCACAAATCTACCAGATAAAGTTCAATATTTCTTTCTAGATTTTTTGGTTTAGTTTTGACTTTACGTTCTTACATGATATATTACAGTAAGAGCACATAGTCAAAAGTTAGTTGAATTAATTATTTTCTCTGTGGGGTTTTGCTATACATTTTATATACAGCTATGTTCACTTTTTTGCATGTACTTAATGCTAAGGCTTACTTTTATCCTTTTGTTTTGTTTTTGTTTTTGTTTTTGAGTCAGAGTCTCGCTCTTGTTGCCCAGGCTGGAGTGCAATGGCGCGACCTTGGCTCACTGCAACCTCCACCTCCCGAGTTCAGGCGATTCTCCTGCCTCAGCCTCCCGGGTAGCTGAGATTAAAGGCATGCACCACCAGGCCCAGCTAATTTTTGTATTTTTAATAGCGACAGGGTTTCACCATGTTGGTCAGGCTGGCCTTGAAATCCTGACCTCGGGTGATCCACCCTCCTTGGCCTCCCAAAGTGCTGGGATTACAGGCGTGAGCCACGGTGCCCAGCCCCATTTTTTAACATTAATTTATGTTTTGAATTTGTGAGACATTTTATTGTTCAAATGTCTAAAGCACATTTAAAGATGTATGTATTCAGAGCTAAATCTTTCAACAGCCTTATTCCTCTACCTTGTTCTCACCTAGTCCTTATAGGTAATTGTTTTCATTTGTTTCCTTTATTTTATTTTATTTCAGTGGTTTTTGGTTACATGAATAAGTTCCTTAGTGGTGATTTGTGAGATTTTGGTGCACGCATCACCTGAGCAGTATACCCTGTACCCTATACATAGTCTTTTATCTCTTACCCCCACATCCTTACCCCCAAGTCCCCAAAGTCCTATTATATCATTCTTATGCCTTTGCATCCTCATAGCTTATCTCCCACGTATAAGTGAGAACATACAATGTTTGGTTTTCCATTCCTGAGTTACTTCACTTAGAATAGAGTTACTTCACTTAGAATAGAGTTACTTCACTTAGAATCTCCAACTCCATCCAGGTTTCTGCAAATGCCGTTGCTTTGTTCCTTCTTATGTCTGAGTAGTATTCCATGGTGCACACATAACATATTTTCTTTATCCTCTTGTTGCTTGGTGGGCATTTAGGTTGGTCCTGTTGTACTAGTTTACATTCCCACAAGCAGTGTGAAAGCGTTCCTTTTCACCACATACACACCAACATCTATTATTTTTTGATTTTTAAAAATTATGGCCATTCTTGCAGGAGTAAGATGGTATCTCATTGTGGTTTTAATTTGCATTTCCCTGTTACTTAGTGATGTAGCATATTTTTTCACATATTTTTTAGCCATTTATATATCTTCTTTTGAGAATCGTCTGTTCATGTCCTTGCCCACTTTTTGATGGGGTTGTTTTTTCTTGCTGATTTGTTTGAGTTCCTTATAAATTCTGGGTATTAGTCCTTTGTCACATGCATAGTTTGCAGATTTTTTCTCCTACTCTGTTGGTTGTCTGCTTACTCTGCTGATTATTTCTTTTGCTTTGCGGAAGCTTTTTGGTTTAACTGGGTCCCATCTATTTATTTTTGTTTTCAATGCATTTGCTTTTGGGTCTTGGTCATGAATTATTTGCCTAAGCCAATGTCTAGAAGAGTTTTTCCGATGTTATCTTTTAGAATTTTTATAGCTTCAAGTCTTAGATTTACGTCTTTGATCCAGCTTGAGTTGATTTTTTACATAAAATGAGAGATGAGGATCCAGTTTTATTCTAATACATGTGGCTAGCCAATTATCCCAGCACCATTTGTTGAACAGGGTGTCCTTTACTCACTTCATGTTTTTGTTTGCTTTGTCAAAAATCAATTGGCTTTAGGTATTTGGCCTTATTTTTGGGTTCTCCATTCTGTTCCATTGGTCTACATGCCTATTTCTATGCCACTGGCATGCTGTGTTGGTAACTATAGCCTTGTAGTATAGTTTGAAGTCTGGTAATGTGATGCCTCCAGATTTGTTCTTTTTGCTTAGTATTGCTTTGGCTATGTGATTCCATAGAATTTTAGGATTGTTTTGTCTAGTTCTGTGAAGAACGATGATTATAATTTTTTTTTGTTTTTGTGTTTTTTTGAGACTGGAGTTTCACTCTTGTTGCCCAGGCTGGAGTGCAATAGCACGATCTTGGCTCACCACAACCTCCACCTCCTGGGTTCAAGTGATTCTCCTGCCTCAGCCTCCCGAGTAGCTGGGATTACAGGCATGTGCCACCACACCTGGCTAATTTTGTATTTTTAGTAGAAACGGGGTTTCTCCATGTTGGTCAGGCTGGTCTCGAACTCCCGACCTCAGGTGGTCCACTCGCCTCGGCGTCCCAAAGTGCTGGGATTATAGGCGTGAGCCATTGCGCCCTGCCTCGATTATTGTAATTTTATGGGAATTGTTTTTCTGATGTTTCTTTTTGGGAAAATAAGCCCATGCATACCCACATTATTGCCCCTTATTTCTTACACTCATTTGCATTGTGCTTTTGTTAGTTAAATTACATATTTAGAAATCACTTCATATGTATTTATTCATCAATATCTTTTTTTTTTTTTAACTGCGGTGTGCTTCTCCACTGTATAGATGGACCATAGTTTATTCAGCCAGTCTCCTATGTATTCACATGGAAGACTTGTGCATATACTGTATTAAATGTAGTGGGAGGACTGTATCTTCAAGTTTAATTCCTAGGTAGGCTGTTCCTGGGTTGAACAGTAAATGCCTATGTGATTTTGGTAAGTATTGTCACATTCACTTCCAGCAGTGTCTGACACTGCCTGTTTTCCCACTTCTTTGCCAACAGGATGTATTTTCAAGCTATTGAGTTTTGCCAGTCGTATAATTGAGAAACGTTCATTTTAATATGCATTTTATATGAATTAAGTTGGGTATTTTTTCATATATTTAAAACCATTATCCACTTTTTTTTTCTGTGAATTGTTCGTATATGCCCATTTTTGTATTGAGTTTGTTTTTTCTTGATATTTAAGAGCTCTTTATATGTTAGGCTATTTTTAAAATAATAATTTATCCACCATTTCTTGTAAGACTCTTAGATTTTGAGCCATAGTTCAAAATTTATTTCTTACGTCCAAATTATAAAAGAAGTCATTCATGTGTTCCTCAGTACTTGCGCAGTTTGTTTTGTTTTTTTCTCTTTTATTTAGATATCTGATTTGCTAATATTTATTATTATTTTTTATAGTATGAGGTGCCCATATTTTTACAAATGGCTAATGTCTAGTTGTCCCAACACCATTTATTAAAAAGTCTTGGGGCAATTTTTAAATAAATAGAATATTAAATACTTTTGCTTCTAAACATAAAAAGTAGGCTAAACATAAAAAAAAAAAATGTTAGGCTAAAACTCCACAGGTAATTGTGCCGTCCTTACCAGAATGGGTTCAGACTCTGGGTATACCAAAATTTCACAGGCTGGCTGACAAACTGGCAAGGAGTAGGAAGTGGGCTTGAATGGCAGCTAAAGAAACTGACTCAACCCTCTTCCATCCCCACTAGGGTCGGGGGTGGCCTGTTCAGGGTGTCAGGGGGCACTTGGAACATAAGGGATGCTAGAAACACTGTTTTTCTTCCCAATTCTCTACCGTTCCTCAATTCATATCTGCATCCAGGAGCTTTGACTGGGTGGATTTAATCCAAATTTAAATGCTCCAAGGACAGGAAATGTCTAGAATTTGATGCTGTCTTTCAGTTCTTGCTCATCTCTAGTCCTTGTCCCCACCTATCTGCCTACTTTCTCTGCATTTAAAATGGAGAATGCTTTTCTGCAAACCTCAGGTTGTATTTTTAATTTATGTTTTCTCTTTTTAGATGTCAATGTAGGCTATTTATCCTTATTGGATGCTGATTATGACAGAAAACCTCCAAACAAATATTTAGCGAAGGCAGTGAACTATACGGTACATTTCCAGTGGATCCGATGCCTGTTTTGGGACAAGAGAGAGTGGAAATCTGAACGTTTCTCTCCACAACCAGGAACTTCTCCTGAAAAAGTGACCTGCAGGTATAGACACATTTGAGAAAGAATCTGAGATTTTTAGTAAATGACTGTCTTGTCTTCTGCGTTTGGCCCAACCCCCAGAGCCTTTCCTGAACCTTGTCCGTAAGATGCTGGAGCACCCTTGGTTTGTACAACTCTCCAGCCTATGTCAGTTCTCTTGTAGCCGGGTCATGTGTCAGCCTTGGTTCTCCCACTCTGTGGGCTCCCAAGGAGCAGGGGCTGCTCTATAGACTGTCTTCGTGTTCCTCCTTCCCATGGTGACTGTCATGCAGGAGGTGTTTAGTAAGTGTTGAAGACGTGAGTCAGTGGATGAGTGGTAGATGAACCCATCCGTTTTCTTATCACAGAAGTGCCGACATCCATTGAGTATGCAGTTTGTAGTCAGGCAGGTGGGACCCTCAGCTCTCACCATGCCCCCATGTTGCCCTGAGGGTCCCTCATCTTCAGAGGACCCTCCACAGCCTGGTGGTGAAGGTGTGCTTTCTGAGGCAAGAAAAGTCTCTGCGCAAAGATGAGCAGCCTCCTCAGAAATTTCTGGGTATATGAGTCACGTCACTAAATTAGAAATTATTTGTCTTCTAGCTGACTAACAATTCTATGAGAGACTCAGTTCATTCTTTTTTGTTGCCCTTACCTTTTCATTAGGAGAGAGATAAACAATTATTAGGCATATTTAGAAATAGAAATAGTCATTTCTAAATAAGCCATAGGACACTATATTTTGTGATTTCCTGCTAGGAGGCAAATATATCCAGATCATACCATATCAGTGCAATTCATAACCGCTTATTGATTTTCTTATGTTTTCTTATGTTGCATTCTTAAATTTATCTAATGCCATTTCTAGGAGTACATCCAAACTTACTGGTAATGGCCCAATATTTTGCTTCAATATTAAATTATTGATAAATGCATTAATGCAGTCATTCATTCTACATTACATAACTACTCTCTGATAGGCACATTTTTGTGAGCCAAGGGTACAAAAGTGAATAACAGGCCAGGCGTGATGGCTCATGCCTGTAATCCCAGCACTTTGGGAGGCCGAGACGGGTGGATCACTTGAGGTTAGGAGTTTGAGACCAGCCTAGCCAGCATAGCGAAACCCCATCTCTACTAAAAATACAAAATTAGATGGGCACACACTGGCAATCCCATTTACTTGGGAGGCCAAGGCACAAGAATCACTTGAACCTGGGAGGCAGAGGTTGCAGTGAGCTGAAATCATGCCACTGCATTCCAGCCTGGGCAGCAGAGCGAGACTCCATCTCAAAAAAAAAAAAAAAAAATCAATAACACATAGGACCTGCTCACAAGCTAATGAGGGTGAAATAGACTGTACTTTTAAAAAAGGAGACAGTGTTTACAGTGATTGTCAGGGTTGAATGTTTGTAATGCCAGGAACTGGCGCTTAGGCAGAGAAGTTGGCCAGAGCTTGATTAGTGGCACAGCTAGGCTGTGACTGGGACCCAAGAGCCTCAGGCTGCAGCCATGCTGTGGAGGGCTGTCATGAAGACTGCCATCTGCTCTGAACTCTTGTGTCTCAGGACAGCCTCCATGGGAGCCATGTATCCCAACACACAGATGTGAAGAACTCTGGCACAAAAGAAGAGTCCCTCGTTTCTAACTTAGGTTTCAGGTGAATCTTTTAAACTGGGTCTTAGTCATAAAGTTATCATTATTGCAGTCTTTCTTCCTTTTCACATTCCTTTAACCAACATGCCTTCGCACTGTCAACAGCTGCTCTCTCCACACATTCTGTATCCTCATCCGCATTTCCCTCCTAGCTACGATCGCCTTGCGGCATTTGGTCTCCTAAGGAGGAAGCTGAAGGCCAGTTTTGAAGTGAGTGACATTTCCAAGTTACAGAGGTAAGTTCTATTTCCTACATAAAGACTTCATAGACTTTATTTGTTTTATGGTTCACTCAGGATGTCCACATATAATTCCAGGGGTGCTTGAAATCCATGTTACTTACTATCATTGTGTTTTTGAAATACGCGTGTTAGTGGATAATTGTCTTTAAATATTCTTTATAATTATCTTTAAATATTCTTATAGTTGAATATATATATATATATATTTTGTCTCTCTATACTTAAATTCACTGATGAGAGATTCATAAACACAAGAAAGTCAACATACTTTTCGTATTTTTAAGTTTAGTTTTAGTTCAGTGTGAATTTGGTCAATTATTATTGATAGACTTGATATCTACAGTGACAATACTGCCTAAAGGGCTTCTCCTGGTTTATGTTTACTGTCATAGCCTAATTATTAATAGCTCCCTCTTTCTCTCTCTGGAGTATCTCATTTTAGATAATAAATTTAAAATGTACACTATTTTTATAGCCACTTTTATATGAAATGGCTATATTTAGACTCAGATATGGGTGAAGTGAGTTTAAGCTGATATGGAGAGGAGCCTTCCCTGTCTTATTTATCAGTGTCACCCTACATTTAATACAATGCTCAGAGTAAATATTTGCTGAATGAATAATTCTCTTCTCATTATATTCATGTAATAGGAAGCTCTACTTTATTATTTCATCAATCATATTACTTCATAGACTAGTTGATGGATCAGATAATTAGTAATAAGACATTAATTGCTAATGCAACAGATGCTGGATACAGATAAGGTCACTGACCATTCAGTGATCAGGGCTCAGAGGACAGCAGCCTCAACCGTGGTATCTGCGGCATTGATATCGCTGGGGCTGGAGCAAACCATGGGAGAAGCAGCTCTGGAAGGTGTCCAGGGAGAGGCAACATCTGAAGTTCTACAGGGGCAGTAGCAAGTGGGATATCTGGCCAGAATCTTGAAGATTTCAGAGTATTGTCCAGGTGGAAGGATGTGAGCACCCTGCAGAGCTCATGGGGCAAAGCTCTGAACAGGCTCTATCCTGGTGGGGAAAAAGAGGGCAGGTGAGAAACTAAGAACAGAGCCCAATCCTCAGATGAAATCAAAGCGCAGAATGGCAGGGGATGGGGCGGGCAACATCCCCATGTGGCATAGACCCTGGTGCCCACCCTCTGAGATCCCATCAGAAATCTATGAGACTCCAGTTAGGTTAGAGTCCCAGGACAGCAGCTTGATATGAACGTCATTCTACAGATCTGTGGGGGTTCAATGATCTCTCCCCAGCCAGTGTTGGTGGCTGGGAACAGGTAGGTGGAGTCTGCAGGTAGGGAACAAGCAGCAGCATCCACAGGGGCAGTGGAAGGCACAGGCAGGGGCTCCAAAACATCACCAACATCTCCTAGCCTTGTTCTGGTAGCAGGAGAGGGAGAGAGGGATAAACATAATGCCACTTGTATGTTTCAAGAATTGTGTGTATTTATATTGCTTAATCTTTACAATAGCAGTGAGATTGGCATTCTTTGCCATAGTTCACAATGAAAGTTCCTCAGAGCCAGCATGGCACAGCCTCTTGGTACAGAGGCTGGTCCATTACAAGGTTTCTTTGACTCTGGAGTCCATGCTTGTGGGGTGCTGCTCGCTGGACCATGGGCCAGTTCCCTGCCTTCAAAGCCCTCCCAATTCAGCTTCCAGCAAGTGTAAAAACGTATCAATGAAGCCCAGCAGAGACTTTTGTGTATAAGGGGTTAGGGGTGGCAATCAGTCTTTTCCTATATGTCTATTTTCATGAGCAATTTTCTTTATATCTCTCCTTTCGTTTATAGCCACCCAGAAAACTTGCTTCCCAGTATTTTTATTATGGGTTCTCTGATTCTTTATGGATTTTTGGTTGCTAAAAGCAGACAAGTAGATCATCATGAAAAAAAGAAATCTGGTTACATCTTTCTGCAAGAAGCCCCCTTGCCAGGCCACCAGCTGTATGCGGTCGTCATTGACACCGGCTTCCGAGCTCCGGCCAGGTTGACCTCAAAGGTAGCTCGAGCATCTGGGGGTACGCTTTGATGGTATTAAGCAATGTCAGCATCAGAAGTGAGGATCTGGTGATTTGGCTTCCCTGTCTGTTACCTGTCACAGCAGGCCCATCTCATTGCTGAGGCAAGGCTTGCCTGCCCTTTCCAGGGCCCTCCCTCAGCCTGCACGTCTGTCAGGGTGAAGAACAGACCCCTTCACCTTCTGCAGCTGTTCCAGTCCCTTCTCCTTCTGTCTCCACTGTGGAAAGCAGCCCGGGGAGATCTGTTCTGTCTCTGAGTGGATCTTTGAGACTCTGAGAATGAGACGTACTATTCTGAGCTTGGGGCAGAAAACGACAGTCCCAGAGAAGGTGGTGGAGGATGAAGGTGGGGTGGGAAGCAGGATGCGGTGGAGGAGGAGGAAATAGTCCAGCACTGGGCCCAGTGGAGCAGCGGTGCCGCGGTGAGCTGTGGAGGTGAGGTCTGCAGGGGCGGAAATGGAGCCTGGGCAGAGCCATGTGCAATTCGAAGTGCGTGCGACACAAATCCCTCAAAGAGAGGGAGGCTCCCTCTACCCTTGGAACTCACGTTCCCATTTCCCAAGGGAACCGTGGTTACTTTATGGAATCCATAGGATTGGGGTGTGGATGAGAAAGAGTTAGATGGGAGGATGAATGAGATGGGGTGCCACAGTGTAGTAGGATAGATGGGGACACATTTTTAAAGCTTATGTGGTCCTTACCATAAACCCTTCATCTACCAACTGTATATTTAAATTGTCTATCAGATAAACATACATGTATATATTCATGAGCAATGCATACACATAGGAATGTTCTTAACCTAACAAAGGAAGATTTAGTGGTGAAGCTTTAGATGGTTTCTAAGGGATGTCTGCTGTCAGCACTGCAATTTATCATTGTGCTAGAAATCCTGGTAAAAACAATAAAGCAAGAAATAAAACAGGAATATAAGATTCCAAAAGGGAGAAAGAGATGGTTCTTTTTTTTTTTTTTTTTTTGAGACAGAGTCTCGCTCTGTCACCCAGGCTGGAGTGCAGTGGCCGGATCTCAGCTCACTGCAAGCTCCGCCTCCCAGGTTCACGCCATTCTTCTGCCTCAGCCTCCCGAGTAGCTGGGACTACAGGCGCCCGCCACCTCGCCCGGCTAGTTTTTTATATTTTTTAGTAGAGACGGGGTTTCACTGTGTTAGCCAGGATGGTCTCAATCTCCTGACCTCGTGATCCACCCGTCTCGGCCTCCCAAAGTGCTGGGATTACAGGCTTGAGCCACCGTTCCCGGCCAAGAGATGGTTCTTCGCACAGGATGAGGTTGTTTACACAGCAAATGAAGAAGCATGTTCACGCTAATGATTAGCACTAATAGCATTTAAGAAACTTGCTGAATTTTTGATTGAGAAAAAATCATCAAAATAATCTCTATAAAACAGCAATGACTATTTATAGCATGGAGTTGAAAACAAGAACCTCTTTGTCACAGTAAAAAATGGTGGGGTGCCTAGAAGTGAATTCATCAAACCCCACATACAAGACCATCATGAAAGAACTATCCCCAATATGCATAAGAGATCTAAAGAGCTATGTTTATGGATGAGAAAGCCAATTTTCCTTTGTCATTTCTCCCAAATTAATCTATAACATTAATAATAATAGTGTGAATGAAATTCTATTAATATACTCACTTTACAGATGAAAACCTAAGGCATAATCAGGTTAAATCCAATTAAATCTATTCATAATTCTAGGAAGGTGTTTTGTGGAACTTGGAAAACTGATCCTAAAATTCAGGTGGGAAAGAATACAAGAGAATTGCAATACCAGTCATGCCGACTCTCAAGAGAAGAACAGGGCAGGGACTCCCTACCCAATATTCAGGCTTATTTTGAAACCGTAGTACCTGAGATCATGTCGTGACCTCAGGAGAGGTACTGAGGAGGGATTTCTGGGGGAGACTAGAGGTCTTACAAACCACAGGAAAGGGGGCACTGTTTAAAAAATATTTTGGAACAATAGCTGTCCTTGTAGAAAAAAGGTACTATTGAATCTTTACATCATACACACAAAAAATAAACTCCAGAACATTAGAGAGAGAAAGGTGAAAACACAAAGTTTAGAAACTAGTCAAAGAAAATATACACTTTGGAATAAGGAAGGATTTCAGAAACAGAAATTTCTTTCTTAAATGAAAGTTTGATAAGTGACATTACATCAGAATTGTTCATTTCTGTGTGACAGAAGACAGCAGTGAGGAATGACAAGCCCAGCCAGATTGATGTGTGCCTCCCCAGGGTATGCCTGCAGGTGCATGGGTACCCTACTCCGGGTCTAGGCTGCTCTGGCATCTCCCTGCCAAGCCACAGGGAGGAAAATGGCGTACCCACCGTGGTGCTCTCCTGCTCTCATGAGAAAACAAACGCCCTCCCGAAACCTAGTTGGGATCTGGCTTTTCTAGATCAAGAAGGTGAGGAAATGGCCAATTCTACCAGGCTCCACTTCAAGGCCCTCCTCTGCTCTCTCCAGGGAAGTCTGGGACTGGGCGTGCCCTCTCATTCCCTGGCTCCAGGCTGTGGCACTCCACCATGCAGGTGGTTTTGTGGAAGGGTAAGACACTGGGAGAAAGTGCGAGGAAGCCCTGCCCAGCATTGCATGGCGTCTGCTGTGAAACAGCCTGAGTTCCCACCCCTGTTCTTTGTTTTGAGGTGTACATTGTTTTATGTGGTGACAACGGATTGTCAGAAACCAAGGAGCTCTCCTGTCCAGAGAAGCCCCTGTTTGAAAGGAATTCCAGACACACCTTTATCCTGAGGTATTCCAAAATATTTCACTGCTAGATTTGGATAAGAGAGGCCAATCAGAATTAGTGCAGCCTTATCACAAATACAAAACAGACTACATAACATTGGTCTCTAATAGTGAGCATCAATTTATATACAAACAATTTTATGATGTATTTTTACAGTTTGTTATTCTGAGTAGATTAAACAATAGGTTTATGCGAGGCAAGGAAGGAAGGAGGGTGGGGGAAGAAGACTTACTGATTTTACATGTTAGTAAAGTTCATAATCAGTGTTTTCTATGACACTAAACCTTCTGACCTTAATTAGGTTTGTCCCCAGTTTGGAAGAGCGAGGACACGTGGTGTCACAAAGATGGTGGGGTTGGAGAAAGAGGGAGTTTAACAAGATAGGATGCAAGCACCTGGCAATTTAGAAAATTTGAAAGGACATATTTAGAAAATATGAAAGGACTGAACTAAATTATTTTTTCTCCTGGTAAATTTCATGCATGATATTTATTGGTTTGGAGTATTATGTCTTCATTAAGAGAGAAAAGGTTAACTTTAATCCACACCAGAGACAAACAGATGAACGAGATTTGTGTGACTTTGGTTTGGGAAAGCTGGTGGATATTGAAGGCCTGAGTGCAGGGTCACTGTGCGTGGTGGGATCTCCCATCCTCTGGTCGGGTTCCAGGGGGCTTCACATGTCACTCTGCATGTCAGTCACCTTTGACATGTCCCATCCCCCCTCTGTGGGCCATCAGTGCCTTGAGGGTGAGCACTGGGGCTGATGGGATGCCAGGACCACACTGTCACCCTCCCAGCTGATGAGACGCTGCTGTGTGTGCCTCCAGCACTCCTGCCCAGCTGGGCCTGCTGAGGAAGATCTGCCTCTGGCACGACAGCCGTGGGCCTTCCCCAGGCTGGTTCATCAGCCACGTGATAGTGAAGGAGCTGCGCACAGGACAGGGCTGGTTCTTCCCTGCCCAGTGCTGGCTGTCTGCCGGCAGGCATGATGGTCGCGTGGAGCGGGAGCTCACCTGTCTGCAAGGGGGACTCGGCTTCCGGAAGGTAGGCCCCCTCCAGGTGGCCTCTCATGGCGCACCTGGCCGACTGGCAGAGCGTGGCACCTGGCTCTGCTTCGCTTGCCACAGTTGTGTCTTTCAACTCCTCTAAAGTGTATTCCTCTTTTCTTAGTTAATTACCAATATATCAAAATATTAAATGATACATTCATTAAGTGGCCATCCAAGCATGGATTAATTACCCTTCCCAATTATTAATTATTGCAGTAATGCTTCTCTGTAATTGTAATAAGAATGTAAATTTCTGGAATTTATGGTTCTGGTGGTCTGTGATGTCCAGAGGCCCGTAATTAAAGACTATTCAGTGCCCTGTGTGTGTCCCAAACAACCTAGATAACTATCAATAGAGTAATTACAGATATGGTACAGATGTGATCATGGCCAGGATGGCAGGAGATGGCCAAAGTGACAAAATAACAGATAACCTCACAAACTAACCATAGAAGTTGTGGTTTTTGCATGTCCTTTCCATCTTTCCCTATATACAAACAAATTTCATACAATTGTGATAATCATTTTTTTTTTTTTTTTTTTTGAAACGGAGTCTCGCTCTGTTGCCAGGCTGGGGTGCATGATCTTGACTCACTGCAACCTCTGCCTCCCAGGTTCAAGTGATTCTTCTGCCTCCGCCTCCCAAGTAGCTGGGACTACAGGCACATGCCACCACGCCCGGCTAATTTTTGTATTTTTAGTAGAGATGGGGTTTCACCATGTTGGCCAGGATGGTCTTGATCTCTTGACCTTATGATCCTCCCGCCTTGGCCTCCCAAAGGCTGCGATTACAGGCGTGAGCCAACGTGCCCGGCTGCATTTTGCACTTTCTTATTCAACATTTTAGAGTAGATCTCTTCATGAATTTTTAAAACATCATTTCAGGGCTGTATAATGGCCCACTGCGCATGACCATTTGCTGAAGACCTGTTGGGCACGTATAGCTTTCTTTCATTTATTATGGTAATGGACAACATTGTGGGAACTTTCATGTGTGACTCTCTGTTCCTGATGAGCACTTCCTGAAACTGGGTCTCAAACAGTGGTAAGAGCCAGTGAACTCAGACAGTCCCCAGTGTCGCCGGACCTTGCCAGGCCACTAGGCTTTCTTTCCAACCTGCCCTGTTGCCACCTGCCTTGATGAGAGGCCCAGGCTCAAGACCTTGGCATTTTCAGGCCTGAGATATTGCTAAGCTAGTAAGAAACATGATCATAAAGGATTTGAAACAAGTTTTCAATCAGTCACAGCATGTGGAAATTCTTCAACATCTAAAACTGGGGCTTCCCCTTAGATGATTGTTTCCTTGTGAGAATGACTGTTTAGCTCGGGAACTGTAGTTAACAATGGGAGACATACATCACTTATCCTTAAGCTATTGTGCTTGACAGCTTTTTGTGAGAAACGTAGGCTTATTAACTTAGTCACGTATAAGCACTTGTATGTGCTGCGAATCGAGCATTGCTTGTTGGCTAATCCAGTTACATAAAGAAGATACATTCTTGATTTTTCTGGTATTTGTATCTGTGCTCTGCTCATATTCCATAAGAGCAGTTGCAGTTCTGTGTATAATTTTGTTTTTTCTAGAACAATGTTGAGCCCCAAGCATTATTGAAATTGAATTGGAACTTAAAATTCAGTGCGATTCCTAAGCAACTCATCTCCTGCTGTGTGCCAGACATTGTGGGCTACTGAGGACAGAGGTGGAGGCGACTCAGCCCCACTCTCAGTGCACTCAAAGTCCAGTTGAAATTAAGCATATTGCCCCGGAAAGTTCTGAGGGTGGCGGGGTTTTAAGAAGTCTCTTAGGAACATGCAGGAGAACCAAGGAGAGACTGATCAGAAGCTCTGGAGAGAAGGTCTCCGGAGGCTGGGCGTGAAGGCATTTGAGAGCCAGGCAAGTGAAGCCGGGAGAAGCATGTGCCAAAGCTCAGGAGGTGCCAGGGGAAGGCCAGGTGGGCCAGAGTCCAGCATGATGGGAGTGTGGCTGGAGCAAGGGGGCTGCCAAGGAGGCAGAAGGAGGAGCAGCTTCCAGAGGCCTAGAGTGAGGTGCTGTTCACCTGCACCCACGGCCCACCTAGTACCCAGCTAACCAGCCAGGATAGCAGAGCCAGCGAGTGTGGGGAGTGCAGTGCCGTCTACCTGCACCACGGCCCACCTGATACACAGCTAAGCAGCTGGGATGGAAGAGCCAGAAAGCTCGCCGTCTCTGCTCAGAAGATCGCGGTTTAACAGTCAGGACTTTGCTTTATTGACAGAAATGCCCATGTCAGGGAACACTTCTCCTGCTTTCCGTTTCAGCTCTTCTATTGCAAGTTCACAGAGTACCTGGAGGATTTCCACATCTGGCTGTCGGTGTACAGCAGGCCCTCCTCCAGCCGCTACCTGCACACACCACGCCTCACCGTGTCATTCACCCTGCTGTGCGTCTACGCGTGTCTCACTGCCCTGGTCGCTGCTGGAGGGCAAGAGCAGGTGAGGGCCGTCGCTTTTCCTTACAGCAGCTTCCAGATCCCAGACTACACTGTGGCCCCTTTTTGCCTAAGAAATCAACAAAGCTCACAGTCCTCTGAGAAAAGTGTAAACCAGGGGAAGCAAGCCTGGCTGCCTGGGGACCGGAGAAGGAGCAGGAGGGCTCTGCCCGGTGTGGCACTGGGTGGGCCTGCACAGCCCTGACTCTGCTGGCTCGGTGGACAGCTGCTCTGTGGGAGCTTGTGCCCAGGCCCAGCAGTAGAACTTTTCCAGAGAGCCTGGCAGTCAGTTGTCTTTGAGAATGATCTTGAATTTTTTTTTTTTAAGTTGGCAATTCATTTAGATTTTGAACAAGTCCTCTGGACAAAAGAACACAGAGCCATTCTGATGGGCACATTTTCCCTCAAGATGTCAGTTTGCACTGGCAACTCTGGTCAGATTGTTCCTCATGAGATGTAGTAAATTACTTCGAAATCAGTGTCGGCAGTTAAAATGGAGACCATCCCTTTCCTGAGGAAAAACAACACAGCAGGACGTGGGCTGAGGGAAAACTGACTTGTTTACTATGACAACATCATGGCCATTCATGCACCTGGCCCACCGGGTTCACTGCTGGGTCGTGGTGCGCCTGGAGAATGTGGTGACAAGGTCCGTTTCCGAGGAGGGGGCCAGCGACCCATCCATGTGACAGCCAGGCATAGTGGCTCCTTTATGACACCAGGTATCAGAGAGATCCAATAACAATTATGGATTGGTGAGATTGAAAAAATAACAATGCATAGAATTTGTAAAAAGAGGATAAACAAGTATCATCAAGTAGCAGGAAGGGAACAGCTCTGTCCAGCCGGAAATAGACCAGGGCCCGTGGTGAGGAAACCTACGGTCAGTCTCTTCTTTGAGGCTGACATGTTGTCTGACGTTGGGCCACTGACCACTTCTCTCTGTTCATTGGTACCTTGTGGGTGTTGATGCCTTGCCGGATTGTAGCCATGATTCAATCCATGGAGCACGTGCCTGGTAGAGAGTGGGTGCGTGGCAAGCATTTGTTCAATCCAAAAGGATTTGTATAAGAAGAAACAAAATGATTGCGTGTGTTTTTTTTTTCACTCCTGGGGTATAAGAAGCCTTTGCTGGATTCCTTCTGCTTGTATCCATCATATCAGTTCTATATATAGATCTATTTTTTTCTTAGAACGATATTGAACATGATGCAGTATTTAAATTGAATTGTGGCCAGGGTGGTAGCTCATGCCTGTAATCCCAGCACTTTGCGGGGCCGAGGCAGACAGATCACCTGAGGTCCGGAATTTGAGAGCAGCCTGGCCAACATGGTGAAACCCTGTTTCTACTAAAAATACAAAAATTAGCTGGGCGTGGTGGTACGTGCCTGTAATCCCAGCTACTCGGAAGGCTGAGGCAGGAGAATCACTTAAACCTGGGAGGCAGAGGTGGCAGTGAGCCGAGATCTTGCCACTGCACTCCAGGCTGGGTGACAGAGCAAGACTCCATCTCAATCAATCAATCAATCAATTGAATTGTAACTTAAAATTCATGATTCATGAAGAGAGCACTTTTATTAAGTGTAATGTATGTATTCACATTACATATATTTGTAATTACACCATGACTGTTTTAAGTTGGACTCCTATCAGGTTGATGTAACGGCTGCTGTTGGTTTGTTGCAACCCCAGTTGGATGTCAGCCCCACCCTTGGATCCTTCAGGGTGGGTCTCCTGTGTACCCTCCTGGCTTCTCCAGGGGCCCAGCTCTTGTCCCTGCTCTTCAGGCTCAGCAAGGTACCTGCGACTTGTCCTCATGGCCCTGTTCTCCTGAGCAGCCCCTTCATTGCTGGGGAACACACTTGGTGAACCACCTCTTTCCTTCTGCAGGAAGCCCCGGGGCCTGCCCGAGCAGAGCCACACTGCCCGCCTAGAGGAGAAGCACAGGCCAAGGCACCCCAGGGTAAATGTGTATTAAAACTCTCAGAAACTCTCCGTGGGGCTGAGCCTTTTGCACCAATGTACTAAGTAGAAATTGTATCTTCTGCTTTCAGTTTGCATTATGTTTGTTATGAGTAATGTTGGGCATCATTTCATGTGTTTAAAAGTCATTTTATTTTCTGTGGTCTGTCCACTTTCTTTTCCCACATTTATATGAACCTTATAAAATCCTTTCTTTTCTGAGTGATATATAAATACTTTTCACCAGCTAAGTAAAGTAGGTCTTTGTCAGATGGGTAGTGAATCCATTTTCTAGTTGCTAGTGCCATTTGTTTTATTAATTAAACATTTTTCTCAAGCTGCCATGTTTCCTTAAGGCAGCCTCGAGTGGGTGTGAGGGTTGCCCAAGCCAATACCAGGACTGAAGCATCAACAAAAGTCCTCGTTCTAGTCTTGTTCTCTCAGAAGTACTCATTCTGGCTGAGTCAGGAAGGAAGAGTATTTGCTGAAGAAAGAAGTATCCCTGCTAATCATTAAACATATCCCTGTCTAAATGTATGATCCCAAAACATCATACATTGGACTTTTATTTTTTTGAATCAGGTCCTAATTCCTGCCGAAGGATACCAGACGCACAGGAGCCATGCAAGGTAAATCAACCATTACGCGCAGCAGCTAATCCTCTAGCATGAAATGCGAGCAATTAGATTTCTCTGGCATCCTCCCTTGGCTATGGTCTGGCCATGGATGGGTCAGGCCCAAGGTGAAATGGACACAAGAAAAGATCGATGCAAGACCTGCTGTGCTGGCTGGGGGCCGTCCTCCCTAGAGGGAGGTCTGTTTCCCAGGACACATGCCACAGCAGCCCGGCTGTCCAGGTGGCAGAGAGAGGAGGGGTCTCAGCAGAGGCCTGAAACAGGAAGGAAGCGCAGCCCAGCAGAATTCGGAAAGCCCCGTGTGTCTACTCAGTAAATACCGGCAGGACCGTGGGAGAGACACTGTGGAGCAGCAAGGCTCGGGGTGATCGCTCTGTGAGCTTCTCCACCTCCTTGTGAGGAGGGGGCTCAGAGAAGCTGCCCCAGTGCTGGGAGCTCCATTCCAGGTCTCAAAGAAGCCTGTGACATGGGGCAGTTGAAGGGCAGCTTCTAATGGCACCGCTGCGGTACCCCATTGCTATAGTGCTTTTCGGATCTGTGTGGTGTGACTGCCCCTTTGCTTATGTGGGATTCTGCTCTGTGGGACACATGAGGGCACACACGATGCCGGGTTTGCCAGGTTCTAACTCCCTGGCGGCAGCTCCGCCGCTCCTGTTCCTGAGGGTGGTACTCTCGAGCCGCTGCTTGAAACACAGTGTGCCCCCTATGCCCCAAATACCATGCCAGAGCTCTGCGCCCTCCCCACTTGGAGGCTTTGTTCAACCAGTTGCTCTTGGCTGAATTCCCCTCTGTGGCAGGGTCATGCCTCCCAGAGAACCAGGTGCAATCACCCTGACCGCATGGAGCTGCTATTAGGCCACCAACATTTCCCCAGGCGCGGCCACCGTCCTCCGAGGGGTATGAAGGAGCCGGCTCTCAGGCCGCCTGTGCTTCCTCCCTCAGAATTCTTTAGAGGCCTGAGCACCACACCCTGCCCATGTCAGGCCCGTCCTCTGAGAAGGCGGCAAGCCACACCACTGTTGAGCGTCATGTGTGAAGCCCTGTCTGTGGAGACATTAACCTTGGCATGACCTTGTCATTCTAGCATCCTGCATCAGCCATTGTCTCTGGGAGTGGCAGGGCCCAAAGGAAGGCGGCAAGTGATGATGGCACAGCCTGTCCAGCCCCTAAGCTGGAGGCCCACGGGGCTGACCACAGCGGGACTGCTTTGATGGGGAAGAGCCACTGCTGCCCTCCCTGTACTCAAGGTAACTGGCTCGCAACCACAGCCCCCTTCCTGCCAGTCCAGCAGACCTGCCGCCATTGGGAGAGGTGGGGCAAGCAGAGCCACAGTTGGGCCAAATGTCACTGAATACTCTAGTCTCATCTGAAAACCAGGCATGGGCCCACCCAAAACTGAGGCGTCCAACTTTCCTCCAAAGTCTTGGTGCTTTCTGGCAGGTACTTAACATGGTCAGATCTTTTTAAAAGTCAGTAATATGCTCATAACCTTTTTAAAGTATTCTGGAATGTGAAGCTTTGCATTTTTTAATGCCAATGACAGTGAATGATAGTCCCAGCTTCCAATTATGCTGGAATCTCAGCAGTGAACTGGTAGAGGCAGGGATTACCCTAGAACAACCAGGGCCGTGCCCAGGGAGATTGAATCCTGCTGCAATCCTAGGAGGGCAGCCAAATCATGGCAAAGGGGAGACTGTGGTGGGCCTGGCCTGGCAGGGGTGTGTGACTTTGGGATCCTGGAGCCATGTGGTACGTGAGCAGATGGTTTAATCGAGGCTCCAGCTCAGCCCAGGTCCTTGTGTACTGGATTCAGGTGCTTGTTCACAGTGACTGGCAAGGTCTGTGCATGCAGCTATGTCTGGTTGGACCCATGCTGCACAGCACCTTACACAGTGGGGCACAAAAGATCCTTTCTGTGAGTGAACAGGCTTCAGGAGGGTAAGCCTTCAGTGTAGGCACAAGTATCAGCAGTAGATCAGAAGGGAAACTCATCCCAAGGACCAGCGACCCTCCCAGACAAGCTGGACACATGGCCTGGGCTGGAAGGGAGCACTCAGGAGTACAAGGCTCACACTGGCAAACCAGCCACCGATGAGGTTTTGGAGGAGGTGTGGCTCAGGACGACACCACTGTCCCAGTCACAGCTCACCTTCCTTGATTTATGTTCAGCCAGCGTCCCTCGGTTTGCCTAATACCAGCTTCCCAGCAAGAGCTCCTTAGTTGTTGAAAGGTGTTGTGCTTGATTGCCCTAGGTTGACGTGGCATCCTGCCTCTAAGAGCAGTCGCTAGAAAATGGGCTGAGATGGCTGCACCTGGAGGTATGAAGAGCTATATAGGGCAACCCTCTGGTCCTGTACCTGGCCCTGGGGAAATCACACAGCAGAGAGGGAAGGATGAAAACCACAGGGGATCAGTCACAGCCCTGTCCCTCGTGGTGTGTGGGACCTGATCCAAATCAGGGCAGACCCTCAGATCCCAGGTCAGCCTGCTTAGTTGTTTGGGGTCTGAAATGGAAACTGATCCCTCTGCCTCTGATGTTGGGGATCCATAGGTCTGTTCAGAAAAAGAGGCCCCCAAAAGCCTTCTGAGGGCACAGCGAGGCAGGAGTTGCTGCTCCCCACCCCCACTGCCACCCCAGACCCTCAGGTGAGCACCAATGTCCCAGCTCAGCAGTCGGGCAGGAGTTCCCTTGTTCTCAGCCTGTGCATTCTATTCAGGACCTCAAGGGATTGGAGGAGGCCTGTGGCTAGGAAGGCCCTCTGCTTCACTCAGTCTGCTGATTCAGATGTTAATGTCACCTGGAAACACCCCCAACCCCGAACACACTCAAAAATCACATTTAACCAAATGCCTGGGCACCCTGCAACCCAATATAGTTGATGCCTAAGATTCACCACCACACTCCGCGTGATAGAGATGCCAAGGTCTCTTAAGCTGCCTCGTCTCTGTCCTACTCTTCCGCAGCACCCAACAGTGGTTTGGAGGGACTAATGCCCTGGTGGTCGAGGGCCCCTCAGCCTTGGTGGAGCTCTGCAGTGTGGGCCATTTGTGGGACCACTTCTCTGGCCTGCAGTTTGGGGACAGGATTTCTAGGCTACAGGTAAGCTGTAGAGGTTTTCAAACATCCTCAGGTCCTCAGATGGAAAGTCTCGCATTTGTAAATAAATCCCCGCATTTCTGGGAACTCATCGGATTCAGGCTCCAGATGTCGCTATTGCTATTTTCTCCCTCATTTCTCCCTCCCACCTCCTGGGGTAAATAAAATCATATGCAGATCCCAATGGGTGGCTTGGCCTGGTCAGCCCTGCCACGGCAGAAGGCCTGGATGGAGTCCAGATATTAAACAAGAAGCTGCAGGACGCCCGCCTAAGGAAGGAAGGAACCAGCTGCCGAGCTCCTGAGAGGAGCCAGTTCCCAGCCAGGAGCTCTGGCTAGAATATGCTGCTCATGGTCTCCCATCATTTGAAAAAGCATATGTGCCTTTGGGACAGGGATTATGATGCATGTGTCACAGATTCTGATCCTGTCACCCCGGCACATGCTGCCTCTCTGGCTCCCGTCCAGCTTGGACTCGCCATCGGAGACCGCAGGGTCATTCAGTGTGGCTCCGTGGCCCACGTCTTCATAAACCACAAAGAGTAGCCACAAAGCCAAGGCCCTTTCTTCCCGTCTCTTCCATCTCAACTGTAGATGTTGAATCACTCTGTGAGAATGGGCAGGTACTTAGACCTCTCTTGTGCCTCCGTTTGCTCATCTGTAAAATAGGAACATCAGAGAGCTTAATTCTTAGGGCTTGGGGAGGAGCAGCTGAAATATGAAAGCTGTCCTGTTAGCATCATGCCTGCCCCAGCGGAGTGCCCGCCGGCATCCAGCTTTGTTGTTGTTGCTGCTGTTATTATTATTATAGCCCAACCTGTTTTCTTCCCCCTTCCCCTCTCTGTGCTCTGTTCCATCTGCCTGTTGGGTTTTCCTTTCTCTTTCCCACTCGGCAGCTTCAGGGAGGTCAATGTCCTCTTAGCAGACAGGGGTTCCCCTCCGATGAGCAGAAAGACACTGCCCACGTCCAGCACCACTCCCACAGCTGGCTTCCTGCCATGGCGAGGCCATGGGCCCTCATCAGGCAGTGTCCCTGTGCTTAGGCAGCAATGACTGCTGGGTGGCCTGCTGCCCTAGAGGGTGCTGACCACCACACTTTCCCTGGGGGCAGGTTTGGCCAGGAGCAGTGTGTACGGTGGCTGCATCTGCTGTCCCTCTCCGTGGTCTGCTGTGTTTTCATCACCCAGCCGCTTATGGTAAGAAACATCCTCCATGGTAGAAGTGTCTTCCATCAGGAGGGGACCTAGACGGGAAGGGGAAATAGAGGCTTCATTTTGGTGGTGTATGACTTTTCTTTATACCCTGATTTCAATTGTGGTGAGAGAGAACCAGGAGCCAGGCTCTGTGCTAAGCTGCACATGGGCCTGTTCTTTAATCCTCATAAACATCTTCGAGAAGTGAACCACTTTAACCCACATTTTTCATTTGAGGAAATTGAGCCTCAGAGAATTTAGGTCTCTTGGGCGAGGTTACACCTGGTGAGTAGCTGGGCTGGGAATCCAAGGCAGTGACTACTGGTGTCTTTAAAACTGGGAGATGGAGTCCTGTTCATGATTAGGGGACAGGAGGACAGCTCTGTGTGGAACAAACATGGGCACAGGGTGGCTCTCTGCTCTGTCATGTTTTTCCTTCCAGGTATGCCTCATGGCCTTGGGTTTTGCTTGGAAAAGAAGAGCTGACAACCACTTTTTTACTGAGTCTTTACGTGAGGCTACCAGGGATCTGGACTCTGAATTGGCAGAACGTTCCTGGACTCGCCTCCGCTTCTCTTCAAGCTGCAGTATTCCTGACTGTGCAGGCGAGGTTGAAAAAGTAAAAAAATGACCTATGCCGTGCAAATTGAGCTTTAAAAAACTGCTTTATGTTCTATCACTCATATCTGAATGTAGGCTTTGAATTCAAATTGGGTTGCATCTTTGGAGACCCATGGGATGTCTTAATTTCTTATGTTTCTTTGCACACACATATATGATAGATGAACACATAGGACTTTTTTTTTTTTTTCACTCCCATCCTAAAGAAGTTAGAGCATCAAGACAATTAGCATATTTTAAAATACTGAAGCAAATGAGAACTCTAATTCTTGGCCATGATTTTGGAGAACTTTTAGGCCATTTGCCCTTCAGTGGACCCGCAGAAAAGGTACTCCTCCCCATCATTCCTCCCTCCCTGACTTCATCCCTTCGTCCCTTCCTCCCTCCCTTTCTTCCTTCTTTTATTCGGTTTTGCCTATTGTATGTGTAGCATTCTGTTGGGCAGTGTGAATGATGTGAAGGAAGAGAAAGGTCTATTGGCCACTGCAAAGAAATTCACAGGCTCATTGATTAAGTGCACATGAAATGCATGTGCGATTCTGTACTCTTGTAATAACCACAAGTCACTTATGACCAAGGACCCAATCCCAGTTCATTTAGAGTCAGACCCTGGTCTGGGCCTCTGCTCATCTCCGCCCTCCTCCTCGCAAAGGATCCTGATAAACTTCATGTCTGAGGACCTGTCTGAGGCCTCTCAGCCCTGCCTGAAACCAGGGCTGCTGCTGCTGAAGATAGGTGGTGCACACAGGTTATGTAGTCATTGTGCTATTTTGCATCTACATTGTATTTACATTTGTCATATCATTTGTTCCTTATAACACTTTATGAATTAGGCAGCATCACTGCACCCCATTTAAAGATGATGTGAAACAATTAGGCCCAAGGTATACTGCAATAAAGGGGAGTCTGGGGCCCAAACCTGGCCCACCTTGCCCTTTCCTCCTGCACCCCCGCCCTGCAGCACCTTAGCTCTTGAGAAGCAGCATTGCCCTGGTTCCCTCATACCTGTTGGATCTCAGCTTTCCTTTGTGCTTCGAAGGCTGTCCTTCCTCTTCTCCCCTCGGGCAGCTATGCCCTGCTGTGCTGCAAGTTTGTTCATTTTCTTTCTATCGTCCCAGCCTTGGGGGTGAGGCTCCTTCAGATGAATTCAGCCTAATCCTGAGGGCCAGGCTGTGTCATCTCCAAACCTACGCATGGCTCATTAGCACCTTAGAATCGGGATGCCCCCCACACCCAAGCCTCCCCACGGATCTCTCGGCCACACATGTTCCCTTCTCAGAACGGCACAACAGCCGAAGGGAGTCACTTAACTCCCAACACCCTGCATGTGCAGCTTTATATTGTTTGCATCCCTGCTGTCGAGTTCCTAGAAGCCCAAGTCTCTAGGAGGAAGGACTGTCTCTGATTCCTCAGATGTCCCCAGTGCCTGATCCAGTGAATGTGTGTTGATGAATGAATACCTACAATGAGTTCATTTATCTGGCTACTGTTATGCCCTGTCCATGAACAGAGTATAAAAGTAAAAATGATTTTTGAAGAAAGAAAAGAAAGGTCATTTCTTGCTAAGACTATACTTTAAAATGGTTTTTTCATACCTTGAAAGTCTCTGAGAGAAAATACTGTGCCCGTGCCCAAGATAATTGCTGCTGTAATTTGGCGGTAGTAGACACACCCGTCGTGTACAGCAGCTCTTTGTAATAGCCCAACTGCAATCCCTGCCAAAAAAGCTTGCCTGGGACATGAGCAGAATTTTAAAAATGGGTCTACCCCCCATCTCTGATCCCTTCCCCAACAACCTGGTCTATGTTATTCATACAAAGTGCCTCTTTGTTCCCAAATGCCAGGCTGAATGTACAGCACAGCAATGACGCATTCCTTGGCTTGGCAGGAGCACCAGGGGCCTCTCTCCTTCCACCCGACAGCCCACGGCTCACCGGGCTCTTGTCCCTGACAGGTCTTGGCTGCCCGACAACAAGCTCGCCACCTGCGCTGGGCACATCCACCCTCCAAGGCCCATCTGAGGGTCACCAGAGAGAGGATGAGGAGAGAGAGTCGCACACAGGCTGCCCTGAGGTGGGTGGCGGCCTCTGTTGGGAGGGCTTGCTCCACTCCAGCTCCCTTCTCGGAGGGGGTGCCCCACTGCTGCTGGTCCTCCTGGGAGATTGTTCTCCTCGAGGAGTCGGGAGTGGAGGTGGGGACCACCTTGCTGTCCCCAGAGCTATCCTTATCTATGTAACAGCCTGTGCTGCCCAGCAGATGGGAGGAATTCAGGGAAACGGAATTGAAGTCAGAAAACTCAGTTCCACAATTTGCCCATGATGAGAAATTGATTAAGAAAGCTTCCTCCTCTGGGCCTCAGCTTCATGCATCCAGCATGGATTCACACACACAGTTGGATTTCATCCCACCCATACGTGTGCTTAGCACATGGTCTAGGGCTTCTGCTTCTCCAGCTGGGACACACAGGGATGTGGAAGCTTGTGAGATAAATGCAACACCTCTTCTTAGGGCATGGATTTAGCCCAGTGACAGGTATTTTAAAATATTTAATATTCAGATATGCACAGCTGGTGTTCATAACATATTTTAAATTTTTTTAGATAAAATACAAACCTTAATAAATATCATGCTGTGGCAAAGCTCTCCAACTTCTACCTCCAACACATTTCTCTCAGTGGTACCATCCCCCTCCAATCATGGTGGTGCTGGATGGCAGCCACTGCAAGGAGCCTTCTCTAAATGCTAGCCAAAATCCCTCTTCAAATTCGAAACACAAATTCGGTCTCCTGCAAATCTTTCTGGTGTAGTTTGTCAAGGATTTGGGAATTTCTGATCATTTTTTAAAAATGGCATGTGATAGAAGCACCTCCAACCATCTTCCTTAAAAAACAATCCTTTCATACCATGTGGCACACCATTAGCTTCCCCTTAAATATTTTCACATCCCTTTCCAAGGAAAAGAGCTGTGGTTGTGTTAGGATGTCACATTTAAAGGAGAATGGGAGAGGAATTCCGGGAAGATGGAGCGGTGGCCAAGTTTTTTACTCTTACCAAATCTCCTCATAAAAATAGAGCAATTAGGATAGCAAAAACAAAACCCATAGAAAACATGCACAACAAAATTACATGAGTTGGCCGCCGCCACCACACACACCCCCAAAGGCACTCAGGTGGGAACCAACCAGAGAGTGCACCCACCCTGTAGCTCAGCAGCTACAGAACATGGTGGAGGGAAGGATAGGGTACATGATGTATCTGAGAATAGGAGAACCCCAAGCTCCTGTAGGTGTTGTTCACTGGGAGGGTGGTGGGCACATCTGGGAGGAATTTGCACAGTCACGTTTACAGGTGAGTGCAAGGTCTGGAGGTCTGGAGCTGCTGGGCCAGCTCAGCCCTCAGAACTAACCAAACCCAGCTCTGCCAGGACATAGCCCTCTGGGATGGGGTGGCTTGGAGCACTGCTGGGGGAAGCATCCAAACCAAGCAGAACAGGCCCAGAGAAAGCATCTAGGAAACAGGCAAAACTAGTAAAGTATTAGGTTACAAAATTAAAAGACAAAAACCAATATCATATTTATATACAAGCAAAAGTCAGAGATTTAATACAAGACCATATTCAACAAAGCGAATAATAAAATAAATACAACAAAATACACTTAGGCATAATCTTAAGTTTCTCTAAGATTTCACTGAGGAAAACTTCCCTATGACTCAAAATCCAGACACAAAAGGGGAAAATAAAAATAAATTGGATTACATAAAACTTGAAGAGAAAAAAATAACTCCTACATTAAAAGAAAATAAATTTGTAAAATAAAATGACAGCGACAAACTAAGAAAAAATATTTGTAACAAAGTTTTAATATTCTCTCTTTGTTTTTTTTTTTTTTTTTTTTTAGACAGAGTTTTGCTCTTGTTGCCCAGGCTGGAGTGCAGTGGCTCAATCTCGGCTCACTGCAACCTCTGCCTCCCAGGTTCAAGCGATTCTCCTGCCTCAGCCTCCCAAGTAGCTGGGTTTACAGGCATGTGCCACCACGCCTGGCTAATTTCTTGTATTTTTAGTAGAGACAGAGTTTCTCCATGTAGGTCAGGCTGGTCTTGAACTCCTGAACTCAAGTGATCCACCCGCCTCAGCCTCCCAAAGTGCTGGGATTATAGGCATGAGCCACCACTCCCAGCCTAAGGGATCAGCAACTCTTTAAAACCTAAAACTGGACTGGAAAAGTGAACAGAGAGTTCACAGAAAAAAAGAAATTCAAATGGCTCTTTCACTTACAGTAAGAGAATTGCAAATTAAACTGTGAAAATAAAAAAAATGTGGCCGCATACTCTGTCAGTGAGGCCATGGCAAATAGAGACTTTCACACAGTGCTGGTGTGAATGCAAAATGGTACGGCCACTATGGGGGAAATTCGAAGTCTCTACACAACGATAGATTCATTTACCGTTTATCCAGCATCTCCAGTTCTTAGAATCGCTCTTAAAGACACATTAAGGAAAACATGAGCAGACCCATGCACAAAGCCATTTGTGTGGGAACTTTTGTAATGAGAATAGCCTGGAAAGAACGCACATGTCTTGCTGGAGGGACAGGAACACAGTGGAGTAGTGTCCAGCTATGTAGAAGCATGAGGACTATCCCTCCAGACTCCCAGGGAGAGGCCTGTAGGAGTCACTGCAGGAGTGAAGCCGGGTGGAGGAAAGCAGGCATGCTGTGCTGCCCACTGCTTAATGAAAGGGGACATGAATATGCGTGCCTGTGGATCTGCTCACCCTAAATAAAACAAGGGAAAGTCAATCCAGGCACCTTTAGGAAATATTAGTCGTTACTTATGGGGAGAGAAGGAATACGATTTTTAAAAATCTGTGTTAAGGTTAAAAATTCGAATTTATAAGCCTAGTCTCTAAGTACAGAAAAGAACGAAGGGAAAACACCCTAAAGCTGTTTTCACCAATCGTATTGTTAGTGGAGCGTTAGTATCTTTATTCTCATTGTTGATTTATTGTGGGGTAAAGGAAATGAAGAATTCTGTTATTTTCTAATTCTGTCATTCCTGGTGTCCTTTAAAAGTGGAATTCTTGATGTGAGAGAAAGAAGGTACGGATCTGAGTTCAAGGAAGTCAAAACTCTGTAGTCCTGAATTTGAATTGCAAGTATAGGTATGGAATCATGTGGGGTTTTTTTTTTAAGGAAAATATATATATATTTGTCTAGATCTTTCCAGCAAGAAAAGACCTAGAAACAGCCCAGAAGCAACACACACTTTTAACACCTAGATTTGGTCTGCCAAAAAGAAATAGGAGTCACTGGGATTCCTGATTTGAAGACGGTGATGGAAAATGTTTAAGATGAGCCTGGAATCTTTCTTAGGCAAGGGAGCAATTAATAACTGCTGGAGTCATTGTCAGAGGACTAAGAAGCCAGTTTAAAGAGGTTCAGATTGGTCAAACATGGGGTAATTAGATATCAAGATTAGAAACTACTGAATTGAAGTTCATGAAATCTATCTAAAGCCATGAGCTGGTAACAATACCCGCAATGTAATTGATCAGTGTTGGTGGACACCCAGAAACCAACTTGATAAAAGCCAGTGAAAGTCTGCCTTTCCTATACAAACTGTACCCCTGGGAAACCACATCACAGGAGGGGGGATATTTCTCTTTAGAGAGGAATTCCAGCTAATGAATGAGGACTAGGCAATAGAATTAGAGCCTGACCATTTTTGCAGTTTTAATGAAGTAATGAATCTAGGCATTGCTCATTAACAGTGGTCAACATAAAAGAGAGGAGGGAGAGAGAAACATCAGACATTCTGTGTCTGCTGGTGGGAAAACACCATCATCTATGAGGCAACCTACCCAAAACAGTCCAATCTTAATCTGATGAAATGATTTTGCCAACTTGTAGTTTACCGTAAGAGTATGTTGACACCTCCATCGAAAAGCAGGACTCTGAGAACATGCTCAACAAATGGATTGCAAAGAAGCAAAAATAAATAGAGATGATACCCATAGACTGGAAGAGACATGAGGAGAAAAGCAGTTAATGCAATTTGTCATAGTAACAGACTAAGAAAAGCCATATGATCATCTCAATAGAGGCAGAAAAAGCATTTGATAAAATTCAACATTAATTCATCCAAAAAAAAAAAGAACCTCTCAGCAAACTAGGAGTAGACGTAGGAATAGAAAAGAGTTTCCCTGAACTAATAAAGGGTATTTATGAAAACTCGACACCTAACATCAATCAATAGAGAGACATTGAATGTTTTTTAAGATAACGAACAAGGCAAAAATGTCCTCTCTGATCACACATATTGAACATCATTGGAAGTCCTAACCAATGCAATAGGCAAGAGAAAGAAATTAAAAACGTATCGATTTGAAAGGAAGAAATAAAACCATCTATTGGCAAATGACATAAATCGTCTATGCAGAAAATCCCAAATAACTTACAAAAACAAGCGTTCTGGAACTAATAAGTGAATTTAGCAAGTTTGCAAGACAAGTCAGTATACAAAAGTAAATTATATTCCTATGTACCAGCAATGAACAATTGAAATTTAAAAAGGAATGCCATTTACAACAGCACCAAATAAATTAAGTACATGGACGTAAGTCTAAGAAAACGTGTGCAGGATCTGTATGTTGAAAATCACAAAACTCTGATGAAGGAAGTCAAGAAGATCTGAATAAATGAAGAGATAGACTGTGTGCGTTGATTGGAGGACTCAGTAATGTTCAGGTGTTGATTCTTTCTGCAGTTTCAATGCAATACCACAAGATTTTTTTTTTTTTTTTTTTTTGATACAGAGTCTCACTCTGTCGCCCAGGCTGGAGTGCAGTGGCGCGATCTCAGCTCACTACAACCTCCATCTCCCAGGTTTACGCCATTCTCCTGCCTCAGCCTCCTGAGTAGCTGGGACTACAGGTACCCGCCACCATGCCCGGCTCTTTTTATATATATATATATAAAAGTATATATATATACTTTTAGTAGAGACGGGGTTTCACCGTGTTAGCCAGGATGGTCTCGATCTCCTGACCTCGTGATCTGCCTGCCTTGGCCTCCCAAAGTTCGAGCCACTATGCCCAGCAAAATACCACAAGCTTTTTTACAGATATTGACAAACTGATTCTAAAATTTATATGGAAAGCAAAGGAACTAGAATAGCCTAAACAATTCTGAAAATGATGAGCGAAGTCAGAGGACAGACACTATCTGGCTTTAAAACATACTATACAGCTGCAGAAACCAAGGCAACATGATGTTTGGGGACAGATAGACATGCAAATCAATGGAACAGAATAGAGAACCCAGGAATAGACTTACCCAAATATGCTCAACTGATTTTTTGGCAGAGGCGCAAAGATGATCCAATGAAAAAAGAATAGTCTTTTAAAAATGGTGCTGGGGGCCAGGCATGGTGGCTCATGCCTGTGATCTCAGCACTTTGGGAGGCCAAGGCAGGTGGATCACCTGATGTCAGGAGTTCAAGACCAGCCTGGTCAACATGGTCAAACCCCATCTCTATTAAAAATACAAAAAATTAGCTGGACGTGGTGGTGGGTGCCTGTAATCCCAGCTACTCAGGAGGCTGAGGCAGGAGAATCACTTGAACCAGGGAAGGGTAGGTTGCAATGAGTCGAGATTGTGCTACTGCACTCCAGTCTAGGCGACAGAGCTAGACTCTGTCTCGGAAAAAAAAAAAAAAAAAAAATGGTGCTGGGAAAACTGGATATTGATATGCAAAATAAATAAACAAATAAACCCCAACACACACCTCACACTTTATACAAAAATTTCCTCCCAGGGATTTAAAAGCCGAGTTTCATTTAAAATCTTTTGGCCCGGCATAGTGGCTCACGCCTGTAATCCCAGCACTTTTGGGAGGCCGAGGCGGGCAGATCACTTGAGGTCGGGAGTTCGAGACCAGTCTGACCAATATGGAGAAACCCCGTCTCTACTAAAAATAACAAAAGTTAGCCAGGCGTGGTGGCACACACCTGTAGTTCCAGCTACTCGGGAGACTGAGGCAGAGGAATCGCTTGAACCCAGGAGGCGGAGGTTGCAGTGAGCCGAGATTGCGCCACCGCGCACCCGCCTGGGTGACAGAGTGAGACTCCATCTCAAAAGAAAAATTGCAGATTGAAACATTCAGATACCTACATACAGGGTCTGTATGGATGCTAACTTAAAAACTCTTCTTACAGAGACATTTCCATGGACATCCTCATGCTTCTTCTGCTTTTGGGTATAATGTATGGGAGGTTTTCTCAAGATGAATACTCCCTCAATCAAGCTATCCGGAAAGAATTTACAAGGTAGGAGGTTTGGGTAACTCCTCTAGATCTGGGGCCATTGCACTAGTCCATAGCCTGTGTGCACCTTCCCCATATTTCACAACCCACGTATGAAATATAAGGAAGGTTGTCACAATTTCCCTGGTATTAATAAAACCCCCTCCATTCGCAGACTTTGGATACATTCTTAGCATTTTCTTTGGGGTAAATAGTGAAACGAGGATATTTCAAGGAATTTTAAGTTCTGCACCAAAACAGGGTCTTGCAGTTTCTTTTTTGCTGGAGACATCAGTTTTCTGCCAAAGCCTATGGTTGCAGTTCATAATAACTGACATTCAAGTTCAAACAGTTTCTTTTTTTTTTCTTGGTTTTTTTTTTTTTTTTTTGAGACAGAGTTTTGCTCTTGTCACCCAGGCTGGAGTGTAATGGCGCGCTCTCAGCTCACTGCAATCTCCCAAGTTCAAGCAATTCTCCTGCCTCAGCCTCCCAAATAACTGGGATTACAGGCATGTGCCACCACGCTCGCCTAATTTTTTTGTATTTTTAGTAGAGATGGGGTTCACCGTGTTGGTCAGGCTGATCTTGAACTCCTGACCTCAAGTGATCCACCCGCCTTGGCTTCCCAAAGTGCTGGGATTACAGGTGTGTGCCACTGTGCCCGGCCTTCAAACAATTTCTAACACCTCTCAAGTTCTTGATCATTTCTCCAGTTACTCATTTGCTACTTCCTCCTTCTTTCTATAAGTAGTAGATGCTGACCATAGGTAAATCTAGCAGAACTGAAAAGTGAAAAGCAGAAAAATTTCCGTGATGCCACCAGGCAGAGGCAAGCATGATAGCATTTTGTTGTGTCCTATTTCTTTTCCATGTCTCAGTGCTTCTAAAATTGGGATGCATATTGTCACCAACAGGTGCATTTAATGTAGTCTTCCTTTTTTGTTGAGAGTTGTTCTTGAATCCATGGTTAGGCTTTATTTTTACCTGCCACAAATAGTCAGTCTGATAGTCCTTTCAAGGCAGTGTGGCTTTGAATTCTAAAGTGCATGATATGAAATAATATTGGTTCTTCGCTATGATTGCAATGCTGGTAAATACAATAATTCAGTGTGTTCCAGGAGTTACCTTATTTTACTCTGGTGAATATTTAAAGACGCATTTATGCAACAGCTCTATGAGTGTGTTGCCTTTGACTAAGTAATTCAATTTGATATAAATACGTTTTGGTGAGATTTTTTGGCAGAAGTGAGTGGCTGGAAAGTCCATTTAATTTTTATCAATTATTTCAGAACACATCTATCTTTAGTTTTTGTAAGAGAGAGGGTTATTCATATGCAGCAAGATAATGGCTAATGGATATTGTCCCCTTTGTCAGCGTTGTGAACCACTCATAAGGTAAGTCCTGGAAGTCCCAGTGCTATGAGTCTGGGTGTTCTGTAGCTCAGTAATCCAAGTTTTTTTGTTTTTGTTTTTGTTTTCTGCTGAGCATTCTAGTAGTGAAATTAAGTGGAATTTTCTGCCTCCTCATTTGTGAAACAAGCAGTTATTTCCATCCACGACCAACTTTTCAGCCCTCCTATCTGTGCAAGTGCAAGCCTGTGCCAGTAGGTGGCGCTGTGTGCAAAACAAAGTGATAATTTGGTCCTCTCTGAAAATGGAAATCTAAACATGAAAAACCTCTGACTTTTGCTAGTTTATTTTTTATCTCACATTTCACAAGTCAACATCATTTGCCATATTTCTCATGTGAATTGTTGCTTCTTGATAGTCAAATCAGAAATATCGCAGCTGAGATAATATTTGTGAGATCTTAGGTGCGGATGAGATTGATGTGCCCACCTCCACAACTCCTGTGGATTTGCATAGACCTTATGTTTCCCACAAGGATGCAAAAGCCCACTGCCTCTGGGTGCTCTGGCCACCAGGCAGGGATATTTGTGTGTCCCAGTTGGTAATGGAATGTTTAAAGTGGACCCTCTCCATCTTACCACCTAGCCCCCAATACCTAATCCTGAAACATCAACAACTGAGGGTTTGGCATTTACTAGCATTCCAGATAGAGAAGCTAAGTAAGCCCAGGAGGGGAAATGGATGAAACAGAGTTCAGAGATCAGGGCCCCAACTCATGTTTGGTTGCTAGGTGACTCTGGCAAGTGCTTGGACTTAGCACCTTCATCTGTAAAGGGAGGGAACTGGACTACTGAGTACTTATGTCTTAAGAAGTCATTGCATTCTTGGATTTCGCCATATTTAAGTTGTATTTGAAGTGTTTCTGGACTTATGAAATACTTCATGAAATTCCAAAAAAAAAATACATAAAACAAAAAATAAACCAGCAAATAAAGCACCAATCAATGAAGCAAGCGTTCTATCCAAGTGCCATAAATGTAAGCAGCTGGTTTTATCTTTTGCATTGTTTAGCCAGCTTTGTGGGCTTATTTTATGTAATTGTGGTAATTAATACAGACAGGGCCAGAATACTCCTGGCTCATTGGGTTCACTACCTGCACTTTGGATGTGCCAGGAATGAGGCGTGAGATGTCTACAGTCTGGCCATTGGGTGCTTTGGGTTATTTTCAGGGCTTTTTTAGTTTCTTGATGTTATTCCAATAGGGAAGCAAGTGTCAAGAAGTGATACCATTTCCCCGAAAGTGGTACAAACTCAGCATGGCTATAATGTCTATACTTTATTCTTTAAAAACACAGAATATGGAGCATATTAGTTGCTACAAATGTACAATGTTTGTCTGTCAAACCATCTTGCTTCCCACAGCAGAAGCTCAACACTTTCCTCTGTTGAAAACTCACCTCCAGCCATCCTTTGCCTCTTTCCTACCCTCCCGCCCTTTCACTGCATCTCTCTGCCCCCTGGTTCATTCATTCTTTCCTTTGGCATGAATATTTGCAGAGATGTATCTGCTCACCTTATGCCTCCCACCTCTGTCTCCATCTGTGTTCTCCTTTCCTGATGCCTCTCTGTTGCTTCATTCCATCCTCCGGGTGCTCTGGCAGGCCTCCAACTTGCTCTGCATTTGATAGTTTGACAAAACTTGTAGAGAAGTCCAGAGTTAAGAACCAGTACCCAATAAAAGACCTGCAAAGATTAAGTTCTAGAGATGTACAAACCAATAAAGATCAAATACTTGAAAGGATAAGAGATCATTTCTTTGTAAGAAAAAGGAAATAAAACCAGTCAGATAAATTAATTCACTAGACTTTTACTCATACATGCTATCGAAATTTTTTTTTTTTGAGACAGAGCCTCACTGTTGCCCAGGCTGGAGTGCAGTGATGTGATCTCGGCTCACTGCAGCCTTTGCCTCCCGGGTTCAAGGAATTCTCCTGCCTCAGCCCCCCAAGTAGCTGAGACTACAGGCGCACATCACCATGCCTGGCTAATTTTAGTGTTTTTAGTAAAGACGGGGCATTAGCCATATTGGCCAGGCTAGTCTCCAATTCCTGGCCTCAAGTGATCTACTCACTTCGGCCTTCCAAAGTGCTAGGATTACAGGCCTGAGCCACCGTGCCCAGCCATATGGAAATTTTTGAACACATTTATAGTATATATAGATTATTGGTTGAGGCTACTGCATCTCTTTATTACTGTATATACTGATGACATTTATTTGTCTTTGATTTTTTTAATATTGTCCAATTATTGTCATGACTATCAGGTTTTAAAAAAACTTTTTCTAAATTATCTGCAAAATTATAGCATTTGCCAACCAATTTCTATGGTGTAAATCTTCCCAGCATGGTTTTTTTGTTTTGTTTCATTTCGCTTTGTTTGTTTGTTTGTTTTTTGATGAAGGCTCACTCTGTCCCTGAGGCTGGAGTGCAGTGGCATGATCTTGACTCACTGCAACCTGCGCCTCCTGAGTTCCAGCCATTCTCCTGCCTCAGCTTCCTGAGTAGCTGGGATTACAGGCATGCACCATCACGCCCGGCTAATTTTTTGTATTTTTAGTAGAGATGGAGTCTCATCATTTTGGCTAGGCTGGTCTCAAACTCCTGACTTCAGGTGGTCTGCCTGCCTCAGCCTCCCAAAGTTCTAGGATTACAGGTATGAGCCACTATGCCCGGAACCACCATGGTCTTTTACACCACCAGTGTGACATCACTGAACATGGAGTTGGCAGGAGTTGTGCAAAACTGGCTCTCACAATGAGAGTCAGCTCCAGGCCTGCTGTCTACAGCCCAGCTTTGCTCTCAGGCCTCGTTTACCAAAGCCATGGCCATCATCTGAATGACTCACAGTGTGTTCATTCTTTGGAGTAATCTGGATCTGGTGCTTGACCAGGCATTCAATTGTGTGTACTTCTTTCTAACTTCTTCTCACCTTAGGACAAAATTCCTTTTCCCGAGAACTATTTTGGTCTCCCCTTTTTGTGGAGAGAAACCAGGATGAAACAGCCACATCAGAGCCATTTCTGTTTGCTCAGGGCATGTTGATGAGCACCCCATCCTTTCCATTCTTCAGTGACTCTTCATGGGAAGCCATGTATGAGAAAGGTTTTTAGAGTTAGGTGAGAGGTACTTTGCTTTCTCTCAGGAACACTTGATTTTATTCTTTTGCCTCTGGCTGTAGCTCAGAGCCAAATGTACACCCTGCCGCTGCCGTGTGCAGCCTTGGCCTATGCATGTGGCTTTATGGCAGTGTCTGAGCAAACTAAAAATGACAAATTTTGTTCATTTGACATTATTTCAATGCTCCTTTAAATCAGTTCCTTGGTGGAAAAAAATGAAGCATATTTGTAAGCATAATAAAGAAGTTAATTGGAAAGAAAACAGACTAGTGTTTGTGCCAACACTGCACTTCATCTGTGCCTTCACATCTGCCACTCACAGTCACACGCTGCGCCCAGTCGGCAGTCAGTGCAGAGAGAGGACTGGGTCTTGGTCTGGGTGTCCCAGAGCCTCCCCTGTCTACCCTAGCCCCAGTGCTCCCTCTGCACCAGCCCTGTGGCCCCCACACCTTCCCACCCTTTAGGCTTGTGGAAGCCCTTGCCGTCCCCTCTGCCTGGAATACCCTCCCTCAGATGACCACGGGCTCCACCCTCACCTTCAGGTCTTTGCTGGACGTCACCACCTACTGAAGCCTTCCATGGCTGCTTGAACACCTGCTCACCCCACCACTTGCCTGTCTTTCCTGCTTTTTTTTTTTCCCTCCTTCATATTTGTCACAGCATAGTATATGTTTGCTTATTTATCTTATTTGTTGCCTGTTTCCCCATAGGAGGGCAGATAATTGATTTTCTGTTTCCCAGTGGCTAGAAGAGTGCCTGACACCTAGTAGTTGCATGGTAATGTTTGGTGAGTGACTGACTGAGTGAGCAAATGAACAAGTGCTTCATCCACCATTCTCTCTTATCTCCTGCTATTAAGGAGCAAAGTGAGTTCTAGGGTTTCACGCTTCACGCTGCAGGCAGCTTTAGTTTAATTCCTGCGGAGTACCTGAAATCTGAATGAGAGAAAAATTGGCAAGGAAACATGCTTTTTTTCTCACGTTTAAATGTTCTTGTTGATGCAGAAGCAACTTTTTATTTTTGTTCTTGCATTAAGAAATGCCAGAAACTCCTTTGGTGGCCTGAGAAACATCACTGACTGGTGGGACTGGAGTCTGACCACACTTCTGGACAGCCTGTACCCGGGAGGCTCCCCAACAACCCGTGTGCCGGGGGCTCAGGTGAGCTTTCCATCTCCTCTTCATCTCAGAAAAGCCATCTTGAAGTGGGTGAAACAGTCACTAATACTGAACTGCAGCACTGCGTAGGTTCTTGAATGAGCATGCAGGTGTAAGGCCAGTGGCTCTCCAGCGGGTCCCAGCAGAGCATCCTGTTCCTTTCCTGCCGGAACCTGTTGGCCCCATCCCATTACACCCTGCTGAGCTGCACAGGGGTTCTCCAGATTCCTGTGCTTCCTAGGCCTGAGATAGACACAGGGGCTATGGCAGAGCCTCAGGAGCCCTCAGGCTGATGGGGTGCGAGGTCAGGAAATAGAAGATTCTAGTTCCGTGTGCTAACTACCCTGACAAGGAAACACAAGAACCACACCAAAACAGAGGAAGTGCAAGGAAGCTTCCAGAAAGAGGTGAGGCTGATCCCAAGTTCTGAAAAGTTAATATGCATTTTGCATAATCCCATTCCTTGCTCATCTTTTATTTTCAACCCCTTTCCCACGTTTAAAAATGAAATACACTGGGCACGGTGGCGCACACCTGTAATCCCAGCACTTTGGGAGGCCGAGGCAGATGGATCACGAGATCAAGAGTTCGAGACCAGCCTGGCCAACATGGTGAAACCCTGTCTCTACTAAAAATACAAAAGTTAGCTGTGTGTGGTGGTGCATGCCTGTAATCCCAGCTACTTGCAAGGCTGAGGCAAGAGAATTGCTTGAACCCAAGAGGTGGAGGTTGCAGTGAACCAAGATCATGCCACTGCACTCCAGCCTAAAAATACAAAAATTAGCCGGGCATCGTGGCACGTGCCTGTAATCCTAGCTACTTGGGAGGCTGAGGCAGGAGAATTGCTTGAACCCTGTGGGTGGAGGTTGCAGTGAGCTGAGGTCGCACCACTGCACTCCAGCCTGGGTGACAGAGCTTTTCTCTGTCTCTAAATTTAAAAAAGAGAGAGAAATATATTTATATATTTGTCCACATTCCTTGAGCAGTTTATTTCTAATTTTATTTTGTTGTATTCTATATAGTCTCTTGGGTTTATGATGCTGGAGAAACTTTCAAAAAAAATAAAAGAGAGCATTCTCGTGTGATGCAAGTTACGGACATCATTTGAATGTTAACTCTTTTCCAGGACAAGCCTGGGGAGGTTGTTGCTGCCTTCTTAGAATGTTGGTTATATCCCTAAAATGGTGTTGGAAGGAAAGTAAAACTCTGACCTCTATGGTAGCAGGTGGAGTTACCCAGAGCATCCCCACGCCTTTTGAGCGTGGCTTGATGAGGAGGTTTGAAGTCCTCAGCACACCCAGTCCTCATGATCTTTTTTCTCCTTTCAGCCTGGAGCTCTTGGAGGAAAATGCTATCTAATAGGCAGTTCTGTAATTAAGCAACTAAAAGTTTTTCCTAGCCATTTATGCAAGGTAAGATGTTCCTTTTCCTTTTGCTCCCAAAAATAAATGGAACTAGAGAAGTCTAGGCAATATTGGGGCGGGACCCTGGCAGATCATTTGAACTTCTCGGAGAGTTCGGTGGTGATTGGAATTGGCAGTGCCGGGGCTGGGGAGAGGGCGAGCCTCGCCCTTCCTTCCTTACCCCTTATGAACCCTTTCCCAAAGCCTCTTCCTTGGCGTTCTGCTGCAGATTTATTCAATTCACTCTTTGGCCTTAGAGGCTGGCATTCTAGGCAAAACTAGGATTTTTAATCAAACAATCTAAAAATAGAATATTCACATATCCTTTTCTAATGGGGAGGGTGTGCCCTCCCCATTAGAAGGATGGGCATTTTACCTGGCATCTCATGATGGGGAAGTCTTCAAGTGCTCTAAGCCTTAGACCCATACACACCTCAGACGCCAACCTTCCATGGGTAGAACCTTGATCCTGTAGCTTGAGCTAGAGTCTGTAAACCACGAAACAGGCTGCAGAACAATCCTATGAGGAGAGAAGGGCACCAAGTTGCAGGACAGAGCAGGTGTTCACAGGCGGCCAGGCCTGGAGATCCCGGATTGCAGGTGGCCTTGGGAATAGCATCTGTGTCTTCTTCTGACTGCTGGTTTGTTCTACAGCCTCCCAGGCCATTTTCAGCACCCACTGAAGACTCTATTCCTACATGTAGCCCCAAAGGTGGAGGCCCTGAGAACCCCTACCTGATAGACCCAGAGAACCAAAACAAGACCCTGAATGGTCCCAGGGGCTATGGGGCAAGGAAGGACTGTGTGCTCAGCCTGGGCAGAACAAGGTCAGTGAGATTCAAAGGGCCGGTGCTCATCCTGCCTGCTGCCGCCACTCCTGCTCGGGTGCCTGCTGGACGCGGTGCATCTGCAGCAGGTGCAGCCTCCTGACAGGCCCGTGAGGTCAGCGCACCACTGCCAGGAGCTCCAGCAAGACTTGTCATTGTTGTGAATGATAGAAGCATCACACAGGCTCAGGCCTTCATGTGGGAGAGCACAGAGCAAACGTTCTTTCAAAAAGTGACTGCTAGAACATCTGGAGCTCATGGAATATAAGGAGCATTTGTTGCGTGCTGACCTTGTGCCAAGCTGGGTGTTTACGGTCTCATTTAATCCTCACCCAGCTCTGTGGAGTAGGCCCCGTGCTACTTTTCCCACGTCCTGAGGGTGAGGGGTGGAGGTTCAAGTGCGTAACAAGCACGACCCCATGTTGCAGCTAGGTCTGAGGTCAAGCTGCCTGCCCCATCCAGCCAGGCACACTGTTGCCCACAGCCGCCCGGGGCTCCCCGAGCAGCATGCACCTCACACTGGGTTGGAGCTGTGCTGACCCAGTAGTAACACGGATGGTCTTAGACCAACGGGGAGCTCTAGACAGTTACAGTAATGTGTGCCTTTGAGTAATACTCTTTAAAAAGGAAATGATTTAATTGTTACTAAATACAAATTAGTATTTAGTAACTGCCTTCCCCCAGCTTGTCTGTTCCAAACAATGGGGTCTCTAGAAAAAAAAGAATAAATGAATATTCTAGAGTCCCTGGGGAGAGACACTGGGCATCTCTGCCTCACATGGGGTGGGGTGGGAAATTGAGGCCTCCGTTCTCCAGGTCCCTCCTGCCTGAGGGTCCCCTGAGCTGCTGCAGAGAAGAGGGTGGGGCAAGGAGAGAGGACAGAGGGCTATTGATGAGGTCCCTTAGATACAGAGGGCCATCTGTCCTGCTCCTTGAAGCCCCAGGCACTGTGTGTCCTTGCAAAGTCTTGCATGGGGTGTTCCCAGCATGGGACCTGCAGCTGGGAGCCTCAGTGGACTTCTGCGCCTTCCTCCCTGCCCTGCCCTACCCCAGTGTGTGCTGCTTTACAGGCCCGAAGCCCACACAGCCCTGTCTCGACTCAGGGCCAGCACTTGGATTGACCACAGCACCAGGGCTGTGTCTGTGCACTTCACCCTCTATAACCCTCCAACCCAACTCTTCACCAGCGTGTCCCTGAGCGTGGAGATCCTCCCTACGGGGAGTCTCGTCCCCTCATCCCTGGTGGAGTCATTCAGCATCTTCCGCAGTGACTCAGCCCTGCAGTACCACCTCGTGCTTCCCCAGGTGAGCTGACCTGTCTCTTGGGCCTACTGGAGGTGCACAGAGAGATGGGGCTTCACCTGGGCTGGGCTTCTCCACCAGACAGGACTAGTTCCCTACCCATCCACCCACCCCTCCCGTCACACTCTTTGTCACATCTTCTTCATGTGGCAGGCATCACATTAAGTGCTGGGGCACGAGACGAAGAAGACCCCCAGTGGGGAGACCAATCCTCACATGTGTGGCAAGGGCAAATATAGAGCTGTCTTGAGGTACTAAATTCATCACGGGGGAATTGGGCCTGATATTTAGATTCCCCCGGGGGTTTAGCTCAGGTTGCTATAACAGAATAGCCTACGCTGGGTGCTTTGAAAAGACAGACATTTATGGCCAGGCGTGGTGGTTTACGCCTGTAATCTCAGCACTTTGGGAGGCCAAGGCAGGCAGATTACAAGGTCAACAGTTCAAGACCAGCCTGGCCAATATGGTGAAAACCCATCTCTACCAAAAAATATATATATATATGAAAATTAGCCGGGCGTGGTGGCATGCGCCTGTAATCCCAGCTACTCGGGAGGCTGAGGCGGGAGAATTGCTTGAACCTGGGAGGCGGAGGTTGCAGTGAGCCGAGATCGCGCCACTGTACTCTAGCCTGGGCGACAGAGCAAGACTCCATCTCAAAAAAAAAAAAAAAAAAAAAAAAAGACATTTATTTCCCACACTCCCAGAGGCTGGAATTCCGTGATCAAGATCCCAGCCTGGTCAAGTTCTGGCGAGGGCTCTAGTCCTGGGAGATGGCCACCTTCTCACGGTGTGCTCACAGAACCTCTTCTTTGTGGGTATACACAGGGAAAGAGAGCAAGAGCGAGCTGTCTAGGGTCTCTTTGTGTAAGGACACTAATCCTATAGGACCAGGGCCCCAGTTAACCTTGATTACTTCCTTATAGGCCCCTTCCCCACATATATCCACACCAGGAGTTAGGGCTTCCACCGGCGAATTCAAGGGAACACAAAACTTCAGTCCATAGTACCCAGGGTCTTGGTGAGATGGAATATGTCCACATATCTTCACTGAACAATCCAAAACATCAGAAGTCACTCTGAGTTATTCCTTGGGAACTTTCCTGATTTTCTGCCTGTAGCTGACTTTTCTGCTATGAAGAACTAAGTCCTGCTGACTCTTCAGGTCAAGGTTACTTTGCCTTAGGAGTGAAGAGAGGGGAGTCCCAAGAGGTTTTAGACTCTAGGGACTGTTCAGTGACCCAGTAAAGGCTGTGATTTGCGTAGAGCTCAGCTCGCGCTGGAGTGGGTGGAACGGAGGGTGGGAGCCTGGGCCACTGGTCAGAGTCTGCCTGGGGGAGACACGTGAGGCACTTACCTTAGGCATCCAATTTAAGGGGCATCGCAAATACTTGGTAATCATGGCAATCAGTATTCTGGTGCAATATTTATAAACATCAGAATTCATATTAAAACATCATATTGGACAAAATATGGCAATTGTAGACAACGGCAGGATCAGTTTTCCTGATAATTTCTTTGCTTCAGGCTCCAATAGAGAACAGCACAGCACTGCTTTTAAACACCTTGCAGCACCCAAAAGTGAACCCTGCTCTGATTATGTGTGTAGCTCCTTACAGCAGGCCAATGGGACACAAGGCACATAACTCCAACAGAGGACAGAGAAGATGCATAAAGCCATGCTGATGTGCTTCAGTTACTTGCAAATCCATAACTAAATTTGAGTTTGGGTTAGTGATTGAAGGCATGAATCAACAGGTAACTCACCAATGGAGAGAGAACCACGTAGAGAACTTTAAGAAAGTGCTTATAAGGGAGCTTTAAAAGAAGGCTTTACTTGGCTGAAAAAACTAATATATATGTATATATAGTTCGTATGTTATCTATTTCACATGTACACAGAAACTCACTCTTTTGAGTGGTGCCAAGGAAGGCCTGGAGGATCGGCACGGCGGTCGGGAGACCTAGTGGCTGTAGATGCCCGTATTCCATGCTTTCCCTGAGTGCAGAGACCATCTCGGGTTCTAACCCCTGGCATGGAGTTTCTGTGAGTGCTTGACTGGTGGAGAGGCACCAAACCACCCCAAGTGCCTACCGAAGAGCAAGTTTAGGATTAAACCTCTGCAGAACAGGAAATGGGCTTGCATCCTGGGTACTCAAAGGTGATCGGCAGGGGAGCCGCTCACAGGTTTAGACCTTCAGAAAACAATTTATCAGCATTCGTGTTGATCTTGTTTGTTTACATTCTCTCCACCAGCCGGTCTTCCTGGCGCTCAGCCTGGTCCACCTCTGTGTTCAACTCTACCATATGATGAATAAGGGCTTCCTCAGCTACTGGCGAAAACCAAGGAACTGGCTGGAGGTAGCCTCTCTTGTGTCATTTTCTTTTGAAAAATAACAATAAACTGTGTATATCTTGAAAAAATAATTTAAATAAGAAATGGATGATGCACTAGCTACTGCTAACATTATTGCAGTTTTCTCCCTCTGTCGTGTTGATCTCAAAACAGCATTTGAGATCAGGCATCATTTAGTGTTGTTACAGTCACCATCATGTACCACACGAATTTCAGCCGAGGCGGTGGTCCCGTAAGATCATATGGTGCTAAGAAATTCCTGTCACCTAATGACATCTTGATTCTGACCCTGTGTAGGCCTAGGCTAAATATGTCTGTTTGTATCTTAGTTTTTACTAAAGAAGTTTAAAAATAAAAATTAAAAAAAAACTTTTAAACATAGAAGAAAGCTTTTGGAATTAGAATATAAGGAAAATATTTTTTGTACAGCTGTACAATGTGTTTGTGTTTTAAGCTGTGTTATTATAAAGTAAAAAGTTAAAAAATTAGTAAAAAGGGTTACAGTAAGCTAAGGTTATTTCTGAAGAAACAAAAATGTGTTTACAAATTTAGTGTAGCCTAAGTGTGCAGTGTTTTTAAAGTCTACATTAGCATACAGTAATGCTCTAGGCCTTCGCGTTCACTTACCACTCACTCACTGCCTCACCCAGAGCCATTTCTAGTCCTGCAAGTACCATTCATGGTAAGTGCTGATACAGGTGGACCATTTTTTACCTTTCGTAGTATATTTTTACTGTATCTTTTCTATGCTTAGATATATTTAGATACACCAGTACTTACCATTGTGTATGATTGCCTACAGTGTTCAGTACAGGAACACGCTGCACAGGTTTGTAGCCTGGGAACAATAGGCTGTCTCATATAGCCTAGGTGTGTGGGACTGTCTGTGTTTGTGTAAGTGCACCTTATAATGTTACCCCAAGGACAAAACCGCCCAGCGATGCATTTCTCAGAAGGCATCCCTGTCGTTAAGCAACGCATCACTGTAACTTACAATGCATGTCACATGGGGTGCCAGGTAAGCCCTTCCTCAGGAGCCATCTGAGGGCCTTTCTCTTGGATGTTGCAGCTCTCTGTGGTTGGAGTGAGCCTCACCTACTATGCAGTTTCCGGCCACCTTGCTACTCTTGCTGGAGACGTCACTGACCAGTTTCACAGAGGACTTTGCCAAGCCTTTATGGACCTCACCCTTATGACATCATGGAATCAGGTACATAGTGTGCTTAGGGCCATACAGATAGAGGCCATGCACTGTGATGCCATCCAAAAGGCAGAGGTCACACAAGCTCTAGAAGGTGCGAGATAACAGATTTGTTCCATATTGAGAGATGATGCTCTGAGCTGGCAGATGGGACTGGCCAGGACAGTCAGTGAAGGGCCTGGAGAACTTGAGACGTGCTTTGAACACTGGGGTGTGTGGATTCTGCGTGGAGCAGAACTCAAGAGCCTGGAATTTCCCCAGTGCTTCCAGGGGACCGTAAGGGGCACAGGAAGCAGGTGTTGATGCAGTGTGGAGAAAGGAGGCTAGCGCTGACTTGCTTAGACACACTATTTTCTCTCTTCGTCCTGGCGACCGTCATAAATGCAGGCAGTATTAGCCACTCTGCAAGTGAAGACACCAAGGCTCACAGAAAGCATCAGGTCCCTCAACAGAGGGAAGTCTGGTTTCAAAGTCCCTGCACCTCCTTCCCCTAGGCAGCCCTTCCTGCAGGGAATGGTTCCCCACAGGATGGGAGCTCCTACCAGGAGGAGCAGGCAAATGAGCACAGATGGGACTGGACGAGCCCCGGGGAGGGGGCCCATGAGACGGGGCAGGATCCCCCCACAACAGTATGGGACGCTGCCGTGCTGTGGTGGTGGAAGATGAGCCCACATATTCTGCTTCCTTACCCTGCTGCCCTCAGAACTAGCCCCTCCCCTACCCCCCTTGCCCTCCTTTTCCCATTTAGAGGGCGGTCAAGGCCCCAGGGCCACCCCCACGGCTGGGTGAGTCCTATAGCGACCTAGAGAACAAGGGCCAGTTCCCCTCCAGCTTCAGGCCCCTTCTCCCCACAGTCCATCCATCTCCCCCACAACCTCCCTCTCACCCCTTGGCTCCTGTCCTCTGTGTAAGGAGAACCACGCAGGATGAGGCTCATTTCCGCTACACTTCTGCGTCCTCCACCAGTGCCCCAGTCCCTGCCTCCTTTGCAGACTCTTACTTTGTTGCAAGTAAGAGAAACTCCCTAGGCTAGAGGAAAGAAACAGGTTCTAAAGGAGCCCAAGCGGAAGATTTGGCTTTTCTCCTGAAGTAAAAGAATACATGAGTCTGATGAAACAGAACACTTGCACATGCAAAGCAAAGCAACTGTCACTCACAGATTGGCGGGGACATCAGAAGCCTGGGCTGCATGGTGAGCTGGTGCCCCCAGCTCAGGAAAGCTGACCAGGGTGGACAGAGTCCCGTCTGTGTGTGTCCCGACAGAGTCCCGTCTATGAGTGTCCCACTTGCACCAGTTCAGAGAGCCTGGAAAGTCGCCTGCCCTGAAGTTTCATAAGCTGGGGGAACATAACATGCTGTGCTAAAGTGTTAGAGGGCATCCTCTTCTCAGAGGAACATGACCAGAGCCCACGATGTTCCATGTAGTTCCTCCTTATCTCTGGATGTTGCATTCTTAGCAAATTCAACAGTTATTGTGAGAACTATAAGCAAGAAAAGGGGAAGAGGTGGCCTGGCCAAGGCCAACTAGGGACCTGTTCTGCAGGCACTTATCTGCATCTAATGAAATCTGCATTAAGCAATTATTTGGTTTACTGTCTTCCCCCACAAGGCTGGAAGCTGCAAAATAGAGAATGTATCTAGTTTGTTCACTACTGCTCACCTGGTACCAATATTAGGGCCTGATGAGGACTAACTGCTTAATTTATTGGCATCACTCTCTGGGACGGACAGCAGGCTTCCTGGTCTACCTTTTACAGTATAGCTCTGCTAGTCAACCCACTTCCTACTGTTACGTGGCTTACCCACGTAACTGTGGCCTTGCATGACCCTGGCGGCTGCAATGCCGACACACCTGGCACTGCCTAGCCTGTGCTTAAAGGCCCACAGATGGTGGCCGGCTTTCTCTCTCTCAGTGCACAGCTTACAAGAGCATCTGATTAGTCACTGATTGGCCAGCAGGTGTGGGCCTCAGGAAGGTGGGGCAGAGTGAAACACTTTGTAGGATGTTCTTTTCACCTGATGTGGCAGGAGAGGTTTTCTAGAAGCATGATTAGGGCAAACATGAATATGGTCTACATACTGACCTGGTGACCTGGAGTAAATAGCCTCCTGCTGACTTCTGGCCTTGGGAAGTGAGTTCATCCTTATATCCCTTTCTCCCCCTTGATGTCCTATCTTTCTCATTACGTTCCCTGCCCCTGCCAGAAAAACTTACGTGGGGAGAGTCCTTCTTCCCTGGGGATCCTGTCTAGGGCAGGTGCCAATTTCCAATTCCTCAATTAGCTTCTGAGAAGAGCCTACATGTACTGAGGTTTGCTCCTGCCAGGCACTGCCTAAATTCTATATAATCACGTGTATGTTAAGCTATCCCACCATCTAATGAAACAGGACTAATATGCCACCCTTCTAGACCGAGGCTCTGAAAGGTTAAGCAGCTGGCACAAGGTCACTCACATTGACATAGGAGCTGCACTGGAATTGGCCTCTGGTCTTGGGGTCCTGGGTAGCCGCATTCCTAAGCACAGAACTCTAATGCAATGGAACGGCCCTCTGAGGACATGTTCCACACTGTCCTGGCCCAGGAGTGCTCAAGGCAGGAACCTGTATCTCACACCATTCAGTTCTATTGCTATGTTGCTGTGTGTTCAGGGCCAGCTTTTGGGAAATGTGCAGTGTAGACAATGTTTGTCCTCTGAGGTGCCCTCGTGTGCCCATCTCTGTTCTGGCACCTTGGCCTCTGCCCACACTATGGCTTTCCCTCCTGATTCCACTTCTGTGGGCACCTCTTGTGCTGTTCATCAAATTATTCTCTGTAGAGACAGTTAGAGGAATTTAGCTCTGACTTCGATGTAGGCTGCATCCCAGGTGCTGGAAGAACGAGTCATCTTCAAGATAAGCACAAATGACTTTCTGATGATGGAATTTAACACCCAGAATTAAAGAGCTATGACTTGAGCATGTGAAAATGAAAATGCACAGGCTTTAGAGTCAGCAGACCTAAAACTCACTCCCAGCTCCGCTGTGACCATGTGCCATTGGGCAAGTTTCTTAACTTTCTTCAAGTCTTAATAACGTAGAACTATGATACACACCTTGGGGGTTTTGCCAGGATTTGAATGTGTGTGTGTGTGTGTGTGTGTGTGTGTCTGTCTGTCTGTGTATTTGTACATGCATATCCAAACATATCCTTGGAACAGCTTGGCACCTAGCAGATGTTCCATAATGAAAGTCTTAATAATGGTGAATTACTCAGGAGGCTTTATGGCATCCATCAGTCAGATGCGGGCAAGAAAGGGGCCCTTTCACTCTGTCCACAGAAGTTTAGAGCTGTGTTGTCCAATAGTCAGCACTAGCCACAGATGGCTATTGAGAACTCGAAATGGGGATAGTCCAAACTGAGATGTGCTGTGGGTGTAAAATACTCACTGGACTTCATAAACTTAGTACAAAAATTAAAAATGTGCTGGGTGCAGTGGCTCACGCCTATAATCCTAGCATTTCGGGAGGCCAAGGCGGGCAGATTGCCTGACCTCAGGAGTTCAAGACCAGCCTGGGCAGGCTGGGCACCCAGGCTCACGCCTGTAATCCCAACACTTTGGGAGGCCGAGGCAGGCGGATCATGAGGTCAGGAGATCGAGACCATCCTGGCTAACGCAGTGAGACCCCATCTCTACCAGAAATACAAAAAATTAGCCAGGCGTGGTGGTGGGCGCCTGTAGTCCCAGCTACTCGGGAGGCTGAGGCAGGAGAATGGCATGAACCCGGGAGGCGGAGCTTGCAGTGAATGGAGACCACGTCACTGCACTCCAGCCTGGGTGACAGAACGAGACTCTGTCTCAAAAAACAAACAAACAAACAAACAAAAAA